GCCAACCACAACTGGCCAACCACAACTGGCCAACCACAACTGGCCAACCACAACTGGCCAACCACAACTGGCCAACCACAACTGGCCAACCACAACTGGCCAACCACAACTAGCCATCACTGGCTGGACTTCGCAGTATCCTGCAATAGAAGCACATTACCCGATGTCATTGACTACTGTACGTACAGTATTATGATATCACTATGTTGGGTATCCCTCAGTCTTTTAGGGCCGTTTTGAAATTGAATCAAGGCCCAAGTCTTCACTATTTCAGACCGCTCGCTTGAAGAAGTAGAACTACATAAGACTAAAGCCATCTATAATTAGGTGAATACAGTAAGGGTAGCTCTTGTCTCCCCTCAATAAATTATGACCAGGCCTAAGTTGCTAAATCTTCCGCAGGAGCTGAAAGACGGGATTATAAAGAACCTCGACATACTAGACAGAGCTCGGACTCGGCTAGCCTTCCCACCTTCGGTGTTATATCTACATTCGACAAACAAGCCAGAGGTTCAACACGCAAGAGTCTGGTGTACTATATTCCAGCCAGATTATTGGAAACTAGCAGAGAAAATTTCACGTCGAGGCGAACTTGTAGTACTAGGTTCTGACCTAGAGTTCTTATATGACGCCAAGCCTCTACCTAAAGACTATGGACCACTACACCTTTATCTTGGCTTTAAAACCCAAGAAAACGACATATCTGAGTGCCCTGAGGCAATAAAAGCCCTTATACGCCCAGAAATATTCAGAAGAAAAGAACCCACTAAAGTTATTATACACGACTTCATGAAGGAAGACTTCACAATCTCCGAGGTTTTTAATGTTGGCTTTGGGAAAACAAAAGTCCTATACGGTAAATCGAGTAACAAATTGTATAATGCTACTATACAATATGATATCTCTACGTATAAAGTTTTGGTAATGCAGGAGGTGGACTATGTTGAATGTCGAATTCAAGTTGAAGATACAGGAATGAAGAAGTTTTGGACCCTAACTGGTTTTATGACATCACGTCCTTCTTTCCCGCGAAAAGAGGAAAATCGTGAGCAACTTTATTTGGAACAATTACTTGGGCCTCACGGATCATTCCTTCGCGTGGCTAAGCAATTTTGCCCAAATATTACTATTCGGGACAGCCGGCCATTAATCCGGAACAGCCCTCCCCGCGGCACCAAGAGAAAAGTCCTTAGCGACAGCAATTAGAACGAGTACTTTAGCTAGTGTTAGGATAGGTTAGATAAATTTACTTTACGGAGCACTAGTCTCGCCACCTTTTCCCGTCAAAGAGGATATCCCTGCCTCTCCCACCTAATCATGCCACCTGATGCTCCTCTTCCACGACAATAACCCAACTACCCCTGACTCCTACTGAATCTCCCCAGCGTCCGTAACTATTATAAGCATAGATATTATGAACCTCGCTATACTATACGAGTATGAGACAAAGAGAGAGCGCGGAACGGATTTCTTTTCTTCCTGTGACGTTCGGGTCTAGACTAGCTACCGGTTAGATAGAATAGAAGTCGGCTTATGAACTAAGTATACTAGGATATCGTTGACTTAAGCGGTCGGGTCATAGTCTATGTGCGAGATAGTAGATCTTGCGTAGATAATTGTATTAATAGCTGAGGAGCTAGTAGAGACTAACTATAGTGGAGCTAGGCTTCCTACATACTAAGTGATTGTTGTGTAGTTGACCGTAGTCGACTATCGTCTCCTAGCGCTGAGGCTCTTCATTGATATATCTTTAAAGATAATCCCGGTTACCATGGAAGGAAAAAACGTCGTCGACACCTCAGAAAGTCTGCAGATCCTTGTTAACGGACTAATAATAAGATTTATAAATTCTAATTATTTGGAGAGAAAATATATCAAACGCTTGCGATATCCAATAGTAAACCTGCCAGTCGGAGCAATCTCTACAAGTTAATCACATCCACCTCAAGGAAGTCGGGTGGATTCTTCCCATAAACTACACGCGTCTTACTATCAAGCGCAGTACCCTCGTTACTAATCCAAATATTGTCACTATAGGCCTGCGTCCGACGGATCTCATCGTCGCTAATACCCAGATCATCCCGTGGAATCCAGACTACGGGACGACGAGCTCGCAGCGCAGAGTGCTTGAAGGCGTGGCGGACGAGGAGATCTCGTTCGTCGGGTGTCAGGTCTTCGATTTCGTCATCCATCCCGCCGTACAGCGCATCACCGATCGCACGCTGCACTTCGAGGTCTTTGGCATACTTGCGAGATTGTATCGTGCTTTGATCTGTGCCTATGACATCGCTGACCTGATCGCCACCAGCCTTGGCAAAGGCGCCGACATACTTGATCGGGTTGCGCATACTCTCTGCGCGCGAGCGTCTTCGCTGGCGGAGCTTCTCCATCTCCATTTCTTCCCCCTGCTCGCTACCTAATCTTGGCGTTCGCTGCCCAGGCGAATGCGCGGTCTTGGGGCTGCTGGGCGCCTCGTCATCCTTCTCCTCATCGTACTCTTCCAACCCGAGACGCCTGTTCTGTGCACGCCGGAAAGTTTCGTCTCGTAGAACGGCCTCATCTTCCAACGTGATCGGCAGATAACGGAAGAGCGGAGAGAACGAGCGATTGAGCAGGACCTGGTACAGCACGGTGAAAGCCGTCACGACTAGCATAGTAATACCATGCAGCGCGCAGACATTGTTACCGTTTTCATCCTTCACTATGAAGAACAGTCCCGCGACGCAAATTTCCATAAAGTAGATACCGGTGAATGTTTGATTGATCGCGCGGGGGTACAGAATACCACCTGTGTCGTGCTCGAAGCGCGTAACATAAAGCATGCTATAATTGTGGGCCAGCCACAGTAGACTGAAGGTAATAATCGCGAAAACAGAAATCAGAGGAGCAATGATGCTATAGATGATGCCGATGCAGGCAAAGTTGGTATATACGGGAAAGAATTTGCCCCAGTCCACCGTATTCAGTGTTGTGCTTCTGCGCCACTTCGCACGTGCGGTGCTGTCTATGATACGGGCCAGAATAAACCAGACAAACAGCGTGCCGATCTGCAGTAATGTCCCGGAGCTGGTCGATAGCGCCTGTAAAATCATATAGGAGAAGAAATAGTTGGCAGCTTTAGGGAGGTTAGTCGCCAGCAAGTCAAGCACAGTCGAAGCACTGCTTAGCTGTTCAATGCTCTGGACTAGCTCGTTGATGCTAGCGGCGAAGAACGACGCAACCGACACAATGAGAAAGACTTGTACAAATAAGAAGAAGAAGTAAAAGATCTGCACAAATTCGGCCTTTTGCGTACCGGTCTTGGCACCCCTAAAGCCTCCCAAAAAAGCAAAGATGATTGGCGCGAGGATAAGCATAATGGCGAGCAGCGCAGCGGGCAAGACACCAGCGACAGTTTCGGCGACGATTCTAACCGTAGAATTAGTGTCCAACCAAGAGAGCCATCCGTTCTTCGCAATGAGCTCGTCCAGCTGGCCGAGGGTCGCGGTGAAGGCCACGGGAATAGTCCAAGATATAACCATCGCAACAATGAGACAGACGACGCCAAAGGAACGAGCCCAAACTTGCCACCAAGACATGGCCATATTTTCCCAAAGAACGTCACGAGGCGAAATCTCCACTATTCGAGGCGACATGTGTTTGGGTAAGTGATGTATCGTACTCTGACATGCCATGTGAGCTGCTACCTGCTGCTCGAACTGGACGAAGGCGGAGTTCATTAACGGATAGCGCTCGACTTGATTTTGGTCCTCTTCAATCTCAACATTGAGGCGGGCGAGCTCTTTTCGGCAGTAGTGAATTGTGTCGACCTTCTTTGTGATGAGTGGAATCCTAAATAGAGCAGTGTTTCCGAAGGGAAGTAGGTGGTGAGTTGGTCGATCTTCCGCCTTAAGGTACTTTTCCCAAACAGCGCCGGTCTCGTCTTGGTCCTGATTTTCGGCATTGATAGCTTGCTTATACTCAATAGGCGTCAGCGTGTGGGATGTTAGGAATGAAACGGCCTCCTTGAACTTGTGCCAAGCTGTGGTGTTGTCCGCAGCCTCTTTGGCCACAAAGTCGGCTGCCTGTCGGCCTTGAGGGACAGGTGATGCGTATCCGCCAGTCGGGGGTTTCCAAAATTGCCAAAATTTAGTCTCCTCTTTAATAAATTGGTCTTCGAGGTTTTCAAGTTGGCGCACCGTGTTTCCCGCTAATCCCTGGTATGTCGTTTTCTTTTTGGGTTTCAAGGAGCTCTCCAAGTTTGCCGGCGAACAGTGCCCGCTAGTATGAGCAGTCGATGTGGAAGACGTGAATGCAGCCTCTCGTTGCCCGGGCACTTGAAGGGGCTGATGCGCAGCATTCTGGATGGACTCTTGCGTGGAAGTCAGACTCACAAAGCCGTTTATTGTCTCCAGCGCTTCTTCTCCTCTCACACCATGGTATGCCTTGTTGATTACACCCTTGATGCCATGGTCAATCTCATTGACCCGGTCCCCAAAAGGGGGCATCCTACACCATTTTGAGCCGGGCTTCTCGTGCCCATGGTCTGCCCTCTGGTTGCCTTGGGCAGAATCCATGTCTATGTGAGGCACCTCATGCGGCTCACCAGCATTGATACCTGCATAGCGGGTCGCCATCTCTACGGCTTTGGCATCCCTCATGGCGTCATCAGCGGCTCTCTCCTTCCTATTCATGTGCGCCGTCTGCTTGGTCTGCATCTTTTCCTGTTTTCTCTGTGCTTTTTTGGCCGCTTTGATCAAATCAGTCTCAGCTTGCTCCAGGGCCTCGTGATACTTGCAGCGGAGGGCGATCTTGTCAAGGAGCTCGGAAAGATCGCGATTGAGCCAGATGTTACGGACACCACCGGGGAAAACATCAAAGAGACCGAAAAGAGCCTCCTCGGTGAGCCATTTGCTAGGGATCTGGCTTATAAGAACCGTCGTGGCGGAAGCTCGGAGACGGTGCTCAGCACTTGTCAGGTAGTCCTGTCGTACCTTGATATAGACTTTGAGCTCAAAGAAGAAGACGGTGCAGATCCAGATGACAACCAATATAGCCATAAGAAGATGTGCAGTATAGCGACTCGTATTCTCAGCCTTGACATTGCTCCAAGCCAACGTATCAAGGCCGGTGACGGTATCGTTGAACTTCCGCCTGCGGTCGTTTTCATCCACGTTGATGTTCGTACCTCTGCCGTCCACATAGTTAAGCGGGATTAACACGGGCATAACTACGGAAGCGATAGGAATGAAGATAACCAGCAGAGTGCGTAAGTAGCGAAGGAAAAAGTACGCATCGAGACCGCATTTATGGATGATATTGCGATGTGGAAAGGAGAGGAGCGTTTTTAGCAAAGGGAAGAAACTCGACGGGGGAGAAGGCGTTCGCTCGCGCTCGGGGACGAGGTATGTTTTCGGTTTGCTACAAGAATCAGCTTTTGGCGCCTAACAGCCTCAGGGGTGCTGGGAGGAGGACGAACAAGATACGGGCGAGTTTATTTCGAAGGAGGAGGAAAAAAACACTCTGGACAGCGAAGATGATCAACGCAACGGTGAACGCAGTCAGGAAGCTGACGATGCCAATGCCCTGGTCTTCCTGCGCCGGGCCTGCTGAGCCATTGGAATCTACCTGCCGAGGCGAAATGCTTTCCAAATCCCTCGACAAGAGATCTTTCAGCGTGGCTGGCTTCATGACGCCTGAGAATCAGTTGTCGGAGGTTTCAAGGTTGGTATTTCAGCAGCCGTCGTGGCCATATTCGATGGAAATCCAGTGTAGAGGACGACCCGATACCTAAACGATGCTAAAAAGGAGTAGGGGTTGTGTGCGCTGGATTTCGCCTTCCTATGAAGAGAATAAGAACACTTAGGGTAAAGGATGTGAGGACACCCCTTGCTAGATATAGATCTTTTTGTGCGAACCCCCTGTACTAGCAACTTGTGGGATATTTCAAAAAATGGATTTAGGTATAGATAGCGTCAAAATGTAAAGTTACTGTATAAGGAAACTTTTGTCCAAGAATTGAGTTACATAAAGGCATTTACAAGGAGGCTACAGTACTACAGAACCTCGCGCTTGTGCGGTCCGCCTCTACGCGCACATTGGGTACCCACTGCGTCCAGAAATAGCCGTTCTTATAATCTAGTGTATTACATGAAAGCGGACACTCCTTTTAGACCTCACTGTATCAGGGGATAAAGGAAGTAACGCAAGCATAGTCCTAAGGTATGACTAAAATGAATGAGCAAAGAATTAAGGCCGTAGGCCCGCAAGTAACTCAAAGAGCGCTACTTCGGTTGTCTAACAGATAAAAGATGCCACCGCGCCGGGGTACCCATCGGCGTGCAGCGAGAGCTTTGTCTTGGAAGGCGAACAAGCAGCAGAAAGAAGGCCAGAAGTGGATGCGAGCTGGCGTGGATAGAGGGTGGCCCGGAATAGGGACCCATTTGTAGGGAGACTTTATAAGTAACCGAAGTTCCCACGAAACCACTCGGCCACTTTTAATATATCTAGTCTTATAGCTCGCCTAGTAAGGCAATGACAGACATAAAGTACGGTCGCTATAATACATAGCGGCCGCATATAGTCGCTAGACCTCCCCGAGACTAGCGAAGGGCTTTATCCGGACGCACTACCTTAGTTCCCGTTAACTTGATATCTACCGTACCCGCTTCGATAGAAGACTAACGCGACAACGAGCTATTGTAACGTTTGGGTCAGACTAGCTACAGGGTAGGTAGATCTGAAGTCGGTTTATGAACCGAGTACGGAGGACGGCGTCAAAAGTTTTTGGTCGCGCTAATTCTGCATGTCGACGTAAATAGCTAGTTTTAGTGTAAATTTGCTGGGGCCGTTCCCCGCCCCTCGACATACTTATTTCCACCCGCCAATTCAATAACCTTCTGAACGTGCCTCGGGATGCGTTCAATCCACCGCTGTATCTGCTCTTGCGGGAGGTCTTTCCAAGCCTTTTCCTACCTCGTGATAGCCTCCTTTCGTGTGCGCGGCGCACCCTTCTTCGTAGTATATCTCTTCATCCACGGCCAGGCAGGCTCGATCACATTAAGGTCCGGGGAGTTACCGGGCCAAGGAAGGCGGCGCGCGCCTTCCTGATCGAAGACTTGTTATTGAAGAGAATGTGAGTGTGCCGGAGCCTTATCCTCTTGAATCAACATACCTAGCCGGCCGGCAGCCTCGCATTCCTTCGCGAAAGGAATCAACTTCGGCGTCAAGATGATCTTCTGATAACGCCACCAGTCGATACCACCTTTGCCGCCTCTCGTAAGCTTCCCGGTCTTTTTGATCCATCGCCATTATGGTGCGCGGCCGGGGGCTTTGCCCTCGCGAAGCTTCATGCGATTCACGCCAACCTCAAGCTCCTATATCTTCCTTGCCTCCGGCTCGAGTACTTCATTTAAAGCCTTAAGTTCCTTCTCGGAGGCTCGTTTCTCTTGAGCAGTCTCTGGGCACCAACAATAGCAGGGACCTTTCTTATCGTAAGAAAAGCAGCCCCAGAACATGAACTCGGAAGACCCCTTCCATCGCTCACGGATACAGCTCTTATTAACCTTCTCTTCAGGCGTTCGCCAGATCCGATAACCGCCGCGGCGATGTAACAACACCACAGAGGTCTCGTCGGACCATATCACCTTCTTCCAATCATCGAGGCTCCAGTCCTTCCTTTCGAGGCACTATTCGAGCCGTTCTTTCTTCATCTTCTGTGTCAGACCAGGCTTCCTCGTAGGCTTGGTCTTCCGGAAGCCAGCCCTGCGGAGTATTCGCCGGATCGTCGTAGCCGATATCTCGATGCCGAAGTGACTAAGATCGCCAGCAATATCAGCGCAGCTTTTCTCTCTTCCGTATCGATCGCGGCGTACAAGCTTCAAGACCTCTTCTTTAGCAACGGTCTGCTTAGAAGGACGGCCAGAACGAGGGTTATCGGCAAGGAGGGCGTCTGTAAGGACGATCGGCCGGACGGCAGGGTCGAAGCCTCGCGCCACAGCGCGGGCAAATATCGTGTTAATTGTGCTCTTGCTAACGCCTGTAAGGGCCATCACCTCGATAGTGGTCTTATTCGAGGCCTTGAGGCTCACAATCATAGCCCTTGTTGCAATATCGGTGTGCGGCATCTTCACGGTCGGCTTCAAAAGAAAAAATGGTTATGTTTTATCAATCATGACAACGTTCGATGGTAGGGGGTAAGTCGGCCTGGCAGATTTACACTCAATGTGGTGCAAAAGTTCCATGGGTCTAGCTAATCCCTGATCTTCTAGCGTCTTGGCGACCAAAAACTTTTGACGCCGTCCTCCGTACACTAGCCTTGATGCAGTGTGCTCCCCGGTCATCCCAGTACCTATTAGTGTGCTCTCCGGTCACCCTAGTACCTGCTAGTGTGCTCCCCGGTCACCTCAGATTTAGTGCGCTCCCCGGTCACCCCAGTACCTATTAATGTGCTTCCCGGTCGCCCTACTACCTGGTTTAGTGTGCTCCCCGGTCACCCCAGTATCTGTTAGCGTGCTCCCCGGTCACCCTGGATGGTAATGGCGACGAACTATAGTTCCGAGATCAACCAAGTACCCTAATGTACCTATGAATTGCCAAGATTCTGACATGGACCTGGATCAGAGCTGAACTAAGCCCGTCGCGCATGTGACCATTCATTCAACGAAACTCTGGACAAGCTTGCCTTGTCCCATGGCATCTAGGAAAGTTACTAGCCTGCTACTCCTTGACGTTTTTGTTTGGAGCGTTCGACAATGTCACCTACCGGCGATTACTGCACAATCTCAGAAAAGGACGAGTGGACGAGACAACCGTACGATGGATAGCGAGCTTCATCGGGCCATCTCGGATCAGGTTCATCGACCGTTTTTGCATTCGACGAAGCGGGGCGCCCGGATTAACATTTCAGCGCTTCGGCAAACCCCGCCCACCGGACGTAGCCACTAACGCAAGTTAGCGGCCGAGGAGGCATCAAGTCCCATCGCTCTAACCGCCCCTCGCCATGTCTGTTTGTCCAACGCACCTTCGGCTCATGTCGTCAGACACTCTCCGACCAATGTTTCTTCAAAATGGTCTGACCAGAAGTCTCAAGAGACAGCAATCCATCAACCCCAAGATGCCTTTCAGTAGCCTAGCCCTTATAAGGGCGGTCGACGGGTGAGTTGCGGCCAGGCACCATTCCACAGCAAATTATCTCCTGCGGCCGTGTTTTCTAACCTCTATAGATGGCCAGATTACCTAGGTGATCCTGCTTCATACAGGCTTTGGATGAGAGATTACTATTATTTCATGATTGATGGGTACCCGAAGCCCTTTGGCTATGTGCACAGAACTATCTTAGATGGGCTCCGACTATCACAACGGAACTGGACAATCAACAAGGAGCGGCGAACCCTTACGATGATCGGCGGTTCGTTTGAAAAACGGACTCAAGTTATGCGCGAGACCTTATTGCAAGCCGTCGAAAACAAGGCGACGACAAGTCCCCAGAAGTTTTATGAAGAGGCTCTCCAGGTCGTCTCATCCGAGGGCGAACATGTCCTTGATATGGATCGCAGTGGCCTCGATCCGTTTGGTGTCACGAGTTACAGCGCTCATATGATTGGATTCGTAAAGGAGAAGGGTGTCATCAAATTCTGGGTCCCGGAACGTTCGTCTACGAAGCCAACAGTGCCCAACAAGCTCGACAGCACTGTTGCGGGTGTTGTTCGTTCTGCGGAACGACCTATCGACTGCATGCTGCGTAAGGTCGCGGCTGAGGCCTCTGTCACTGCAGAGTACACCAAGGCGAACATTGTTCCCTGTGGAACCATCTCGTACCAAATGTCTATTACTAGTGCCGGCAAGCCAGGCTGCCAGCACATCATTTCCTACCTTTATGAGATGGAGTTCAAGGGGGGCCTAATACCCCGACCAGGTAATGACGAGGTCGGCAAGTTCACTCTCATGACACAAAAAGAAGTTTTGACAGCACTGACAAATGGCGAATTTGTCGCTAATCGTGCTATGGTTTGGCTGGCTTATTTTATCCGGCATGGCATCTTGACGCCGGAGAACGACTCGAACTTTGTTGAAGTTTGTCAGAGGTTGCATAAGAGACACGACATGTTTATTGCGGAGGGACTTCCTGTCGATGAAGGCGTCTAGGTCAAAGCGATTGATGCAGTCGCATTGTGAGCATCGCTTTATTGAAACGTTGTGTGGCGATCTGGCAAGGTTGCAATGCTAAGCTGGCAGCAAATCTTCCTTCGTTTCTCTAGGTACCCAATTTACATCGAACATTTGTCCCACGAACCAGTATTTTTCCTCGTAGTCATGGGTGTAGCTGACAGTTCGTACCTGTGCTAACTCAGCACGTTAGTACGCTCTTCAGAAGTTGCGTCAGGCTTCCTACCGTTGTTGTGTATATGATGCTGGTATTTCTTTAAAAAGCTAACCTGCTCGTTGTCAAGGTGGGCCATCTTCTTTGCCTCGTCCGTATCCCAGTCATGATCCAGAGAAAATGGTCGCTGGCCTTTACAGGCATAGTGGAAATAGGCGAGGATGGTTTTGGCGCCAGAATGGATAGCGTTGATAACCGGCATCTCGACAAAGCGCACCTGGAATGCGTTGTGAGCTCCTCGTCTCCAATTCCATTGAAAAACCCACCGGAAAGCCACGCCTTCTGGCGAAGGCACTGTGAAACCGGCATTGTAGTTCATAATTATGGAGTAGTATGAACACGCTCAGGGCAATGGTGAACCAGTTCTTTTTCTCGTTGGCCAGCATCAACTCCTGGAGTTGCTTCAAAACTGTTTTGCGCAGTGGTTGTAGGATTCTTTCGGTGAATATCGCAGCCATCTGGTAGTTGACGAATGGCGGTACTTGGGTAATCGGCTCCGTACTATACCAATGCGAGAGACGCTCTGCACCCAAAGAATGTTGCCCTACACATCGCCAACGGCCCTCTAGGAATCGGCATGCGACCCAGAGACGAATCACTTGAGGTAAGAGTCCAATCTGAGATCTCAGCGCCATATTCGAACATGGTTATTTGAAAGAGACAGGTCGGCAACTTACAGGGTGAGAAACGAGTGACAACCTGAGAGCGCAGTGGAAAATATCCCATACCAAAGGATTAGAATCGTCCAGAATGGCGTCAAGATAATGACCAATACACCCGTCAAGATAAGAGTTCACAGCTTTTGTTGCCTGCTCCGCATCTGCGATTGCCCAAGGGATGCTGTACATCTTGTTTCCACGTGTGTCATCTGAAGTAAGATCTTCAGGGCTGGGCACAAACTTTCTCACAGCCAAGCGGAGGATAGCGTTACTGTCTTGTGCGAGGTCAAGAACGATGATATGATTCGATGTCCAATTCCGTTGAATGTGAAAGTCGCCGTATCTAGGCCCAATCATGAGATGCTCTCGGAAGAATGGATAGTAATGAAAGGCAGTACGATAAAGGCTGCTGTCGGTGATCCTATACCTAAGGCATGGAAGCCTCGATATTCTCAGCAATGTTTGCGTGCATGGAAGGCATGGTCCCTCCATGTTGTTCGGATCAGGCGTGCACTATAAATCGTTAATTGGTGCGCCTCATTGCGCGGGCAAGATGACTTACCCTGATGCGCTGTAACTTGCACCGCACACACGCGTTCAGACTGCGGGTGAGACTCGACTCAGCTCTTAGTGCTGCTGACTTATATCTCCGTTTCTTGCGGTCTTTGGTCGAGCTACCGGACAAGCTAGAAGGGCTCCCAGTATCGTAACGTTGTGGTGCTTGCAATTGACCTCCATTGCTCCCGGAGTAAGCCCATCCTGTGTTTGGTGTCGTACTTTGGCCCAGAATGGGAAATCCTGCGCTATTTAAACTATTGATCTTGCTTAGCCACTCATCTGAAGATGTATTCAACAACATACTTGAGGAAGGGACCTTGGCCGAGACTCGAGAGTACTTCTTCTGGAAATCCAGGGTTCGTGTGATGCATCGGTCCCAGGTCGAAGGTTTTTTGCGAAGGACTATTGGGATTATCGGTTCTCGCACAAGCGGGTCGTACAAATGGTGATATAGTGCTACACTTATCGTTTGAATTGACCATTGGGACAATGGTTATGGTAGTGGTGAGTCAAAGTGATGATGTACAAGGCGGGGGAAGCGGCATTGGGGTGGAGGTGATCAAAGAGCGAAGGGGTGATGTGTGTTGCGCGTCTACGGTCCTTCCTTGGAGGGTCGGCAGCTGACATTCACGTGACGAGGGATGATCGAGACCGTAAGTATCGGCTACATTTAAGTGACTTTGAAGGAGGTAGATACCAAGTCATCACACCACATGCAACTACGGCGGTCGATAAGGACGACTGGGTCAGAACAAGCTCAACAGATGTGTGTTTTAGAGGGGTAGGACCAGGCGTCGGGGGGTGAATGTAGCAAGCCAATCTAGGAGGGACAGCGATTGTCGCGCTCCCTCACGCGCGTGTGATGCATCCAGATGCGCACTGTAAGGCTCCACCGCGTCCAGAAATAGCCGGTCTTGAAATCCATTGTATCACAGCAAAGCGAACACTCGTTTTGGACCTCACCGCATGTTAATCGTGGTCGGCAGTAGCGATGCCATTCAAGTGGCGTGCCCTTATCTCCCGGTTTTCGTCCCTGACAGTGACTTCTGTGCGTGGAAGGTGCTGTCCAGCTAAGGCCCTGCGGCCGGTGGGTGATTAAGCGGTTTCAATATGAGAGCTGGTTTGTGGCTTTTTGTATGTGGAACGCACGCGGTGTCCCGCCTTGTCCTTTCTATGTAAGTGAGTGACCGGTGTGCATGGTTGCTAATCGAGGCGCGTGGGATTTGATGGATCTGATGGGGTTTGATCAAATGTGACCAGCCCAGTGCGGTACAGACTGTTAAAACACATGTCTAGTCCGCCAGTTTCATCTGCCCTACCGCGCCTGTCCGTCATGACCCGTCGTCTCTATCCGCATTCTCTGCGTGTGCTACTATGCGCGTGCCTTAGCATGCGCATGTATGAAATGCTGCTGCTGATGACCGCACCCTGACCGCGTATTCTTGACAAGTTTCCCTGGGTGCCGTTCTGGCTGAAACACCGTTCCTTTCCTCTAAATGATGTGTAATCCTGACCCGTACCATGGTAACGCCAAAGCTGACAGCCCGAAAAGAAAAGAATAATGAGAAAACAAGACCCGCGCGCCGTATCCCTGCCGCTCCCACTAGGGAATGATGTGTTCGATGGGCTTGCGCCCGAATTATATTCTCGCCCGCTGGATAATGCTATTCAATCAGGGAAAGAAGAAATGCTGATGCTGGTAATCAATAAATGCTGCTGTTGGTGGATAATAGATAGGTCGGTCCGTCGACGGATCGATGTCTGTAGACGTCCTGGTGCCTTCTCTGGCGGGTTTCCTCGCTAGGACAAGGAGATTCGTCGCCTTTTGACTGCTGGCGGTGGTGATGATGGTGCTGTTGTCGGTGTTGAAGCGTCGTCGGCATGCTTGACACGCAGTCATCGCGTAGAGATCTGGCACGAGGGCGGGTAAGGGTACGAAGGGTAGGTCGGCAGACGTCTCGACGAGGGACGCTTGATCATCTTGGCCCAGGGTGCTTTGCTTGGTTGACGACGCTCACGGCAGGCGGCTATACGAGTCAGTTGGCTTGATTCAATCCCGTACCCGTATTACATACCACAAATATCGTCTCCCCTGAGTTTCGAGTCAGTCTATGTTTACGAATGTCGTATTTTTGGGAAAGGGCAGTATACCAGTACTGTTTGCTCACAATGGTGGGCGGACACCGCTTCTGCGTCTCAATGTACTTGGGACACCATGATTCCACTAGGTGATAGTGATGTTGACAGCTCAACTCTTTCTGTACAGAATCAGTACATTGGAAAGAATGCTGAGGACTGGGATCACGAACGTAAATATAGTTGCACATGGCGATGAAACTCGCAAAATCGCCCTGTGTTTGTGTGTGTGTGGTCGTGAAGGTGGTCGTGGGGTTGATGATAAGAGGCGGCACGCTGTTTGCCGATGTCGGTGTACGTAGGTTCAATGTTCGAGAGGTGTTATTGCTGATGAAAGTGGACGCAGATGCAGAAAAATGTTCAGCCGCTTCTCGAGAGCCTCAATGATGTTATAATAGAAATGTCAACAGAGGGAACCAAGGTCGAGAAGGTGGGTGACGTCCGGGTTTAATAACAAGTGCCTGGCACGTCGTTGCGGCCGGTCAGGACAAGCGGTCCTACCCCCAGAATCAGCCTGGCTACGGTACTGCCCTGCCAAGCCAAACGAGAAACTCAAAGGTTTCAACCCCGTCAGTCCAGTCCCTGTCTGGCAGATACGTACCGGTGCCATTCCCCAGATGGCCGGTGGTCTCTGGGACAAGGGGGGTGGGGTGTCTGCGAGTACAAACTGTACCTAGACCGTGGCGTGTGTCGGGACAATGGTGAGGCGGGAAAAAGGTCCCGGAGCCAGGGGTAGTGGGCGTGGAGATGGAGACCGGAGGGCGTGCGCTTTGCGGTGCGTCTATGCCCGATTGACAGCTACGACACGGGTCTGGCTGGGTGCGTACCGTTATTTGCAGCGTGCCCCGCCTGGCCTTTTGGTCGCAGGGGTGGCCGACGCTGAATCGAGAGTTGAGCGGTCTCATTGCGCCAGTATTATGGGCCAACGCTCTAATCGTTGACAGAGGAAGTGGCAACTTATTGGCAGACTCTGGACGCATCGCGCCTGTTCCTGAGCAATAGCCGCGTCTGTCGAGCAAACAACATGAACCGCTCGCCCAACGCGTCTGGCGTCTTGCCGCTCGGCAGGCCTACTTCTATGCATTGTGCTATTGATGATGGTTCTTTAGCGAACCCCGAATTCCTGTGAGTTCTACGTACCAGAGGAAGCCTGCGCTAGGGGCGGGTCTAGGCACAGCCTTAACAAGAGCTAGCTTGGTCGCCCCCCATCCCCCGCCGACCCAACCCCTTCCCCCGATGTACATAGCACACACACTAGCCCACACCATGTGGGGCCCTACAGGGGAGACGGAACCAGGGACGGGAGCCCGGTGGTTCAGCCTTGCTCGGTTTGCGTCAATTGAGTGAAGATTGAAAATACCCCATCGGAGCTCTTCAACGCTGCGTCCTGTCGACTGCCCCTGCGCCCACCAGGGCGCCAATCTTTCCACCATCTCGTTCCAGTCCTGCTGGCCCTAGACCTCTGTTAGATCACTCTTCAATTCTTTCCGACTAGAGGCATTTGTTCACAGTACGTCCTTTCGTTGCTCAGCCTGTGGCGATAAAACCTTTTGTTGCTTGTTGGGAGAGAGAGCAAGGAGCATGGCAGCTTGAGTATACATACAACCAAACGTTTTTCGCCCACTTAGGTTTTTCGTTTGGTCCGGCGTCAACACTACCCCAGCAGATGGGCATTGTGATAGCGCCATCTTAGGACACATTCTTCTCCTGCCAAGCGCGGTACTCGTTCGCAAGCTTTCGGTCCGCGTTGCTTTCCCTTATTCTCGGAGTCGAACATTTTGTACCTCAGCTGTGCTGACTACTAGTCTGCGACCACAACCAGGCTGTGCGCAAGCGTCGTCTGCGTCCCTCATTCACCAACCGCGGCGACTGCAGTTCAAGAAACTATCCAACTATTCTGACTACTCTCCCAACCATCATGGCCCCCCCTCCTATCTTTCGGGAGTCGACCATTTCCGGGGCCGACAACATTAGGTGAGCTCCTGGTCATCTACGTTTCATGTCGCTGTCCTAACCCAAGGTCAAGGTTTACTGATTCGAATGCCTTGTACTTTGGGCAACACCGTATTTTCCAACTCAGACCTCCAGCCGAGATATCTGGCGCCAACATGGTACAGGAGTTGAATCTTCGGCTGCCTTCTAAGAGTTCAACACTGCCATCTTTACACAGCCGCGAGCTTAGCTCTCCCACAAACATACCCCGATTCTTTGATATATCGCCGCGCTCCGCTCCCTTTGAACACGATGATGGGAGACACATATCACCTCGAAAAACTGATGCCGCCAAGTCTCCACAAGGACTTACGCCCCTCATCAGTAGCGACAAAACCATGTCCGCGCAGGGCAGCTATGAGGACACGGGGATGGGAGGTTTTAGTTCGCTGAAAAGAATGCGCATAGAAGGCAGCTGCAGTGCAGAAAGGCAAGAACGTAAGCGCCAGCCATCTAGTCGCTCGACCGCAGGCGGAGCCTTAACATCTCACGCGTACCGCGCAGATACCCGGAACATAGGGAGTTGTGCACCTTCAATGGATCTCTCCAACCTGTGGCTGACGACAACGACGACATTCGAGCGTCACTCACCGGAGTCGCACTCGCTTGGGTCTGTATCCTCAACGTCGGCTACATCGCCACATGCTACGAGCGCGTCCTTGTGTTCCAGCCCAACGTCTTCCGCGTCAACGGGAGCCACAGGGCACGGCAATAACAGTTCAGGGACGCCACTGCGCAGGGATGCGAATCAACCGCAGGATAACAAGAATCTCGAGACTGACGAAGACCGCATGTAAGAGGGGATTAGTAGGGATCGCTAGGACACATGAACTGACTACGAATAGGGTGCATACGATTGAGAAACAATTTAGCTGCAGCAAGTGCGGGAAACATTTCAAGAACAAGAACGAAGCCAAACGACATGCAAAGTCAGTGCATCTACGGCGATTCTCCTGGTCATGCAAGGCACCTTCTGATTTTCGGATGACTTTTTACCCATCGACAGCACGCCCTAGCGAAGCTGATACCTGTGGGTACTGCGGCAAAGATTTCGCGCGCTCAGGGGGACCACCTAAGAGCAAGTTTGCGACAAAGGGCGACTGGAATAAGCGCCTCTATCACCTCGAGGAAGCTCACGAATTCAGCAAGTGCAATCGCAAGAAGTTCTACCGGGCGGATCATTTCCGCCAACACCTCAAGCATAGCCATGCTCGTGCCGGGGGGTCCTACCAACTCGACAACGCCTGCATGACTGAAGCCAACGGTGGCTCTGGCGCCTAGGTGAAGAAAGAGCAGAAGTTAATGTAAAGAGGAAGAAATTTCGAACAAATAGGACAAGGAAGACTGAACGGTAGGCTATTCGAGGACTACAAGAAAAGACACACCGTGCATCGTTTTTCTTTTTTAATAACTGTGCAGTTATGTGAAGTCATGATCCAGCTTTGTTCTACCGTGAAGCTCCTTGGAGGCTTCATAGCTTCCTGCCTCCGAGAGTTTAAGGCGTTATAGACCACGCACAGGAGGCAAGGATTGTTTCCGTACCGATTGATCGTTTGAGGGTAGCAATCCGGGAGCCAATGACCATCCAAGCCCCGGCCCGCCATTGAAGGGCAAGGACCCCCATCCAACGTCGCTCAGACGACCACCCTCCCACCTCCCAGGGCAGAAACTGTCTGCGTCCTCACGATAGAGATCCTTGCGACGGTGCATGATATAGACGGAGTATCCCACAGTCGTTCCACGCGGTACGAGTACAGGGGTGCTGCCTTCTGGGCCGCCACCGACCGGTAGGGTTGTAGTCTTTGTAGCAGTCCGAGGATTAACGGACACGGAAGGGTAGACGGAAAGCACTAGGCTGTCAGCATACTATAAAGAGGATCGGAGCTGGCCCCGTCTGCCGGCAGATGGCCAGACAAAGCTGTTTTAATGGACAGACCTTCTTTGATCACGAGGTCAGTGATTCCATCGACCTTCGTTCCTTCTCCTCTTTTCTTCCGCCGTCTTCATCAACGGCAACCGGCAGAGGCACCGGGAGACAAACGGAATGCGACTTCAAAGTTGGTGCGTGAGCCGTGCCCGGCTAAACAAAGTGGACTGACCCGGAGGCAGACGAGGCGATGGGACCGAGATCGCTCGAACTGACTCACCTCCGAAATGTCGGGAAAAGGAAGAAGCAGAGGGGGGCGCTGAAGATAACGAGTAGACAGGTACGCCTCCATGCGAAGTCTTGGTCTCCAGACCAGCGTATCGCGGAAGCAATGCGCAACAAGGCTGGGAAATACTGTACGCTCTTGTGGGTATCGGGTGACGAAGATATGCGAATTTTGCGCCATTGTCAAAGCGGCATCCATGGACAACAAGGACTGGACATGCCAAACATGCCATAAGTTCATTGATAATGCAATAGAAAAGGTTCTTCAGGACGAACAGAAGCGACCAGAGGACGAGAAGGGCTACGCCTTCATCAACGATCTTCTGCAGACAACACCAGACCCCAAGGCCCTACGAGATCAATGTATGGATATTTTATTGGCCGGACGAGATAAAAATGGTAGCTGCCTAATGTGGTCGTTGTAAGTATACGAGCCTTGCAGACCGGCGAGACACAATGCTGATCCAGAGAAGCCGACACCTTGTTCGGCACCCCCAGCTACTCGATCGCCTCCGAAAGGAGGTCGCACAACATGCCGGCATCGGGCCCAGTGCGGAGCCTCCCACATGGCTAGCACTCAAAAAGACGGCATATCTTGACTGGCAGCCTAATGGATTGGTCTTTCGAGGCAGGCACAAGGCGACGCGAGGGCAGACCACCTCGGGTCCCTAGGACAACACTTCCACATGCCGCGACAAGGCATGCATAAGGGGAGAGCACGTCTAATGGTAGGAATTTCTGGTAGTCCAACGATCTGCTACCCCTACGACATTTACTCGGTCGCCGACCATTCGGACTAAGAGGTCCAAAACGATCATCGGTATACCCCATTCGCGACAAAGAGGTCGCCAAGGGCCGCATCCATTTCACGTCGTGGTCTTTCCTCGTGGATGTGGCGACGGCCTCTTTAGGATGCAATGCTGGCGATCTCTTCTAGAGTAGTCTGGGAACATGGAACTGGTTGATGCCTTTCGAATGGTTCTGAAAGTCTATGGCGAGTGGGTGGGATGTTCGCCATCACGGACTCGCAGAGCCGGCTGTCTATTTGATCTCTGGGAAAGTTGACTTCGCGCCCTTGAACGAGATCTCACTTTACTATGAGCCGTAGGTCTATGCTCTCGAAGTAGGAGAGTGTGCTAGTACTACCGTCATGACTTTGGGCAGCTGTGCCAAGTTATCCAGGTCTCGAATTGATCCGATCGAGATCTGCGTGTGAAGAAATGTCCATTTCATGCCGGTGCGCCCCTTCGCACATGTTGCAATTCGAAACATTGCTTTGCAAACGCCAACGGTGGAAATGACCCAGTAGTGCAATAAAAAGGCAACCCAATCATGGCTCTTGTGCAGTGGCCGCTCCCGGAACTGCTTTCAGATGTACAGTGTCACCTCTGGTCCAAATTGAAGTACGGCAGAGCCAAATTTGCCTGTGAAGAACCCTGTTCGGCAGAAGATCACACACTTAAAGGAGAGCCACAAGATACTGCGTTCGACGTACCATTTAGCTCTCAAGGCGCCCGCACCATTTCCTAACCTACGTTCATCATCACCAGCGTCCTTCTCCCTTAATAGACCCCGAATCTTCAGACAACGCAGCATGTTCCCTGACGAGCCTGCCAAGGCACCACGGGTGCAATGCAGTGACCGGAAACAATCGACTCCATTCTCCACGTCTCAATGGGAACAGGAAGTTGCGTCACCAACTTCCAGTCTAGGACTTCCTAGTGGAGTGTGGATGGAGGTCCAGCGTTCTGACATGAGCTCCAGTAGCTCGCCGACCCTCTCCCCGCCGCCAGCATATTGGAGCACGCCAGTACCCGAATTTAGGACGGACAACTCTCGGACCTTTACGCCCAGTACAGATTTCATTCAAAGTAGTTCAAGTAATACTTGGATGTACCATTCGCCGATTGCCACACCTTCCGGGACTGTTGATACAGTCTCGCAGGCCGGCGGGCTCCGTCTGCCAAGTGTACACCTGCTCCTGGCACAACTTTTTGTCTTTATTCTTGGTTGGAAACTCGTATCGCGTTGACGCGTTTTTCATTTGAGGATACTCTAGCTCGGGACCGAGAGGCGCTCGTGAACGATAGGCGGACTGGGATAGACCTCGCAAGTGAAACATATATTCTCTCCATAGCATCAACTACCTTCATTTTCGAAAATAGCTCACTATTCTGCTAGAGCAAGTGAACCAGGCTAGAAGCGTTGTGGTGCCGCTACGCACTTCTTGTTCAAGGCTACTATCGGGCGGGAGGTCGGCAGGGCAGAGTTTTCGGCTGATTTTGCAGGCGAAAGATCAGGATTGTAACAGTCGCTGTGGAAATCACAGCCTTGGTTTCATTCATGAAGCGCTGTTCATTGCAGACATAAAGTGGTTAAACTAATGGCACGCGAAGGGAGATGTAGTATGTATTAACACTTCGGTTTTTCAGACGTGTCCTGAACCTGAGAGATGCGCTTAGTACGCTTTTTGGGGCTACAGTTGAGCCTAAGACCTGTTTTCATCTTTAGTGCGGAGAGGTTTCGCAGAGAGGGAGGCCAAGCTTCTCTAGAAACTGAGTGAGTATATCACACACTCAAGAGCAGCTGAGTCTAGGTGAGTGTGGGGGGGGGGGGGGCAGAAGTATACAGGTAATGGAAAGCTCTCACGATGCAAATAAAGCCGCCTTATAAACTCAAAGCTCAGCAGGATGCAAGTAGATACCCTAGGCAGATACATAGTATTCAAACCGAGTGAAGATTCTTCCTGTGATTCACGTGTTTGTATGGCCTTCAAGCACAACTACAAGCCAAGACTACTCCCTTCTTCTTCTCGCGCGGTGTCAAATGTGGCGCCCTCAAATCAATAGGACATAATCTACTATTGAATTGGTGCATGCTACAGCAGTTTTCCTTGATGCCAGACTAACCTTCTACATCACATGGCGTCTAGAATCCCAGTTCAATGTCTCGAGTCATTCAGGTACAAAGCCACGTAATATAAACCTCGCTGAGGGTACGACCGGCCATGCCGCATTGGTACGAACATTGTATGATCAGGTAATCAAATACAGGCGGTTCTTACAAGCGAGATTCGCACGAACAAGGATAAATAACCAAGAGCCGAGATTCGCACGAGACAGCTTAAACGAGCAGGCTTTGTCAAACGCAAGGCAAGGAAACAAGCAAGCACGAATAGAAGGCGAGGAGGTAGGGCGTGATACGAGTACTGGTTGGCGGTTACAGTGTATCGTTACCCCTCCAGATCTTGCTCTGAGGTTCAGCTGAACCCCCAATTAGACGGTGAAAGCTTGTTCCCGTTTCCCTAGATTCGTTGGGACATGTTCCTTCCGCAAGGCATGCTCCGTACCCACCCCGTGACTGCATTTCGACAGAGAGAGAGGTTCAAGCGGCCGAGTCGGATCAGTGAGCAAATCATGCACTGAAAGAGCTCATACGCCAGAATATGCTCCCACAAGCGATGGAGTCGCGGACTATTTGCTCTAGAGTAACGATAGAGGATATCAACAACTTTGTTCATCAGGTTCGGCCGTGCTTGAGCAAGATATAATTCACAGTATGTTCCTGAACATCTTCGCATGATGTGTATGAAGTTTCAAGCCGGCAACGACAGGCCAAGTTTCCAATCTCCGCGATTGCCTAGCCATGAATCCTACCTCAGCGTGCTTGTCTGACATTGATTATTTCATATCCGGTTCGGTATATGCTCATCACTGCTGCTCGACAGCGGTCGTCGGCCCCTTTTCTCATTCATCAAGATGAGAGAACGCGATATTACCACGGGAGCCGAGACGAAATACGTCGGATGCCATATTTTATTCTACCATATGCTGCTTCTAGCACCGTTTCTCTAATAAGGTGACTTTGCTTTAATCATGCCCAGCTAGATTACGGCTCCGCCGCGACCGGGTGTTGAGCGTGAAACACTTCTAACGCTATCTGATGCAAAGTTTCAACGGAATAACATAGATTCTTCAGCAGCCGCTGGAGGTTGACGAGTTCCGCTCCTAAATCACCCAAGCTAAGAGAAATTTTCTCTCTGTTTGTGGGAGCGTCATCGGTTGTATCTTCGATATCTGCGAGTCCCAAGGCACCCTGGAGATGCCGACTGAGAGTAACCGCTTTCTGAATATCCACCTGGGAACTGTAATATTGCCGACTAGCCTTTCTGTTACCCTTTTCATGGACAGCTTGGCCGATGCCGGTCTGAATCGAATTGTGTTTTGGCGTTACAGTTGATCCGAACCTCCTTGGGGGGTTTTCTCCTGTCTGTGGCAGTGTATTTCCCTCGTCGAGGTCACTGGAACATATTTCGTCGTCACTCGAAGTGCAGGATGCTTGGGAAGGAGTTAGTCCTACGATGCATAAAGACCGCAATGCTCACCTGAGTCACTTGGTTCCCATTCTTCGTCTATTCATTTTGTTTAATGTCAATCAAAGACTGGGGCCGAAGCACGTACCTGACTCTTCGGATGAGAAATTTCCAGACAGGATATTGAAGCCGTACATTATGTGCGTGGAGCAAATAAAAAAAGAATCAAGTCTAGCCTATATATACCTTTTCATGGGGCAGACGATGGCATCCAGTTCGGGCCTTCGATTTCTATCTACGGTAGGCTGTTTTGACAACTCTCTGTGCAAAAGGCTCAAAAAGGCCGGGCAGGTCCTGTATCAGATATAATGGCAAGTAAAGGCTACAGATGAACCAAGCGCGAAGACCGTAACGCGATCATACCTATTGGAATCTCAGATAGTACAGTAGCTTCTTTCATCTTCACGGGCCGTTTAACTGCACTGGCCGTGCACCCTAGCTTCCTGACCATCAGGGCAAAACTCTCCTGATGAGAATGTCGTGCTTGAAGGTGTGTTGGTGCAATGCGGACAAGGCCGCTTTCCTGGTGGTCGCACAGTACCTAGACTTCACCAGTGCTTATGACACCGCACCTATTGGCGACGGGTCGGGAGCACGTTGACAGGGCCGGTGGCAATTCAAGGCCCAACGCGTATGTGACGCGATCTGTTTCCGACAGGCAGTCGCTTTGGAGGTCGACATGCTTGTGTGGGCGTTGCTCGATCGCACCAGGTCTGGCCTCCGGATATAGACTCTGGCTACGTATCTCCTGCCCCTGCCCTGCCAACTTTACAAATCGAGATCCAGGTCCAAGACATGTTATAGTCGTGAGAACATGCAGCTTCCAAATCACGCACTCTGTCTGTTAATGGCCCCAGGGTCCGGATCTCTGCTCATGAAGATGCTTCGATAGATCGGAATAAGCCGCGCTCGCGCTGGCCCGGTGGCCGCTGTTAGATGAGCGTTCCATGTCCTGCACGGCTGGATATGTTCACCAACCGGCGAGACGCTGGGTGCAGGTAGGTATTTTTCCGTGTAGAGTGCACCGTGATGATTTTACAGAACAAACAATACATTGTTTGGCGCATGGTCAGATTCATGGCCCGACCTACACTGTTCAAAACTTGGGGGTGACCTACAGTACACAGTGCGATTGAAAAAGTTATACGCACCAGGTTCTTTTGCGGAATTGCAAAATACTAACAAGACCTATCTGGGGCCATAGTGTTCGTGCGGATGTATGAGGGTGTTTGGGCTCTCATCGCGCGTCACAATGCAATTCCCTCGCTGGGCGCTATCGCTGCCTGCGATGCACGCGTCGCGTGATGGGGCTTGCTCATGGTGTTTCGCTCTATGTGCCCGCCCTTCGGCCGCTCGTATCCTCTATGACCCCAAATACATTAAAGAAGATGTGGGCGTTCGTGGCCACGGGCTTGCTACCGCGCTATGAGATTCTGTAATTTTAAAAGATTCGTTCTCACTGTTGCGTGGTCGTTTTCTGAATCATCCAATCACAGCGTGTAGCACGCCACGACAGGTTTACGCAAAGTCACGTGTCATGTAAAGCCGAATGCGCCAGACGCCCTTCAGACTGGCGTTCTCTTCGCGACGTCTCGAGCGCCTAAAATTAGGCGGCAACGCAGTAAAGTCTGCGCAGACGGTCATGTGATGATTGCACGCAACGGCTCTCTCTCGCTTCCTCTCTTCTCCTCATAACTGACACGCCGACCATGGCAGATCGACCTCGGTCAGACATTATCAAGGAATACCCCTTGGGAAAGGTCTCGATGCATTTCGCGATTCCTTCAAGTCTATTTGCATAAGCCAAGACATCCCATCCAGCCCAGCGTCACTGAGCAAGCTAAACCACGATGGTAAACCGACCCGACGCTCTAATTCTACACTGCTAACTCTATAAGTCTTCAAAATCTAATTCTTAATCTCCTCCTGGCGCTATAAGGTTGGCACGCATCTCGTCTGCTTCGTCTCGGCGGGAGAGGCAAGAACCTCTTCGGCAACTTATCAAGACTCGGTTCCTCCGTTAACTCCTCCGATTTGACTTCGACTGATTCAGCCAACTGTTGAACGTATCCCTGACGGACACAGATGACGATGCACTCGTCTGGGATCAAGTCTACATCGCCGTTGCCGAAAACACTACGCCGCCACGATCGACGGCATCGTCTCTCCAACAAAGCCCATAGCTCCGCAGTACGAGTAGCTCCGCAAACCTAGCTAACTCTAACGCTATTATCCCCTCGGCGACGTGTCGGCGTGCCGAAAATCGAACGCCGATCCTCCCGAAATACTATACATTATAGTAACCTGATGGAAAATGGTGCTGGAGAACCTCATTTTTTGCCCTGCATCGACTTACAGTCCCGAGGCCGGCGGCGACGCGCGACGGCAGAAACGAAAGGGACGGCGTTTCTTGTCCAACGCCACATGCGGTCGCATGTCGGGTCGTAACATTCTTGGCTACTGAGGGTAAAACGATGGCATCTACTTATGGTGTGTAAACCGGTGGGTTGGATTGAAAGGGACAGGCGATGCATTTGGAAGGGTGAAGAGCCCTTCCCTGTGATTAGTGAGATGCGTAGATATTTCTCCCGTAACGATACACTCTGTATGGGGTCCATCACCAGGCCTCGTCGCCACCAAGAGTCTTCCTAATACAACATAGCTTGACCCAGGGTACGACCAGCAGCAGCAAGGGTGCGGTTGGTGGGCTTCGACATTTAGCAAGAGAAAGGGAAGGAACCGGCACACCAAAGCACAGGAAGACAGCCGCCAGCACGTTGACGGCGACAGTTGGAGCGTTGGCCAGAGCAAACTAAAAGTTCTAACAAAAGGACAGGAGAGGAAACGGGCGAAAACCATGCAACAATACGGGCAGAAGCGCGCAACTCAGCAAGAGTGAGGCTGTGGAATGTCGTCGCACATTGCATTGAGGCAACAGGTGCACCACGCCGAAGTTTCGCGTTCGCTGAGGACGCGTGCCGGATCCTAATCGGCTCTGGGCAGCTCGATAGGGCGGGAAGGACCAGGATCGCGACCGGACCCGAATCGTGCAGAGAGCGTGGGAGAGGGCGTGAGCATAGTTTGGAAGCGGATGCGGCACGCTGTAGGGCAGAAAACGGTCTGGGGATTAGGTTCGCTCCGGGTGCACACTTAGGCTCTACGACGCACCTTTTAACGAGCAGCTCAATGATTAACTACAAGGGGTACTTCAAAGAGACGAACTGAACCATGCCAGCTATGCCATCACTGTAGACCTGCTATCTACTAGAGACGCCGGGGCTTGAATAGTCATTGGTTTCCGGACCGCTACCCTCAAAACGATCAACCGGTACGGAAATAGTGCTTGCCTCCTGTACGTGGGTCGTGGCACCTTAACTCTCGGAGGCAGGCAGATATGAAGCCTCCAAGGAGCTTTATAGTAGAACAAAGCTAGAACATGACCTAACATAGCTGCACAGTTGTGAAGAAAGGAAAATGATGCATGGTGTCTTTCCTCATCATGCATGGCGTGATGTGTTCGGCTTGGCTAATGCTCTGAGAAGCGGGAGGCACATACTTGGACTGTCGTCTGAGCGCCTTTTCATTGGCGCTTCTGGCGGAGGGAGCCTGTATAAACACGGGGGTTGTGTGTGAAGGAAGACCAGTCCACCATTTCATGTGTGGCCGCTTCTCCTTTTGGCCAACTGCAGTTGAGAGGCTTCTTTATGTCCTGCGCTGCGGCGCGAATGCAGACACAAGCCCACTTTGCTCGAGTCTAGGCCAACAGGCGGCCGAATAGTGTAAGGCGTCAGGTTTCGTGGAGCCTGAGGGCAAACAAGATACAGGCCCGTCCGCATTATGAGTAATCACCATCCCCGCCCGCCACCTTGTCGATGAGCCATTCCACCTGCGCAGTATGAAAAAGACGTTCATCTCCCCTGGGTCATGATGTCCCCCGCCCTCTGCCCCTACTCTCAATCAGACCGTGCGACGCTACAAAATTCGACTCACGTCGCATTGCGAGTTTCACCAGTTTATACAAATTCCATCTCACTAAGACTTCTACAGGGTACGTAAGCCAACTAGGCCAAGTCGTGTCCCAATAACACAAGCCAGTGTAGCAACATGTCGGGCAACAGCCAAAGCAACAGCCAAGGCAACTCTACCTCACCCGACACATCTACTGGTACTGCGACCATGCAACCTGTGTATGGGATTCCGATCTCGGGTTCACAAGCACAACAGCTGTCATCGTCCGGAACAAAAGCACAAGCCCGCAGAGGAAAGGCACCAAGGCCTCCAACTCCCCCAAAGAAGTAAGGTGACACCTCCACCGCGGGAAAGAGTTCGATCGTTATTGGCAAAATTGGATTTATGATTTCGATGCCTCATCGTTGCATTCCTCGAACAAATTATCAAGCTTCTTGGAGTACTGATCATGATCTTGCAACTTTTTCTGAAGAATGTGTGCCCATCCTGAAAGATCAGCTAATAGCGTGAAATCGGTCGTGTGATCTATCGTGAGTTGGAATTGATAAGGCAAGATGCGGTACCAAAAGATTGAGGAGAAGGCGATTGGATCTTGAATTGCGAGAGCGAGCCAAAATACCCCACTCGCCCATGCATGTCGCATTACAGACGAAAGCTTTCTAGGAGTCCTTAAAGCAAGAAGCTCCTCCTGCTCCTCCAGGATCTGAATAAATCGGTCATGATGAGGGCTAAACGAGGTTTGATCAATCTCATCGGCGCACTGCCCTCCAAGCCAGTAGGGGGGGTGTTGGAATTCGAGAGGCCACGAGCAGGCGTACTCAAGATCGATGATACGCATGATGTTCCAATCGTCGTCCACTATAATGTTGCTTCTATGGAGATCTGTTAGACTGCAGACGAAGGGGCCAGAACGGAGGTCATTCTGTAGCATCTTCGGAAAGATGGCTCGTGCTGCGACAAGACCACCCATCTCGAACTGCCAGTCGATCTCGGTTGCCACGGTATTAGGCTGGTGCAGTAGTCGGTTATGAAAGGCGTCTAGGTGTGCGTGTACGAGGTCGTCCACGCAGGCATAAGTCTTGTGACGTGGCATTTCAAGGGGAAGGTTTTCGTTCTCTTGCATGATAACCTCTGTGGTGAGCGGGCGGTTGTCGAGGTGGATATAGCCGGTATCATCGAGTCGGAACGCACCAATGCGGGGAAGTGGAACGGCTGCGAGCGAGAGAAGTATTCGCGCGAGGCCTCGCTGGAGATTGTATTGCAGACGGTCGTCCTTCCTTTTTTCTTCCCATGAAGCCGAAAGCATTCTTCCTTCGGTATCAGGGATGGTCTCAATCACCAAGTAGCCTAATCCGAGTGAAGTAGAGAAACTCGAGTTATGCGGGATGTAGTGAGTTGGATATGGATAGCCAAGCAAGATTCGAAAGTACCGCTGAATACCATGGAGCCAGCGTGACCACCACGGTAGGCGGCTTACGTGGGTCAGCTGTAGAGATGAGCGAGGGTTAGCGAGCTGTCAATTGTCGAAATGTATGCCACTAATACCTGCTGGCCTGTGGCTAGTCCTACGCCGTATAAATGTGGTATAGGGACCGAAGGACAGTGTTCCTGAAGCCATGCATAGGTCGCTGCTTCGCATCTGAGCTTCTCATCTGCGTTCCCAGGACGCGTTGTCTCTCCGACACGGTAAGGCAGAGGAAATCGAACCATGACAAAAGTGGGCTGCCCTGGGTCGGGGGCTTCGACGCGAGCCGGCACGCAGACATTGAAAGATCCACGGCGCCAATACTCTGGAGGTGAAACATCGCAATGCGCCGGGTCAACGCCCAAGTGGTGGGCAACAATGGCGCGAATAAGTTGACATTGGCTTTGGAGGCGCTGAAAGAAAGCTCGTTGGAGACCCGGGTATTCAAGCTGGTGGATAACGTTGGACCCCTTCTCTTTTGCTCCAGAGAGGGTGATAGGACCAGAAAGTAATTCGCGGGTCGCCATAAGGGAGAGGGGGCGTAAGTAAAGGCCGACGGTAAAGAAGGGCAGATAGCTGTCGGATTGGGTAAGGTTGAATGAACCATCGTCCATGCTAGCGGATCACGCACGTGACATTCTGTTCCATCGCGGAATGCCGCCGCGCCGCCGATTTAGTCACGTGATATTCGTTGTCCAATCAGGAAACGTGGCTGTTGACTTCAACACACAGGTTGGCACAACACAGTCGCGGATGGAAGAATGCATGGCGCGGTTGCAAGCTTGCAACCGCGCAGCAAAGCTCGGTGTTGTCAACCTAATCTTGGTGTGTGCAACTCCTCACCTTGTTGTCTTGACGAACACACTTGGGATGCAGTGGCGGACGATCTGTACGTTCCACGGTGTGGTGGGGGTTCTGACAGCTCTCTTGCTGTTCTGTCACACCATAGCATTTGCGTTATCACGAAATTCCTTTACTCTCGCAAGGACCGAATTTTTTTGGGCAACAGTGGTTAGTCCACTCTGACTGTGAACAACCGGTCGGCTTACGACTATATATATAAAGGCAGCAGCTTCCACAATTCGCCTCTTCCAATCTGATTTCCTGCCTCCGAAATCGCTGGTACAAGATATTTTTCGTGCCCATCGAAGTCTGGCAATTTTATCATTATGTGGCATTTCCATCTCTACAGCTTCGCCCGTACAGGCTCTCCGAGGAAGGATATGAGCCGCCTCCAGATCCAGGATATCACCAGCACCAGCGTTGTAGGTATCTCCCCTGCCCAAGCGGTCCCCCATGGAGAACCGTATGCTGACCCCTCAAGATGGTGTACCCTGCTATCGTGACCACGATCCGCCTTGGGAGGCCGCCCACCCTCCATCGAGGCCAGGCGCGTATCTCATGACCGCCGTGCCAGTGGCGACCGACTCGGGCCTCGATTGAGGAGAGGTCGACCGACATGAAACAAGCTGGGTCGCACGAGACCGGTCTCGAACCAAATGACGAATATGCTGGTCAACCGCCGCAGCACGACCTTTCGCTGCGGCGCTTCGCGTTACATGCCAGTGCCACCGGACTCGCCGATATCTTGGTTGCCGCCGTCGGAACCCGTCCGTCGTCACTGTGTCACCTACGCATGCTGCACGGGGACGTTATGGCTGTTGCCACCGCTTTCGGTTGCCGAGACTGGAATTTGGCTTGCGTGCTCCCTGGTGCCTAGCTCCGCGACTAAAATGGTTGGAATCGCCAAACACTGGCTAACGCTTCTTCGTTAGAATATGGAGATTCGCAACCTCGTTAGACTCTCAAATTCATTCCGAAGAGCCAGAGCTCGGCAAGAGGCAGCGACTTACAAGGAGGGTATGTGCCGCCTGCCCCATCCTACTTGTTGTCCTCATTGAACCAGTCCAGGCTACTATTAAAAGTACGCCTTCTACTACACTCAATACGACGGTTTACTTTCCACAACGACTTAACCATAGAGATCCACTGCGTTATCTACTTGCGCCGCTTTCGCACCAAAAAGGCCCTCCTACAGCACAATAAATCAACCGGGCACTCAGTTTGCCAACATTATCAAACAATATTCGCTAGCCTAGAATGCCCTAAACAACATATCGATACAGCCCAAGAGTAGAAATATCCCTACTATTGCGCAAGCTACTCGACAGCATCAGCCTTAGCAAACCATTAAAGAAGATCAAACCACTGCTACTACGGTGATTGCAATAAGTCGTTCTCAAGCCGGTCAGCATTGAACTCCCACTTACAGAGCTCACTTCACTCTACCGACTTTCGATACTACGACTGCGACCGACAGTTCAAAAGCTCTCAGTCCCTAGAGCAGCACCTCCGAGACGCTACTCATTCGCCAAAATCTAAACACAAATACAAAACGTGCCATCGCAAGTTCCGGACCGCCATCGCTCTTAAAAACCACGTGCGCGACAAGACTCATCCAAAGATCCAGTATGACAAGTATTCTCGGGAGTTTTCGCTTGCAAGTACTCTGCAGCAGCACCTACAGTCTCCTGCTCAGCACCCGTTATGCAATCTTCGCTATAATGGGAGTTTATGCCGCATAAAGTTCTCTACGCTATCTAGATTAATCCACCACCTTAGAAGCGGGACATATTCATCCGGGATACGCCGCAAGAAATTCAACCGCTATATCTTATCCTATAATACAGACCGCCTTATCACGCGGCCTCATCACGACGCGGACGGTCTTCTCCTCGAAGTCAATAAGCGACTAGAAACAATAACACAAGTCCAAAACACTAAGGTTGGGCACGTTAAGCACGAAACCTTCTTTCTGTGATTCCAAAACGTCGCTCACTCCCAGCTAGACTCCAAGTTCGGAGAGTCTCACTTCCGAGGACTAGGCAGTGCTCGTGTCTCAATCAGGCACACAGAGCTACCCTTTCTGCCCCTCAGAACGCTTGCCTTTTATATCAGAACTAGCTTTGCAGCACCACCTCCAATCGGCAGCTCACTATCAACCTTTCGTATTTTATCCCAGCCCGCTAGGGTCCAAGCGAATAAGAAGCAAGCACCAGTCCGTGATATCTTTCAACACCATTAGCGGGCTGGTACAGCATCTTGAAAGCAGAAAATACTTAGGCGGCATAGCTACATTCTAGGAGGCCATGAGCTATTTAGAGACACGTATAGAAATATTAGGGCTAGACATGAAATTTATTACTTAATTTACTTCGCATGGGCAATCAAAATGTAGGGCAGAGCAAGATCTCTCCCTAAAATTACTTCTATATCCCTAGCATCTATCCCTCTAATCCTTATAATGCAACGCGTGCATCTGAATTATGATGAACGGTAAACAGTTCTTCATATTCTGCATAACCGTATTGACGAGGGCGCAGGCAGCTGAAGATCAGACAGACTATTGTGGCTGTCGCTGGTGCTCTTCATTTCCTGCACAGCAATGAATGTATCCACGGCGATATCAAGCCGGACAATATTGGCGCACGGGGCTGGGAGCGCGACGTGTCTGCAATGGTGCTCCTAGATACTAACGGCTGTATACGGATGCCAGCCCAGGGAAAGATCACCCCCCCAGATCCAGGCAGGTGCGGGCTTGCTCATGGTGTTTCGCTCTATGTGCCCGCCCTTCGGCCGCTCGGATCCTCTACGGCCTCAAATACATTAGAGAAGATGTGGGCGTTCGTGGCCACGGGCTTGCTACCGCGCTATAAGATTCTGTAATTTCAAACGATTTGATCTCGCTGTTGCGTGGTCGTCCTCTCCATCATCCAATCACAGCGTGTAGCACGCCACGCCAGGTTTACGCGAAGTCACGTGCCACATAAAGCCGAATGCCGGTCGGCCGATGGGAAAGGAACGGGCGACTAGTCGCCCTGTAGGATAGGCGTCAGGTCCACAGGTCCCAATGACACACAAACGAAGAGGTCGTAAACAAGAATATACACCATACTAACACAGTCTTTTAATACACGGTAGTGTAATTCACTATCTCCTCGCGATACGACCAAAATCCAGTAGTCATAAAGCTCGAGTTTCTCCTGTCGCTGACAGCTTAGTCATGTTAGGAAATGGCCAGAGGATCTAGTTCCGTTTGAATGACTGGGAGTTGGCGAACCCATCGCTCGGCTAAACTGTTGTGACTACCGTGGAAGCTAACTCGTCCGAACATTCCTACATTCTCATCGCGTTTGTTAACGACACAGCTAATTGCGGCGCCCACCATTTCGTCGCGCAGTCGCCGCCATTCATCCGAACGAAGTCTAGTGGCATTAATCTCAACGTCTGCTACCTGTTCGTCTTCCTAATGCCCGTACGGCCGCCACTCGAGCCCCCTCCTAATACCGACACCGGCGACCCCGGTTACATCGACTTCCGGCATCCTGCGTATCCTGACAGCGAAGCGGCGCTGCTGCGCTTCGCTGCAATCGATGGTGATCATGGGGATGGGGTCGACTTTGAGGTCGCGCTGGTTGCCTGTGGGATCATCACAGGCAATACCTGGCACTGTGGGTACATCGCGGAGATGGACACCGGGGGGGGTTATGTGAAGGTCGACAAGTCTACGACCGACGTTCTAAGACGACGGACGTATTACTATTTTGTTGATGAACAAAGACCAGGCTGTAGGTCACTTCTATTGCCTTCCTTGCCTTTGCTATGATAGGGAAACTGATATTGTTCGCAACAGATAAGTACCCTGTTATACCTTCGTTCGATCACTGGCGCTTCCCACATAGGAACCTCCCTTTCGCCTGGAAAAATATCAACATGCCACAAGCAAGCCGTTCGATGCTCAAGAGGAAGATTGCTGCGCAGGACCGAGATGGGACATGTCGTATCTCAAGACACGCAAGCGCTCTCGAGGTGGCACATTTCGTGCCCGTGGCGGACGAGAAGTGGTTCGCATCTAACAAGATGGACCAGTATGTTATTGACCTTATGACCTTGACCCCTGCTGATTCTGCATGTCTAGGTATGTCAAATCTGGTTCCGAAACACGGCCTACGGAAGACCCAACCAATCTAATCACTCTCCGGCGTGACATCCATTACCTCTTCGATACCCGCCGCTTTACATTCGTTCCGAAACAAGACACAGCTAGGCAAGAATGGAGCCTAGCTCTTCACGTTTTCGCCCCAGACGAAAATCCGGACCTCATCCCTCTCTACCACAACAGGTCTCCCGCCCCACTCTCAGGCATCTCCATCGAGCATGTCTTTGCGCGCTTCGCATGGACTATCTTCTCTGAAAAGACGCTACGCTTTTTCAAGGGCGTGGCCGAATATGTGGTGCTTTTGTTTGACCCCCAGGCAGGCAAGGTGATCGAAACCAAGCTCAGATCGCCTGAGGTACGGATGTCACTTAAGATCTTTAGTTCATCGAGTCGCACGCCGAGTCCGAAAAAGAGGCCGCGAGATCAGTCTGCAGAAGACGATCAGTTCTGGGGAGAGGAGAGAGATGATGTATCTGTTGCTTCAGATTGGGATCCACCGCGCGGACGACGGCGGGAGCGCAGTTGGGATTACTGCAACAGTAATAGTCCGCCGGGATAGATCCAGTCGTTTATCTCGACAGAGTCAGATCGGAGTGAGAGCCAAGACGATGTTGCTGAAACGTCAGGTGGAATTGAGGCCTGATGGCTCTCCTGACCCCGCGGCGATTCCTCATGTCACAGGACCTGGGAAGACCACTCGTAGTGATGTAGTGCACCAGCCCCAGAAGAGAGCGAAATATGGGCCCGACAGGGAATGACGGTTGAATGATACAATGACCCAGTTGTTCCAGCCTTCAATCATTTGATAGAGTCACTGTGACTGAGAATCTACAGTCGCGACCGAAATGGGCGACCACTTGGTATGACTTGCACGCTCGCTCCTGTTGCGGTCGCTTCTGGAAGATGTGGGGCTAGTGGGGCCGGCGAGGTCAAAGTTCCACTGTGTTTCCCCTGCCAATCCGCATCGTCAGCCGGGAACGGCACGAGCTAACAGCCAGCCAAAATCACAGGATCTCCTATTATGTATCCGTAAGCTAAATCCCTCTTCCCGCGGCATAGGTGGTCGCCGATTTCGAACGTCTCCGCCGTAACCCAACGACTTGTGATATTGCGTCAGTAGCATAGCTATACCGCAATTCGAGCCCACAGAAGAGGGGCTTTCAAGTCCATACAGAAATTACACTTTGACTTACTTCATTCAAGCTTGATATGCTTCGCATGGGCAATCAAAATGTAGGCAGAGCAAGATCTCTCCCTAGACTTACTTCTACATCCCTAGTATCTATCCCTCTAATCCTCCTTATAATGCAAAGCGTGCATCTGAGTCGTGATGAACGGTAATAGTTCGTCTATATTATCTATGACCGTGTTGACGAGTGCACAGGCAGCCGAAGATCAGACAGGCTATTGTGGCTGTCGCTGGTGTTCTTAATTCCTTGCACAGCAATGAATGTATCCACGGCGATATCAAGCCGGACAACATTGGCGCACGGGGCTGTGTTACGACCCGACATGCGACCGCATGCGCCTCTCACGTGCCCCCCACTTTTCTCCGTCCTATCATGTGTCACTCGCACACCACGCATGGTAGACGACTGTAGGCGACCAGCGACTACAGTCGACTACACCAGAAAGGCGCTCGTAGACGACAGTCGACTATCGTCGACTACACAACATTCATTCAGTATATAGGAAGCCTAGCTTCACCATAGTCAGTCTCTACCAGCTCCTCAGCTATCAATACAATTGTCTACGCAAGATCTACTATCTCGCACATAGACTGTGACCCGACCGCTCAAGTCAACGACATCCTAGTGTACTCAGTTCATAAACCGACTTCAGATCTACCTACCCTGTAGCTAGTCTGACCCGAACGTCACAGGCTGGGAGCGCGACGTGTCTGCAATGGTGCTCCTAGATACTAACGGCTGTATTCGGATGCCCGCCCAGGGAAAAATCACCCCCCCAGATCCAGGCAGGTGCGGGACTTTGGGCTGGATCTCGCCTGAACGTGAACTCGATGGTTACGACCAAACGACAGATACTGTATATGGTGTGCTGGTGTTGTGGAATTATGGACGTTACGCGGAGGACGTCATCCGTGGTTGATGAGGTTGAATCCTTGGAGGACGGGAGAGGAGGCTGACTTAATGCGTGCGAAATGGAATGCTATATATGTGGACGTGGTTCCGAAGCTAGGAACTGCAGGCTATGGCGATTTAGCGGACGCGGTGCTCGAGATGGTGCGATTTCCGCATGCTGCGGATGCGCAACAGAAGAAGACACGGCCTACAGCGATACAAGTGCTTGCGCTCCTCCAAGGTATTAAAAGGAGGAGGCAAAAGAGGGTGCGGGCGAATCAGTGAAGCCTCTTTATTGTCGTATCTTGTGGCTGGACTGGTTTGCAACTCTCAGTTTAGCACAGACATTACTTGACACATTCCGTCGTAACCTTTTCCAGCCTTATGTCTGAAGAGACAAATCTAAGACCTGCAACACTATGAAGGTGAAATAGGGATTGGTTAGCGGACCTTTATGAATAGCGACCAAATGAATAATAGCAGAGCTAACTGGGTATTGACGCTGGCATGTTCCCTAGTTTGTACTTTGGGTGGTGATCTGAAAACTTGAGTCTACATCATAGGCCGGCAGCATCGTACATCGTCTTCTGTTCCGTCCTCGCATTGGTCAAACGTTCGCTTCCGTATTCGACGCCATGGCTAGTGACAGTGGTTCGCCTGTCACACTCTTCTCGCGTCCTATGGTGTTTTGCATGGTTGTGCCCCCTCGGCGTTTGCGATACTAGGTAGGCATGTGCTTCCGGGCGTCAAACTGCGGCTAGTCTTCATCCGTTGAGGTTGCGTCATCGCCATCCTCTATGCATGGGGCCGCTTGTTCCTTGACTGATTTGGGAGTATGTCCGATGCGGCACGTGTTGGCGTCGGCACCATAGAGCTTCTGGCGAAGTCCTTGGCGGAAGACGATGCCCTCGAGAAGTTCCGTCAGCTTCTCCGCGAAGGAGACTTGGGATGCCACATCAGATGGCTCAGTAGGCGATCGGGGCGTCCTGACAAGTGCTGAAGCGAAGTCAGGAGTTGGAGAGGCAGGCTTCTCGATCATCATTCGTTGCTTGTGAAAGTTCGAACACATGCACCTAGAGGGAGGGTTCGGCGTACCTCAGGTTGTGCTTCCAGCACGCTTCTTCGGGTATGGACGGAGCTGGAAGGAGTTCGGAGAAGCGGCATCACCATTCTATCGGAGCGAGTAGCGAAGATGCTTAGCAGGATTTATTATCGGCAGCCATAGCTGCTGCGTGGTCGAGAGCTGATTGTCAGCTAGTTGTGATACTACCTTGGGAGGGCAGGTGGTGGAAGTCGGACGACCGCGGTATACTTCAGGTTGGGTGAGGAGAAATCCGAATCCGGACGTGTTGACTTATCCGATGTGCCGTGCACATTTCCCCGGATAAGGTTCTTATCCAACATTGGCTTTTATACTGACTGTACCGTTTATATGACGAATCAAAGCAGAAGTCCGTACTCCTTACGTATGTACGGATTGGGAGCAGGCTCCACAGACACAGGTAGGAAACTACAAACATGCTCATTGCTACAGTACAGTACTGTACATGTATCCAACCATTGTCATGTTCCTACAGTATTCCGAGGCGAGGTGCCTTTTATCGCCCTCCGCTGGCCAGCATCAACAGAAACGCGTGTTGCTTGTTCAAAAAAGCCGTCCTTAGAAGCAGCCGTTGAAAAGCCACCTCTCAAAAAGTTGCTGGCACTCTGAAGGTTATTAATAGTACCCCGATAGTGGCGCCGCTGGATATAACCGGTGCAAAGCAGATAGTGAAAGCTGAGTTCGTGATCGTTATATCACTAATTCAACCACATCTAGGTCTTCTTCTTCGTAAGCAAAGGACGGCTTCTCAGGTAGATGGTGACCGAGATATCGAGATCACGTCTATTGCTACGGGCAGGCACTCTCCTCCGGCAGGACTGGCTCTGTTGACAAGGCGTAGCTCAAGGAGCTACAATAATTAGATATGCGTCTGCCTAGAAAACAAAGAGGCGCGCACGTTCTAATGTTGTATTAGCTTGCCGTTGCGGTGTTCACTTCTTTTACTGGGAACTGTGGCATGAACATAGTCCGGGACCATTGTAGATTGAAACATAGGGAACGAATCGGATGAGGCAGAACGAGCAGCAGAACTTGAGATAACCACGGACGCGGTCATGAGTCTTGGATAATCAGATTGGGCGCTTTTTAGTGCAGGGAATGTCACGACAATCCTCCTCAGTACAATTTTGAATGTGCTGATTGCCGAATCCGAACCCACTGGACGGACACTCTTTCGATAGCTTTCTACAGTCTTGAGCATTCGCAGCTTCCTATCGAATCGAATAACACGGAAGTTCAGGATGACTCCATACAGTGTTTTTTGTGGAAACCTGACGGTGCACTCCATTTGAACGGCAAAGTACCCAACGGAACACTGCATCTCGCTGGTCGCTGAAAGTATCCAGCCTTGTGAAAGACACTGTGACATATGGCGCCGCATTGGTGGAGTGTAGTCTACTCTAAGTGACCTAGCAGTACCCAGAGCGCTCATCCAAAACCGGCTAATGGCAGCGCGAGCGCGGCTTATTATGACTCATTGATGTATATTTATGTATACGTAGATCCGGACCTAGGCTCTATAAACAGACAGAGGAAGCTGCATTTGCTCACGACTGTAGATATACTTCCCAGATGTTGGCTTTCCAACAGTCAAAGCTCCACCACGGGCGTATTTGTGCATAGTATTGGCAATCGTGGTCTCAGCTGGACCGCAGCAGTCGTGGTATGTCTTGCGCGCAGCCCATTTGTCGGCTAGTCTGGAAGTTCAAGCTCGTCCGGCATACGAGACGACGAGCGTCGGCTAGGATGTACCGCTAGGAGGTTCGTTCTCCGGCTATGGCGACGGTTTTGATCTTCGGATAGTCTCGCGGCTCGTATTGGTGAGAATGGCCGGAGTGCATATGAGGGCCTCGATCTGCTTTGCTTGAGCCTTTGCTTGAACCTTTGCTTGAATCTTTGCTTGATCCAAGTTCGCTCACTTCCTCCTTATCTCTCTGATACACACAGCCCCATCTCAGACTCTGAGAATTATTAGTGTTCCGCTGTTACATAGTGCTCCTAGGATTTCCCACGCAGCGGCGCCACCTCGAATTCAATTCTGAATATCACAGCCGCAAAATGAAATCACCCATATCACAACCAGTGTTGAGGGTCTGACCAATATTTACAGTCTTGATTCCTAAATCGCCTGGCGATTGCCAAATCGAGTTTGCGACACCTGTTTGTAACATCGACCCTCTTTGGCGTGCCCGTAGTGTAGGCTGTTCATCAGCCTTCTATTCTTTGCTCAGTATATGTCGTACACCTTCGCATTCCACGAACCCCCCAGCACAATCCCATCTTCGCGATCCTCGTCTCCATGTACTCGGCGGGGCTCGTCGACGCTATAGGTGTTGCAAGCCTGTGACCGTTATCAGGGTCGGCTAGACCATTCTCCTGCGCGCGGACGCAGGTCACCCTGCGACCAGAACTTCCAACTTGCGAATCTAGGAAGGCGAGGTGGCTTGTCCTTTGCCGTTTCGTTGGTAGGGTTATGTTACCCTCAATCGGTCGAAAGTGTCTCTTCCTGCATCCGTCTGTGCTGCTACATCTGATTGTAGGCAAGGGGCTGTGCTCTGCGTTATAATCATGTCATTGATTCAGACAATGTCAAATAAGTCAGTGGTTTGGTGGCCTCAGTGGTGAGTTTGAAGCCCTGGCTCAGTCGTCTCTCGGATAGGCCGCCCTTTGGAGACGCGGTCTCGGTGCTTTCTTTCCCGATGGGAAAGCTGTGCATGAAGACGGCAGACGACAAGCTTTATCGAGAGATACATGTGTAGAAAGGCATCGAAATCTGTGTTTTCGTTAAGAAGGTCTGCTCCTGACGCGCTGTAACGCTGTCGGTTCTATTAACACGGCATGAAGGCGACCATCAGGGCTTGTCCGCCCTCCAAATGTCACCAATATAGATCCTGCTGTCACGGCCGAAGTAAATGGCCCGTTGAACGTCTGGGCAGATGCCGAGCCAGGTGGCGGCAATATCGAGGTTCTCCATCACTAAGGTGCAACCTCCGCATCAGTCAGAAAATCGTAGATGTTTCCGATCCGCACGCGTACACGACGGCCGTACCATTCGCGACAGGAAGCATGAATTCAGAAAGCATGTGAATAAGCCAGTTCTCACGCCGCTTTGAGCTACAATAAAGTAGCTTGACTGACGAGATTCCTTCCGAATTACTACAACTAAAACATGCGATCACCATGGCTTCTGCCAGCAGTATGTGACTCCCCACTGAAAAGCCCGACCAGAATGAAATCGACCCTTCCACGCATTAGGCTCTACTTGACCGCGATAAACAAACCGAAGGCCAGCCTTCGAGTCGTTTGTCCTTTCAACATATATGCAAGTAGGCGGCAGTCCTTCTCCCAGTTTTCGACCAACGTGATAAACAAGTCCCATGCATACTCTAAGACGACCACTCACCGATTCAGTAGAGATAACGTAGGCAGACAGGTCGTATTGCACGAACCAGCTGCGTGGTCTCTACGGGACTCGGCCGGGTCTCCTTCGACATCAGCTCGAGCGGGTACGGGAGCGCCCCTCATTGCAGTCTGCAAGGCGTCGTTGAGATACCAGCTTCCCTGAACTATCCTGGTAACTTTGACGCTCTCGGCCCATTTTGCGAGGCAGCTGTCTTTGGAGCCGCCGAATTCGACCTTTGGCTCTAGTTCATCGTGTGCCGCCCTGAGGTGCCGAGCGGCGTGCTCCATCCACTCGTCCAAGGCTTTGTCTCCGTCAAAAATAAAATTGCAAAGCTCAACGGGGCATGCAAGCTTCCTTGGAAGCTGGAAACGCTTGCGCAGCGCTTGTTTCTGCATCTTAGCTATGGGCTGTGGCTCCTGGTGGCTCTCCAGGAGATGCATCCGGCGAACATGCTCCCTGTGTAAATCTTTTCTCCTGAATGTTTTACCACAAGCAGGGTGGCTTTTGACTTGACACGTGGTCGCGGACTGTGTGGCGGCGGCATATTGAGGGAGCTCGCAGTGGTAGTATTCGAGGCAGATATGCTGCCTCAGCACGTGGCGCTTCCACTCATTCTTCTTTGAGAACGTCCTGTTGCATCCAGCGTAGTGGAAGACGCAGATGAACGGCCGTGTATGGTTCTCCACGTGTTTGTCAAAGGCTGACTGCTTTCGGTATGTGATCCCACATTGGGAGCACTTCAGCTCGAGGGGCGATGCGGAAGATGTGGAGAGCGACTTTGCAGCGCGTTCGGCTGTGGCTGGATCCACGGTCTGGTGGTGTGTGGTACTTTCAGCACATAACTGAGTTGGCCAACTTGCCTCATGATGCCACTTCCCATAGCTCCCGTTGGGGCGCGCCTCACTGCTCTCGCTGGTATGGTACTCCAAGTCCCTCTCGGTAGGGGGTAGAGCGCATTGAGCTATGTCCAAAAGAAAGGCACGGTCTGAGGTCGTGCAGCAAGGCAAGACCTCCGGGCTGTTGAGGAGATCTTTGAGCTTCATGGAATCTACTGGCGGCGGCGCCTTGTCGGTTGGCGTGAGGTTCCCATTCTCACCACCTACCGACTCGTCGGTATCCATGGCTTCGGAAGCGGTTGAGCCATGCATACTTATACACGGAGCCACTGCCCCACCCACTACCCACGCCACATCTAGCTTAGCGCCAGTGCTCAGCTTTACCAATCACCCCGGCTGCAAAGTCGCTAAGCCAAATGGAGAGAGGGGTGATGGTAAAACTGAACGCTGGGCCAGATACAGACGAGGGCCGAGCCACTCGGGATTGCTTAACTGTGCCACGGATGTGCCGCTGGTGCGCGTACCCGAGAACGGTAAAAACGAAGCCAACGACGACCAGCGTCACATTGTTCTCCGATATGGAGACTCCTGAAACCCTCATGATGCCAGGGACATTTGCGGTTGAACTCTGCTGGATACGGTTCGCATTGGCGACTTAGTGAAGATCTGCGATGGCTGGCATTGGGCAAGACACTAAGATTGAAGACTGAAAGTAACTGGAGGAAGGTTCCGATGCAGAAGACTCATTGAGGAAATTGAAAACAACGATAAAGGATAGATGGGAAGGCGCCTTCTTTATGCGACGGAGTCTAATGAAGCTTGTTTCTTGATCTTCAACCTCGCGCGCCGCGGACCACGGCGATTTGGCCAACAACTACGACCGCGGATGGAGCCTATGCCATGCCTAAATTCGCACCAACACCATTGGGCATAGTGCAAGGGAGTTTGATGTTCGCCACAGCACCCTACGCGGCCCATGGACGTACGCCTGTTCACCCCTGCTACAACAATCAACAAGGTACAGTTTGTCACTGCATCGCCGTCAACATCTACGAGACCCCTAGCATGTGTCCGCAGTGTTGCTGCGCTCAGAGCTCCTTGGAGCCAGGATGGGATGTTCCCGCTCAAGGGATACCAGACCTTGAAAGCGAACCACTACGGGCGAATGAACATGGTCCGAGTACATCGGTATACCACAAGGGGCTTGAATGAAGCATCGTATGGAGATGCCTGCCCAAGCGGCCTCCAACACCCCATGCCGCAGAGGAGAGTGTCGATCGCCATCGTTCGCACGGTCAGTAACTCATCACAACGCGCACTACTCAGGGCCCCGAGACCGGTCGACCGTTTCCCATACAGCACGTCAATCACCGCAGAGAGGCTCCATTGCAAACCGACGTGCGACCACTTTTGCGTGCCCACCAACTTCATGTTTACCAACCCAAGCCCCCGCAATCCTCTGCGTTCTTGATGTACGTAGCCACTAGGGCCAGCCCGTGGTAACCAGCTGCTGCAACGACTGCGGGCTTGTGAAACATCCTCCAAGTGGTCATCGTATGATAATGGGCGAGGCTGAGGGGTCGACGGCCGCTGCGCTAGACAGACCGCATTCACATGTCCCCAATCACGACGATCACAATGAGTGAGCGTGCGCCTGCAGTCGTGATCTCAGGATGCTAGGTTCGGACAAGGAACAACATCGCAAGGATGGCACCCTTAGATAGGGGTACTATAGTCACGAGCGATATCACCTCAGCATTGTGGCTTATGTCGCCGCGCGCTAGCATGCGACATGCTGCCCTGAAGACGCAGAACTTCTGGTTGACAAAAGCAAGCAGTTGAGCTCAGCAAGCCAACTCCGAGAGCCGCTAGGCGCACGAGACGGGCTAATGAACAGGCTGTACTTTGCCCGCAGCCACAAGCGAGCCGGATGTCTCTTTGGCGAGTTCTTCCGGTGGACAATTTAACCAGTTCGCCACAACGAACACTGCACCCACTCGACTTTGGCTCCCGGAGCGGCACAGCGCCCCTGGCCCTCGGTGGTTGATGCTGAGCACCACGGAAGTAAATCGTATGTGCATCACACTATGCACTCATTTCTTATTGATGAACATTTCGGCGACTTCACTCTGATTAGTTTGTGGGTGGTGCCGGCTTGCTCATACCTGTGCCCGAAGTCAGGCAGGCCAGAGCCGTACCGTGGACCGACATAGACTGTTCTCCTACTCTACACCGAAACACGCTGATTGTACACAACCGAGTCGGTCGTGTGCCAGCTCAGTCAGGCGGGACTCCGGTCCTGGATCGTCGAAGGAGGATGCGAGCCTCGGCTGTCATCATCCACGCCTCTTTCTCGCAAGCACCCAATGGTCAAGACGAGGGTTTCATCGAGTCACAAGCCCTAGCATCATACGCCTCGCCCTTTTGATTGGCTGGTCATGATGTCAGCTTGGAAGTGGCGCCATCACCCATCGGCGGCTTGGAGACAACAATCTCCTCCGGGTCTGCAGCTGTGCCTCCCGTACGTGCACAGACCTTGAGTGGTGTGTCTAGACAGACAGGGGTCGAAGTTCATGAGCAGCTGATGGTACCAAGCACTCTTAGCAAGATGCAACTAGCTGCAGAGCCGGGGCCGAACAAATTGCGCCCGTCCAGGGAGCGGGCGCCGCAACCTGGGCGCCCAGGCCAAGCGACAGAGCCAATTGTTCTTCGGTAAGTGTATGATGGTTCATCTGTGGTGGCTACGGATACGTTGGAGTGGAGGGTAAAGCAGAAGCGGCGGTGAAAAGCTACTGGCTGCCTTTTCCTTGAGGTGTGTAGTTCATGTTCCGTGTGATGCTTTGCCTTGTGCTACTCGCAAACAAGCGAAGACTACTGATTCCAGGATATCCCACCCGCTCCGCACGTCAGAGGAGGACGCCCCTTGCTCTGCTCGGTGGAGCGTCGCGTGTGACAGGCCTCACCAAGTTCAACCTTGCGTGGTTTCCAGTCATTGTGTGATATTGTCCCATGTGTGGATGGAGCTGGCTGCATTCTGTGGTCACTTCCGGAACACCATTTGGGGCCTTACCTGAACCCCGACCAGATCAGGGATCTCATTCGTGCCACGCCGTCTCCGTGCAAATTGGCCCATATAGATCGCCTCGAAAAGACCGGTGTGCAAGTCAGGCAGAATGGATAGCATGACAAAGTCTACAAGCTTGTGCATACTTCGCTCCTAGCTGGTGTGCCTCTCTCGCAGGAACATGCCATATCTGTTTGGCTCAGGTCGGCTTGGGGCGAGGCAACACGGACGGTGCCCAAGCGACAGAGCTCACCGACATTCGAGCAACCAGTACAAGAAAAGTGCAGGTCCTGCTTGCGGTCACCGAGTTAGTGACTCACGTTGGGCCTCACTTCACGAGGCCGCTGCAAGAGCCTGATGAAAATTTTGACTGCCATCAGCGCCAGCCGAGACAGGGAGAACTGCTGACAATGTGTATATAAGTCGGCACGGATCTTGTGCGAGTTGGAATACTCACAGCAACTTTGCCCAAACAAACAGCCAAGATGAGCTCATTCTTTCCCGACTGCTTCCAACCAAGGCTCTACCAATTCTACGCACAGGCATCCCTGCAGGGCGCGTCGCAACATCACAGCAGTTCTTGCCATGTCTTCAAGATAGACCACAAGACGGGAGCCAGCCTGAAGCTGAAGGCCACCAGAGGAGAGGTTCGGTGCCCTGAATTGCTCGTCAGCGAGTACAACGAAAAGTCTCGAGATCACACCATACGCACTGAACCATGGGTCGTTGAGGATGTGCCCGCCGACGAAGTCGAAAATTATATCCAATCGATTGGGGACAACATGGATTATTTCGAGGCATTTGTATCCGAATATGGCACCGAAAGCATCAACGAACTACTGCTATCGATCCGACAAGCTGCTTGGGAAGGGTCCATTGCTTGGCAGGCGCTCGAGGCGTTTGTCGCTTATTCTCTCGCAACCTCAGTGAGCTACACAGGGGAAGACGAACACACCCCACGACTGATTGAAAACCAGCTTCAGTTGGCACTAGCAAAAGCGTGGAAGGATCGCTGGTGTTCGGCTCGCTCTACCAAAGGGATGATTTCCACGAGCGACAAGGATGCCAGCACCGTGGTTCTCGTTCTACTAACGGAAAGAGTCCTGTACGACTTCAAGTATCGCGGGAATCCAAAAGCGGCCAGACGTTCTGTCGAGTTCGGCAAGCGCCTTGTCTCCCAATTGAGCGAGGACCTACGTTCGCATGAATGGAGTTTGAGCTGTAAGTCTCCGAAGAGGCCTCTGGTGCCTTGCGCTTATCGATCGATAGTTGAGAAGTCTCCCCTCGGTGTGCCTATTGGCAAGCGTATATTCGATCCTCAAGATGTGGACTGCCTTGTGGGTTCACTGCTCAGCCTTGCAAAAAGGAAGGACACCTTTTTCCAAAAGCTTTGAAAACAAATCCTCTGTGGACTCTGAAAGTGTTGGCCCGGTCTAGCACCAGGTGTGTTCGGACAACTGTCTGCTGTAGTTGAAGGGATCTGTGTAGTAGCAGGCTCCGATAGGAAGGTGGTGCAGCTTGGCAATTTAGGTAGACTCTCCTATGTCAAATGAGTGTCAGCAGCAAGCACGTGCAGAAACTACATGAACTGTGATTCAGCTATGTAATGGCAACTGTACACTGAATCGTGTGCAGTCGTCTTTAAGAGGCTCCGGACGACGTGCAGTCGTGGCATGTTGACCTGAGAGTCGACTAGCACCGATACGAGGTCCGCCTGCGCACGGTTCCACCATGGGCGACCTAAGGTTGACGGCGGCACATGAAACAGAGGCGTATATTAGCGTCTTGATGAGCGCTTAGCAGAGCATCGATAAAAGCCCTTCGACTCCTCCATGACGAGGCATTCTAGAGCGCCTACATCAAGTCCCCAATTTCTGTCAGCATGGAAACCCACGTACTTATTAGTGTTGGCGGTGTTGAGGTAAATGTACATGCAAGAGCTCCTTCGACTACTGTCGTTGTGAACTATCGACCTCAAGAATGTAAGCTCAAAACAACGTCAACAGAGCATCCTCATTGACATTTCCAGTCCCCATATATGAAGATAACCCTGCCACATGCCGGAACCGCGCTGGGTTTGGTCCGCCTCCCGACGAACGCCAATCACCACCAGGTGGAAGTCAGGACGGCCAGAGCCCCATTGATTCTAATGCTGAGAACATTACGCCCACGGGATATCCTGGGGGACCAACCAGGAGATCACCCAGATTATCCAAGAGACCAACGGGTACAACTGGGCTCTAGGTACATCGAGGAGTGATATATTGAAGCCCGAGGATGGTAGGGAGCAGTCGTACCTATTTATTGATTTTTAATAACACCGGCGTGCTGAGTGAAGTCTGGATTTTACTGTATTCCGTGGGGATATCTCTACGTATTCAGCGGCATCTGGGTCGAAGGACACTGCGTAAACATCGTGGCACGGGATGAGTTCCGAGACATATCGCCTCTTTCCAAGACCCAGACTGCTGTGGTGAGCCAGGAAGACACCTACACGAGTCGATGGGGCGTAGAAGCTGTAGGCTTCATGCTAAGTCGGACTTGCCCAGTGCGGGCTCCAACCAAGCATCGGCCTCGCTGAGACCGGGACCTGCAGGAGCCGCCGCAAGATACGAGAACGACCCGAGCATTTCTTCGACGCAGCCGACCGCTAACAGAGAGGGGTGGCAGCTACTTTCAGCGCGCGCGAGCCCGCCCAGGGAGAGCGAGGCTTGATACGAGCTGGTGATGGCCACTCCGGACAAGCCAATAGACGTGGCCGTTGACGTTGCGCGAGCGCGGCAAGAATGCGGACCACGGCTGAGACGCCCCGAGCTGGTCTCGCGAATGACCCCTGACATATTGAGCCCGTGCACGGCCAGGACGGGATGATGCCGGGAGTCCACACACCCCGACCCGATTCAGCGACTGTTTTGGCACTGTGCCAGTGTGGCTTTTCAGGTGCATATCTAAGCGAGATACCACCAACGGAAGGCAAAGCCAGAGTCACCCTGCCAAGCACCCTTCTCCAATCACACTTGTCCTAGGCCCAACAGTCGAGGGCGTGTCGACAGCAGCAGAGTCGGACGCCCGCCGGGCCAATCATAGTCAAGAGTAACGGAGTTGTCTGAATGCAACTGAGCAAGGCAGATCATGTGCGTTCAGCATGGCCCCCGATCTCCTGGTGCCTACTTCGGAAAACGCGCAAATCCTCGCCGGACTGGCCTAATGTTCCCCCTCTACGAATCTCCGTGGCACCATGGCCTCCTCCCCGGAGTTTGATGCTGCGTGTGGTGGCGAGCCCGATGACAAGAGTGAGTAGCTCGTCTCTGGTCCCTTCCTCCCGCTTAAGCCACAGAGTACGACGTTGACGAGTCGGCATGTGAGTAGAACTTCTTTTTGAGACGGCCGGCGCCTGATGTGCATTACGACCCAGTCGACCTGGATACCACTGGTCCGAAATTGCCTTTCCACGACGCGACATATGACGATTGGGGAGCCTCAACAACTGCGCAGCGAATTCTGGAACTGGACCTTCCCAGTCCGAGCAGTATCCAGAGTGTGGAAACTTATGCCGATGGGCACTTCGACGGTGTCATCTTAGACATAGTGCACGGCCAGGGTCTTTCAGAACAGGATCTTTCTTCTCTATCGAGGTGAGTGAACAGACGCGCAAACTGTCCCGACGGCCATGGCGCTGACCGTCTCGCAGAATCCTTCGGCCAGGAGGACTTCTAGAGATACGGGTGGTCCTGATGGACTTCAGCAAACACTTCAATACGTTACGCCCACTCATGGACGCAGATATCGCAGACGATGTGAAAAAGGTTATAATACCCGGGGAAAAGGCTTTCTCCTCAGCCGACCTCCAGGAACGACTCCGAAAGTCCGAATTCACGCCAAACGAGCCCGTCGAAGAACGCATCAACTTAATGCCAGGCATGGGACAGGTAGGCGTTGCGTCGTCTGAATGGAGATCAAAATACGAGTTTGTCCTTGGCAAGCTACTCAATAATCTTCCAGGCAGTGCGCTCGCTTACAGTACACGAAGAAATCTGTCGTGGACGCAATGGTCACCGCTATGCAACTTCCTGAAAAGAAAGACCTGCCGATCTCAATGTGAGCCTCCCTTCCCTCCTCCGCGTTTGGTTTTGACTCACAGCTCGCAAGTGTAGAAATCTCCGCTACCAAGGAATAGGGCCGAGAATCGTTCCCGGGCGTCCGAGCGACGTTGGTGCTTGGGCTAGCTAGGGGATTATTTTCCTTGGACCTAGTTCTTGAAGGAACTTATGCTTAAATTTGCATTGCTCTAACAAGCTTCGTCCTCTCCTTTAGATTGAATAAAAGCGGGTGGCTAATGGCGTAGCCTACACACGCTTCCGCTTCCACTTTCGTTTCCACTTCTACTTCCACTTCTACTTCTACTTTAACTTCCACTTCGACTTCTACTTCCACTTCCACTTCCACTTCCACTTCCACTTCCACTTCCACTTCCACTTCCACTTCCACTTCCACTTCCACTTCCACTTCCACTTCGACTTCTACTTCGACTTCTACTTTGGAATAGTAACCGATGGGAAATCGCCATGCGGATTTGTACTTTCATGTTAACCGACGAACGAATATGGCTAGCGTGAGCCACGATGACTAAGTTCTCGTAGGGTAGGAATCAGATGGGCGCACTGTGCTCACTGGTTGTCCAATGTACCTTAACGGATGGACCACGATTGGGCGACAAAGGGGAAACAGCGCGCGTTTCCAGATCTATTCTGGAGCGCCTTGTACCGTTACTCGCGTTTATCAAACAAGAAGAGCCTTTTCCTATTCACGACTTCCTTTCGGATCTGCGGTCTTAATTTATCGATGCACTGCGCATGGAGATAGACTTCGGATCGTTCACTTTAAGCTTCGAGAGTGTTTTGCTTCAAGGCCACGGGGCCAAGGTACCGGTACCCGCAAAAAGTGATTTCCAGTCGGAAAACCCAATCGAGGTGCTTTCTTGCAATGGATCAACCATAATACTCGGGATCACTGGCTTGGATGAGAAAGTAACTTTGCGACTAGGGTGCGTATGTTGGGGTGCTTGTCAGGCGTAGGCGCCGGATGCAGCCAGACTATGAGCTTAGATGCCAAATCATGGATGGAGTTCCATTCCCGCGAAACGAAAACAGCTTTGAACTGCATGTAGTAAGTGCACAAACGTCAAGGGCCCGTCGGCTTGTTTCGGCTATATATTATGATTCATTGACGCTATCGCAATGTAGACTCTGATTCTTTGCAGTTTCGCCTCTGCCTTCATAATGTCTGGCCTTGATAAGAACGATTTTGAACGCGCACTCAAGGACATCTTTCAGGGAGAAAGTGCCAAGGACAAAAGCCTGTCACAGGTTCGAAAATGCATCAAGCGCCACGCTCAAAACCCCGCGATATCGGCCTTGGTTCAGTCCAGCAGCATGGAGGCTGTCAGCAAACTAGCACATGGACTGTTATCTTCTGGAGCTTTCGAGACAACTCCCTTGCCCGAAATACAATCCGGCAAACTGTCGGGCTCCAAGCCGCCTGCCGTCAATGGATGCAATGGGATAGAGACTTTACTTAGGCCTCAAACCATGGTCTCCCCTGTTCCCTCTTCGCCCCCCATCGTTCAGACCTCGTCTAGCATCAACTCAACGCAAGGTAGTTCTATCATTTTCGCAAATCAGGTTTGAAATCATAGCTGACAGGCTGAGTAGGGTCAGGGTCCAAGTTATCTGCAGAAGGCAAAGAAAGGGAGCCGCTGAAAGCTGCACAACTAGCGCCGCCTTCAGATCAAGATCTGGATCTTTCTACAGCCTTGCTGGAGGTGGACTACTCAACACAGCATCGTGTTCTCACATGCACACAATTCCTCTTGGAGCAGGCTTGTTTCGATTTTGCCAAGCGTACATTTCCCTCCATATTAGAGGAAAATGGGTGGGACTGTGCCGAGGCCCTCGAGCTGAACCTGATGGCGAAAGCTCTAAGCGCACGTCCGCGGGGGCCAAGCTCGAGCCTGAAACTCAAATCAAAACCAATCCAAGGCTGTATAGATATTATATCGGAAATTCGACATGCGGCGGTTCACCGTCATAGACTCAGCGCCAAGACACTTGATCAGCACTTGCATACCGCAGTGGATCTACTTGAGGCGTTCGATGATCGTGGGCGCCTTGAGCAGATAAAAAAGCTATCTGACAAGATCCGTTTTTTGCTGTTGCAGCTTGATCTTGATTCGAACACGATCCGATCAGCGCTCAGCAAAGAGGAAGTACAGATCGAGAATCAGATCCGCTTACTAGACCAAAGAAAAGAGGCTCTGCGTTTCAGAGCCAAGACGTCTCTACAGCGAACTCAGACCGCCGCTAGCTTGGATCTTGAAGAAGCTCTTTATTCTGCTATTCCGCGGACTACCGCAGGTGCAACTCTGAAGGAAGGGCGATGTTTGCTGGGAGCAATGATTACAGTTATTGTCTTCACAGCATTCTTGCTCTGGCGCATGCGGGACTGCTAAATGCTTCAGAGTCTCGATGGCGCCTCGTCGCGAGTCTAGCTTTCTCCCTGACCTTGGATGGCAGATTTCAAGAGCCGAATTGCCAAGAGTCTGCCCAGGAAGCTAGCATAGGCAGCTGTAGACGTCTGGGAGCTTGAACAGACCTCGATCAGGGATCGCTGAGTCCGGTTGTTGCGGTATGCAATACTGTGACGGGGACAAGGACGGCACGGAACAAATTACAAGGCGACTCAATGGTGGTTGCTGGAAGGTTGTGTGTGGCAGAAGCAATGTCGCGTACATAATTGTCAGTAGTAGACAGGTAATCTCATTTGGGACTCTTTTATCAGGAGCCAAACCAAAATTTTGCAAGGCGCTAGATGAGGATCGACATTTAAGAAAACAAACTCATCGCTCATGTCTCATAAAACAATGAATAGGGCAAGAGAAATCATTTCATAAGGCCGGCTAGCTATTGCATTGGTCAAACTGGGGGCAACATGGAGCGCTCGAGATCGAGAGCACCATGACCGTCAAAACAATATACCCCCTACTTGAGATGTCAACAAATCAATTGTAATCTAGAAATGCATTGACGCAAAGCTCGTGGTCGAAGACGACTTCTTTTTGCACGATACAATAAACAAGCTCATCCTCCGTTCTCCACCCACCAACCATGAGGACTCCTTGCTCCCTTGCTCGACCTATACAGCCCCTGCAGTATTCTTCGTTACTTTTGCCATGTTTTGCGTCCGGACAATAGAATTTGTTGCGCTGTTTCGTCATAGGAAAGAATGTGGTCTCCGTACTGCTGCTTGTTGTGATCTCAATGAAGCGATGCTCCAACATAGATGTGTGCCCATTGGGCCAGCGTGTTGTGTGCTTGGTGCAGGCATCTCGATCCTGAGTCTCCTTGACCATATATTCTATCTTGACAGCCTCCAGGTATTTCCGCTCGCGTAACCACTTTTCTAGCCTGTCAATGGCGAAATATTTTGATTCTTCGAGCAGCGCCTGGTAAAGAGGGAAGTTGTGACCTGCTGTGCTGTCGTAAAAAACCGGCAAAACACCAGTACGGAGATATCTTAGAACGTGTTCGAAGATATTGGCATCAGTCTCAATGAAGTAAGACCCATCTTCTTTTTTGTCGTCCCATTTCCCAGAGAAGAGCCTGTCAAAGTATAAGCTCCGACCCTGCCATCCCTCAAAGTCGGTAACGAAGGTACGTTGCGATGTGTTGATCGTGACATGCATAGCCCATACCTGTAGTTGAAAATAGAATGACTGACAGGCGTGTTGCGGTCTTTGTTGAAACGTACAGAAATGGGTGACCCGAACTTTAGATAAGAAACGTGAGCTGCTATAACGGATCGTTCTTGATCTCCTGCTATTTATGCTATTGGGCTCGGAGAGACCGGAAAGTCCGCAAACGGCAATTGACCTTGATTTGATCAGAGTTTACTGTTACCGTCGAACAGAAGCCATCAACCGCGCGTTTGCAGTTGTTGGTGGTCTGTTCAGCTGTTTGCGGCCATAGTATGTTGCACTATTGAATGTAGGAGGGGGGTAGCCCCACTATTCATATGTCATCATTTGCTGTCTATGACATTCGGTGTATCGGCGTATGACCGAGGAGCCTCCCTGAGCCCGCACCAAGTGAGACATTCTGGTAAGGAAAGCAAGACTCGGCGTCCCTGGGAGCCATGCTGGTGGTCTTTGTCCTTTATGCGTTCGTACGACGGGAGTCTGGTTGGATAGAATGCCACACGAAATGGCGCTCGGCAATGATCGACCGGGGGTCTCGTCGATTTAGATGTTTTCTTTTTATAGTAATCTGTCTTATTCTTGCATGACGAAAGTGACCCTCTGCGGTTTTCGCATCGTCGCCCACTACATCGACACACCATTCAAGAAACATTCCGAATTCCCTAGCAATAAAATCCTCGTTTTCATGCCACTTTTTCTTGATGAACCTTTTGAGCACTGAAAAATGCTCGTCGATAGGGTTGAAATCTGGCGAGTGTGGTGATAGGAACTCTAGAACAACTCCTGCATCTCTGCACATCTGCAGAATCCTCGATGAGTGGTGCCAAGAAGCATTATCCATAACGATCACCGACTTTGGCTCGGGGTATCTGCCACAGTGATGCAGCAACTGGGCTATGAAGTCTTCAAAGACTTCAGTATCTGTTGATCCTTGGTATACTCGCCTTAGCACGATGCCATCTTGCGCGTATGCAGGAAGGATTTGCCATCTCTTTCCACGACTGAACTTCGTTACCTGGACTGGCGAAGTACCCTTTGGTGACCATCCCCAACGCCGATATCCTGCCCGTGCGTCGCAACCCGACTCGTCAACAAAAACAAGCTGGAAAGACTTGTATTGTGATAATCTATGCAAGTAATAATCTCGAAGATCGTCATTCCGCTGTTGTGCGATGCGATGCATCACCCCTCTTGTCAAGTCCATCTTTTCGAGGGCCCGACCGATCGACCTTTCCGATACTCGTTTACCGAATCTGCGACAGAGGAAGTCTGACATCTCGCTTCGGTACATTTCCGATCGCTTGTTGTTAAGTTCAAGACGGAGGGCCTCTCGCATAGGCGGTGTAATGTGATTACGGCGGCCGACGCGTTTTGGTTTTGGGCTTGACATTTTGACCGGCTCGATCTCTAAGCGAATTCTCTGGACTGCGCGCACATTACAGGAGGCGGCTGAGGCTATGAGCTTGCTGGAAAACCCTTTATCTAGCATGATGTTGATCAGATCACGTCGTGCATCGTCCAGTTGCGGTGCCACGGTTGCGGTTGTCACAATACTGGAGAAGATGTATGAGGATGAAGAGGACGGAGCGGCAAATGGGCAGAGAGCCCTTTTTGAGCGACAGGCAGCGACAACAGGTGGGGGGTCACTTCCTCTGTTAGTGACTTTTATCTAGGTACCTCGCCGTTACATAGCCACATACGCCACGGGCCTGCCCCGCAATCCTTAAAAAAAGTTGACATAAATTTTGGCGATACCCGTTTCGCCTTTTACGGTAATGCCGCAACATTGATGCCCAACTCCCTAGTTTTGGCGCACGATAATGGTACCCGCGATGCGACGATGCGCTGGGAGGTGCGATCTGGACCAGTCATATTGCATGCTGACTTGGCACGAGACACTACGCTTTGGACGATGCATGCATGTGCGTTGGCCGCTATATGCCTGTACTTGTGGAAGATACATCTAACCCGCTAGCGATATGGCCGACGACTATTGCCGTTGCTGGCTGTGCGTCTAAGTCTTGGGGGAAGCTCATGTCGACCGACTGACGGGTACATCTCTCAAGATTCTGACACGAGGCCCCTCGAGAGCGCTCTCATTCACCATGAAGTGAAGTCAACGCAGGCAAGCCTGTTTGTAGGAAGCAGTCGTAAGAGTAAAAAGATCAGCCAGATAGCTCAAGAAATGAATATATCAAAGACACGTCAGGGTGTCCAGCTCTACCCGCATAGAGCAATGTCCAGGGTCCCGCTTGCGCAGAGATACTGTAAAGACAAACAACAACAAACAGAAGCAATGTCGATGTATCCAACGTTTGCACCGTCCCAAGCCCTCCAGCTCAATGATGCAAGTTCTCACTACTCAAATCTAGTGCTTCCTGGTACAAGATATGCTTCTCTTTCAGATCTCACCACCCCACAGACCGTGTCCGCGACCGGCGCGATGCTCTGCTTGATGGTACCTGGCTTCTGGTCGGCTCCGTCTCTTGCTTCAGTGCACGAGGCGTCGCTCCTTTATGAGAGGCACGACGAGACGGTAATATGTCTGACTCATGCCCAGTGTGATAATACGCCGAGTAGCATGCCTCGGCCTCTTTCATGATCTTGTCCGTTCCATCGCGATGCCAGTACTTTAGGACGTCATTTTGCCACGTCCCCGGACTGCGCACGGTGAGGCGGTGCGTGAAATTTACAAAGAGCTTGTCTGCGTTGCGCCTGGATTCGCGGACCTGGTCGAGCATCCACTCGTTGATAAAGTGAGCGCCGTCCTCGCGCGCTCTGTTGAGCGAACAAGATTGGCCCATCAAGAGCTGCGGATAGGACGTTTGACCGTGTCGTTCTTCTGGCCGCATGTCTTGGCGGTTGTCCTCCTTGCCCGACGCAGCCGTGGTAGGCAAACGATAGGCGGGCCAAAGGAGCTTGAGGAAATTGGGTACAACAACTTTGTTGGTTTCTGGCTGATGTGTGCCACCGTTTTCGGCTGGCTCTGTTTCTGTGTTGTCGTCCCGATACAGCACTGACGCTACTCTGGTCGTCGTTCTGGCGGATAAGACATCTCGTGCCATGGTCTTCTGCTTTAAATCGTTGATAACTGCAAGCTTGCTGTTGACGAGCTTGAGGTATCGAGCTTCGTTTGACACAGTCTCGTCCAGACCGTCCCTTGTCTCTTCGGATATGGGAGCACCGAGAGCAGTCCGGCGGTCCACAATATCTTGCAGAACAGCCTTATTGTCCCTGGCATCTTGCAAGTACATCATGATGCTCAGGTACTGCCCAATTGCGCTCTCCAGGTCTTGGAAGAGCGGATGGTTGTCGTTAGTCGACCGCGCCATTGGTATGCCTAGCAGGTCTGTGTCTGGTTCGCTGGCATCAAGCGAGGCTTCTGATGACTCATAAGTCGATTCCGTCGAGCTTTCATCCATGTCGTGACCCAGCAGGCTGTAAAACTGGACTTCCGCTTTGGAGAAAAGCTTCTGCTCCTTTGACAGCTGCTGTCGTAAGTCGTCAAGCGCCTCTTCCAGGCTGAACGTCACGTCCTGCAATCTCTGCATTCGAGGTAGCCCTGCCCATACGATCCGAACAAGGTCATCAGACGACAAGAGCTGCTTCTGGTGAGAAGTAGTACGCAGCTCTTTCATAAAGTCGTTTGCTGCAACCCGTAATTTAGGACGTATCTTGCCCAGCCTCTTGTTGACTTCTCCCAGGTGCTTGGAGAGTTTCTGAATCCGAGCTTGGTGGGTTTTCATCTTCCTCCAATAATGTTGCACCCCCCGGTTGATCGATTCAGCATCATGGCTGCTCACTGCAGACGACGACGGCGCTTCACTTGTCGTGGAAACAGCGTCGTGGTCCAGGTCTTCGTTCTCGGACGATTCAGGACTATGAAGTTGCAAGTTCGATTTGTCATGCCCAGTGGGACTCTGCTTGGATATCCAGCTTCTCACTCTGAGCGTCTTTGCCGCGCGAGCCTCGGCGTCTAACGGCCTGGGATCCAAGGGCGTGCGAGGGGGGAACGACTTTTGGTTTTCTCTGGCTACGGAGTCCATACCTATTGTCCCACTACCAGAGACCCACGAGAATCGTGAATGGGAGTCTGTCGACGCGGTAGAGGGTGATCCTTCGTCATGGTTGCTCTCGTTTATGGTTGACCAGCTGTCGATGCGAACTTGACCAGGCGATCTTGGACCGACATTGATCCCATGAGGCTCGGGGGCGAACCCAAGTTCAGAGCCAGGGCGCTGGGAAGAAGATCGCGCTGTTGGCAGTTCTGGATCAGGAGGGTAGTCATCTTTTGTTTCTGGCGACAAGACCGAAGGTTCCACTGCACCAGACCCAGTAGCCTCCCTTGCCTCCCTGTTCTCCCAGTCCTCCTCAGCAAGCCTCGCCCAGCTCGAGGTACAAGAGGTCTGCGCTCTACATTTCCGCAATTCTCGACGTTTTGGGCCTAACAGACTCGGTTCTGTCATTGGGAGGCTCCAAGTCGTCCGCTCAACGTCTTGATGGAATACCATGCTGGACCGGGGATGCTCCCCAACGTCCTGCGCGGGGGTACGTTGGCCACTTGTCTGGCTCTGCTCGTGATCGGGGCCCAGTCGCCTGCTTTCAGAAGTACCGATGTCTGTGATGGTTCTTGCTGCTGCTGCCTCTGGTGAGGAATGAGCGTAGTGTTGGGGCGGAGGGCCGTTAGGGGAAGAGCTACTCGTTCCGCCAGGGACGATTAGGAGCGGCGGCCGAACTTATCCCGAGTCGCTTCAAGGGATTATAATCACTACGGCGAAGCTAGGAGAACAAAACAAGCCAGGGGAGTGGTCGAGGTAAGTTTCTCGAGCACAGGCCGGCAAGAAGAAATCACATGAATGGGCATCGTGCTGTTTGGTAGTATCAAGGCACTGGGCGCTTTCTCCTCACGGTACCTCAGGCGGGACATATGATAAGCACACACCCACGCTTAGAAACAGGGCTGATGACTCTTTCTCGCGGAAGTCTTCCGGTGAACGATAAGCAGCAGGCAAGCGGGGCGGCTGGCGCTAGAAGTGTCATCGCTACTAGCACCAACCGCATTCCTGATGCGTCACGGAAACTGGACAGCGGGCACAAGGATGAAGGCGATGCTTCTCGACCGACCGTATCCGACGGTGGAGGTGTACGCGGCCTACACCGCAATCTGTCTTGCCAACGCGGCGCCAATCACCGACAAGCAGGCCTGCCTCCTGATCCTGGAGCGTGATGACACCTTACCTTGGCCGCTGCCATGGGCTCTACGGTTCGGCGTGCCTCCACCGTGTGGCACAGCATACACTCGTGCACACAACTTCGCGCCGTTCTTCCGATGGTGTTCGATGAGCGACGGTGGGCTGCAATGACCGGCCAGCTATGTTGTCCTCCAGGCGCGAGATACCGACCCTGCACTGTGCGACTTTCCTGGTCTGGTCTTGAGCAATCCAGCCAGGCGATAACGGGCAGAAGCGCGCCCGTGCACGGCCTTCACGCCGCAGATGACTGATGCCGATGCGCAGTCATGGTCGGCCAAGGAGAGTGCCGATACGTCCAGGACTCAAAGCCCAGGGGCCCACGGCGAGCCCGAATGCATTCTGCACGAGAGACCGCCTTGACACAGCCTCATGACGGATATGCCCTGCCATCGATGCACGGAGACCACGGCTGCGTCGGCTCAGACTGGCTGGCGCGTGCTGCCGCGCCGAGAAGCTAACGAGGCCTGGAGAGGCGATAGGGGGCGTGTTCCATGGCACCTCGCACCTTCCTCCTATATAACACCCGGCTCCAGGGTCTCGTAGAGCTACCTAGACGGACAAGAGACTGTTTAATAGTATATACAAGGCAATAGAGGAGGGGGCGGTAGCGCTCGGGCGCTATGATAATTTAGAAAAAGTGCACTTCTTAGGTGCATGTTTGTAGTATAACATAGGGGACGTGAGTCACTGGTGGATGAGTATCTCTTCTGCATACAACCAGGTGGAAAGCCTCCCTGTGTCTATTCACGATAATAAATAATTTATTCAGCAAGGCCATGAGCGGTAAGAGAGAAGTTGGGAAAGGGGGGAGGGGGTGGGATTACTTGCTACTGTCTAACGCACAGTGCCTGGAACTGTTGAAACAGCTGTATTCGTACAGTCTATGTAGATCCTTACCTGCACGCATCTACCATCCTGCACGACGCATTGTCTTTTTCCTTCTCACCGCCTCAACTTAGTCGCATTGCACTTCCCTCACTGATTGTGAAGGGCAATGGAAGTTGCAGATTGACAATGTTGGCTTCTAGGTGGGGTATTCACGTCGCCCCATCGCAGAACCCCCAAGGGAAAGAGACAACATATAAACTTCGCTGCCTCTGCTTTCAGCAGCCTTAATATCTTCACCAACGCCACGTCGAGCACGGCCCAAAATTATTTTCAATTTTCTCTGAAACATTGCCTCCTCAACTGCCTTGGTAACGTTGCGGACATGGATCACGACAAGTTCGCAGCCCCCCATGTTTCATAGACGGAAGCTTACTTTCCACCTAGTTCTCCCCATTCATTACTCGATCCTAATCCCCCCGAAGAATCAGATAGCCCTGGCTTGAGCTCAGGAAACAGCCCTGGCGGAGACGCAAACGATGAATGGCTATTGTGCGTTCCAAACGAGGCAGCCCTTCCTACGCTGACTCCACGTCACATTTATGTGACACATGTTCCGTATCAGGGCGGAGAGCAATTATATATTTATGTCCGTAAGAGCAAGCTCAGCGGAGTTCCTCAAGCCGAGCAAGCTACGTCTGATGCGAGGACACGTTTTGCGAACTTCGTGCGAGGGGTTTTGGAGCTTGTGGGCGACACCAGTGGCTTGGTCATCTATCAGGACCTGACCCTTCCCAGCTTGCTGTGGCAGGAGCTGTGTTTTCTTTTCAATGATGCCGCGGTACGTTATCAAACTTTGCCCATTGACTTTGCCGCTAAGCTGTCCCAAGGATTTAAAAACGATTGATGAACGTGGGCGCCCAGCCTGGAGGCATGGCTACGGAAAGGTTACGCGCAGCTTTTGGCGACACGTTCTGTTCTACGCCATCATCTCGTCCCAACATGACGACCAACTTCTCCATGTTCTTAGCCTGGAGCCCGACCAGTTGAGGGTCATGCTGCTGGAGAACATTTGTCGAACATCCATGGAGGTAGCCCTCCACGCCATTGCTCTTCTGAGGAGACTACTGGTAGAAAGTGGTGGCCAGCAGAGACCGCGGCAGTTGTGGTTTCCTCGTTGCTCCTATCCGTCTTTCTATGTTCTGAGTGAGCTCTTGGGAACCTCGTCCGCACTGGGGCTATGCACTTTGGAGACAGCGCGTCAATTCGTTGCGAAGCATACAGAGAGGATCCCAGTTTTCGCAGACTTAAGAGCCACGTCTGCCTCTGGAGAGGACCAGTTCTGGCTCAGATGTCAAGACTGGATGGGTTGTATCGGTGTCACTTGTTACCCTTCCTTGGTATGGGAGATCATTCATTGTTTAAACATTACTAACAGCTTGCAGGAACTCCCTGATATTATTGGACTCTACATCACAGAAGCCCAAGCCATCGAAATCGACAAGTATGTCGGGGCTTTTCCTGACAAACATGTCTACGAACCCCAGTTTCGGCATCTACAGGCATTGCTCATATGGTACTCCGATCAGGCTCAAAATCAACGCTGCCCTGACCTTGAGAAGCACCTATACATGGCCTCAAAAGGATTGGCGGCTCATTTAGGAGAAAAACTCCGATGCCGATTTTCCAAAAAAATCCTGATTCACTTCTGTTATATCCAAGATCTCGGCGCCGATCGCTTACTGAACAGCTACGAATCTTCGGTCGACGCGTTGAGATACTTCCGCGATCTTATGCATGGGAAGATGCCTCCGCGGCATATGTGTTCCATTGCATCAATTGATGCACTCATAAAGGCTCAGGGACTGAAGAAAGCTGGAAAGAAACCAACACAGGCGGATGATTTCTACGTGAAATACTGGATGCTCAGGATGGAAGGCCAGGATGATGAGTCCGCCTACGAGAGTTGTACGCCACGTATGAGACCTGATACCAGCCCTTCCTCAACCACCCCCTAGAACGAAAATGGCTCTACCACCTGTTCTCATGGGAAACTGTTGGATAGACGTTTGCGCAGCTTACTGGGCTTCGAGAGTCTGAGCTCATGTTGAAGACCAGAGACCTTGATCGAGTAGTCACGATATGAATACACGTTTGAAAACTGATCCTGAGTAACCTATCAAAGCTTCTGCTTCCTCTTTTTACTAGCAGAAATGGGAAGACTACGCCACATGAATCTCGTGCTCAGCCAGTCTCCTTGTCGATGAGCGTCTGGACACCACCACACGCAATGTATTACATATACCCTCCTTCATCGCCTCCGCAGCAGGCTCCTCCGTCCTCCCGCTCATATTGATACTTCCCGCGAGTATTCACCAACCTGCTTCATGTAATGCGTCTAGGGCTCAAAGCCCAAGGGCCCACGGCGAGTCCGAATGCATTCTGTACGAGAGACCGCCTTGACACAACCTCATGACGGATATGCCCTGCCATCAATGCACGGAGACCACGGCTGCGTCGGCTCAGGATCGTTGGCGCGTGCTGTGGCGCCGACAAGCCAAACGTGGCATGGAGAGGCGATGGCGGGCATGGTCTATGACACCTCGCTCCTGTACAAGGCCCGGCTCTAGGGTCTCGTAGAGCTAAGTCGACGAACAGGAGATTGTTCAATGTACATGCAAAGCAATAGAGGAGGGGGCGGCAGCGCTCGGGCGCAATGATAATCTAAAAAAGTGCACTTCTTGGGCGCACATTTGCGGCATGACATCGGGGACGTGAGTCCCTGGTGTATAAGTACCTCTTCTGCACACGCAAACAGGTGGAATCCTCCTTGTGTCTACTCACGAACATAAATAGTCCGTTCAGCAACGTCATGGCGGAAAAGACCGCACCTCGCTGCACCGAGTGTAAGCATATATTCAACTTTCTGGGCTCAGCAGCTAACCTTTCGCTCAGGCAAGCAAGCTTCCACGTGCCCGGCGCCATGATTCAAGCTCATACCATCTAGCAAGCACCATTTGAAACGGAGCGCATCGCAGCATCCTCCCAAGCAATGCCTCGCCTGGACACCGGAAACGCACTTGGTGGAACAATGGTCTAAAGATTTGGATTGGAAACAGTTGGAAGACTTGATTCGGACACCATTCGAGCTGCATACTTCAAAATTTGTGTTTCCGGGTTGGTGGGAGGAGAATAGACTTCGGTGAAACATGGTTTGAATAAGTGGAGATGAATGGGTCCTCTGATAGAGTGTAGATATGTGGCATCTTGTAAGACATTGCCTTCACGTCTACATGCAATGGCGTGCGCCCTCACCTGCCATGGAATGTCGTCTGGTCTCCATGACGGCTTAGTAAGGGGCTAACAATTGCGAGTCCGGCTCATTGAACGGGACCAGACCGTCTTTTCGATTGATTCTCCAAGGAGGTAGACCGCGATCACCGCAGCGGAAGTAGCCTTGAATCGCCAGATGTCAATGGCGACCTAGGCAAAATCAAGTGACGACGTTGCACGAATATGCAAGCCATGCTATGAGTCACTATATGATCGAGCATTACGAGCAGCGGCTTGACTGGGAAGACAACAGTGATACTCCCGATTCAGCAGACGAGTGACAAGCCTCGGCCGCATTCCCCTGTCATTATCTCCCACGACGCCAATTATGATGAGTAAAGAGAAAACGCTTGACGCAGGACACGTCCCAAGCCGTCTGTAGCAGCCGCAGCACAAAAGTCGGAGCAGGGCAGGAACAGGAGCTCTTGGGGGTTTCCAGCACTATCATGACCGTGCCTAACTGTACATTGAGGGTGACTAGGGTGCGCTGCACACTGCAGATAGTGTCAGAGTAGTCAGGGATCCCGGACCGCCTTGGTCCCACTGAAAGACGTTGGCCCACAGCAGAGGTGGAGTGATCTCTTAACAGTCTTCTCTGGCAAGGCAGCGGGTACCTGAGCAGCCTTGCGGCCTCGCGCAGAGCCCCAACAGTAGCGTACATGGGCATATGTACATTACGCAAGCCGCCACACCCTGCGTGACCTTGGCACGAGATGATCGCACGGCCACCCACGCTTGTTCACAGTGGCGTCGCGAGGTTTTGTGCAGTTTTGGGGCGCGAGGGTGCTACGGTAAGCGCGACCACGCCCAACGCGTAATTCTGGGCACGAGGGCGCTTTTCGAGCATGGAGGGGGCCTAACGCCTTTTTAGCCTTCCATGTGCCTGACAAGCGCGATTTCACTTCCGAGTATTCTCGCTTCAGTCCACTGGCGCCGCCCTCGGCTCTCAGCATGTTATTCAAGCGTCAACGATACTTCGGAGAGACATGCATGCTATTGACAGAGCACCGAGAACAAGAACCGTATGCGAGCCTCGATAGTAAGACGATAGTCTTTCTCGGCCTATACTGCTCTTTGAAAGTGCTTCATGGTCAAAAGAATCAAGAAACAAGCTTTTTGAAATACTTGAAGTATGAGGAACTATTCGAGGATTATCAAAGACTTCGAGTTTTCGAAGGACTGGCACGTGTTCATGTCGGCATTGCCTGAGTCTCGTCGAGTGCTCATTATGCTCGGTACGTTCCAGGCTGGTCGTCTTTGACCACACATTGTAAAGAGCATGCACATGTCCTTTAGTGTTTTAGTGCCACCGAAATTGACGGGTCCAATGAAATCGACAGCAGGGTCGTGATCGCACGCGAACCAGGCGTTGCCCGTCACGTCCAGAGCAAGCGTGGCTGGCATTCGTCCAGTTCACGTGCTTCTTGGAATACACGCAGTGGATATTTTCTCATCCGCTTGGTGCAGGATGCCCGGTAGCATTGTGGGAGCTATGAGAAACGGCGTAGCTTATGATGATGCAGCTGCTGCCTACGTCTGCAACATGACACCTAGTGATGATAAGCGTGCTGGCGGATTGCGTCCTTGTTCGTGACCCGCCCCGCCTTTAAGCTTAGAGGAGGGGCGCGGAGAAATATAAATACAGCGCCGATCGTGTCCACGTGCAGCTGACAGATAAAGTTGGTGTTGCAGGCTACTTCGAAGCCTAATCCTCTGCATAACAATGTTTTGGACTGTGTTCTGGGCGTTGTTGATACCGACAGTTACGTCTTGAGTGTATTCCATTTTCGAAAACCCCATGTAAGAAGCCTCAGGGGCCGGAAGGTGCGTCTTGCAGCGGCTGCTTGGTACTACCGTTTGTATAATTCGCAGATCACGTGCCTACCACGAGTCGTCATTTTCCATTTGCGCTGTTCGTCGCGCCCTCTGCCGTGGCCCGCACGAAGCTCCTCCTCATCATCTGCATCGGACCACCATGGATGCAGGTAGGCAACCCTGCAACACGCAGGGCTTGGAAACTCAGAATTCGACCCCCGAGCCTCACACTACACCGAAACATCACATTCACCTGCCTCCGACGCCTCCTGCCACCGACGAGCCACCGATTCACGCATCAAGCGTGCCCTTTCTGGACGGAGTGCAGACACTCGAGGCTGCACGGAAAGCATCAGAGCAATCGACACCGTGGACGCAAGTGCAACTAGACCCAACCGCATACGATCTGATTTCGAGGAGCCTTGAAAACGGATTTCGCAGACACGATTTCGACCGTGGCGCTGGCGTCCTCAGTTTCCGCATGCCTTCCCCGGTTCACGATTTCTTCTCGACATTTCTCGCTGATGACATACATGACTGGCTCAAACGTGTAGCTGCGGAGGGCGGCGAGAGTGGTGAATTCGCTGCAAAGATTGCAAACGGGGGCTCGTCTCGCATCTTTCTCAGGGAAGGAGACTTGGGACGACCTTGCGAACCTGTGCGGCGACAACCGGATGCGCAATTCCAACACGACCATACGGCCTACCCTGGGGTGGTGGTTGAGATATCATATTCGCAGGATGGAAAAACGCTAGAGAAGCTGGCACAGGATTACATCCTTCTCTCGAATGGCGATATAAATGCTGTCATTGGTATCGACATAAACTATGGCGGGAAAGTATCGACCGTCTCGGTATGGCGCCCTCTGTACACCCGCGAAGGACATGATGAGTACCTGGAGGCAGAACAGCGTGTTGCATACAAGGTACGTCTGTAATGTACCATGTAACACGCGATGACTAATGGGAGCAGCCATTTCGTGGTGTTGATGGGTTAGCTACGAACGAAGAAGATGTTCTGTCACTACGACTGAGTGATTTCGCCACTGATGCCATATCCCACGGGCACGAATCTGTTGAGTTTTCGCTACCTTTCGAGAGACTCCATGAACTCCTCGCTCGAGCCGAACAAATACAAAGATCCAGAGAGTCTAACGACGACCGGGGGCGAGTCATATCACAACGGAAGACTAAGAGACGAAGGCCCTCTTCAAGTCCTGCCGAGAAGTTGGGATCTGACGATGAGGCTAGGTATCTTGGCCAGGAAAAAATGGCTTTGCAACAAGCTGAGAAGGTGGACGATGCGTTCTCAGTGCCCACGGCGAAGCGAAGGGCGTGAGAACTCATGATTTGACTTGAAACGCAGAACCGTGTTGCGCGATCGTCCCTTCTGCAGATGAGCAGCTTCACCTCAACTCAGTTGCTGAACTTCTCATGCACCTACAGCTACTTGAGCAGACCTAATCGGGCGCTCATTCCAAAGACAATGTGCACCACAGCGCCACGAAGGTCAGCAACTGGTTTCTGGCCTCCGCACAACTCCCCACGGAACCTGGGAAACCTGAGGAGCAACATCTGGGATTGATCTAATAAGAACTTGATCATTTCATGCTGGTTCAGCCCTCCGTAAAGTGCCCACTGCCCTTATGATTAGCTGTTGACGGGGCTTGGCGCGGGCAAGACGTACTCTTCGCAGACTGAATCCTCGCGTGCTGCTGAAATCCATGGGAAGACGCCGATCTTCTTTCGAATAACGTTTTGAGCCCTGCAATGTTCCCATCGATCGCATAGGTGACTGAGAGTGCGTCGTCTGGAACAGTGTTTCGTGTGGGAAGGTGAATCTGAGGTCCGACAAAATAGGGATGCATGCCCTGGATTATTGACTTAGTAACGTGAAGATCACCAAATCAGTGTACTTGAAAGGCTCAGCACCTACATTGCAAAGCCACTGCCCTCAAGTAACCAGGGACATATGGTGGATGGGTTTGTGATCCTACACAACCAGGAGCCCACACAGGTGCATGTCGACACGCTTGAGGCAAAAGGTAAACGCCTGCAAAATGCCGGAGCTTCTAGCCGACACCGAGCCAAAAAAAAAACAAAAAAACTACAGCAACTACGAGAGGAGCTGCGAGAGGAATTGCGAGAGAAGGTAGGTAACACAGTTGCGACTATAGTCAACCCCCATGGTGGAAGCTCGGAAGGACTTTCACCGAGCTAGGTCCCTTGGACACGGTGGACTGGCTCACAGTGTTTAAACTAGCTAGTAAGCAGGATGTGAGAAGGAGACCGGAACAGGTGGTTGACAACTTTACTATGCTTCCCTCTCTACCGCTAACGAAACTTTGGATTTCCGTGCGCTCAAGTTCTTAATTACCCACGTCGATCGACGCCTCCGAAGACATTGCACTCCTTACAGCATGATGAGGCAATCTATAGATGGATTCTTGAGCAGTGAGTTCTTCGCCATCAGAGTGGCTCAGCAATTGGGAAGAATCCAATACTGCAGGTTTATGGAATCGTTAAGGCCCCATGAGGTGCTATCTTCCGGACAACATTTACCGTTGTCTCAGTCTCCGTCATTGACGGCTTCATTGCGGATACCATTCAAGCCCACCAATAAGCCCCGTAAGTTCACCGGCCAGACCATTTGAACTAACTTGCTACCAAACATCGTCAGTACGAGGAAAAGTACGGCAGCAGTGGCAAAGCACTTCTACTTGATACATGGGCCACTGCAAGACTTGCTCTTGGACCATCTGAACCAAGTTAAATCGAGCACCTGTCGACCGAAGCTTTGCGCACTCTAGATCAGCTAAGCTCCGAGGCTACATGCTGGCGGAAACTTGATCTATTCCGTTGCCAGTCTTGATTTGTAGACTCAGTAGATGGGTGCCGCCCTGGATTCTGTGAGGTGCTTGTCGTTACCGCCTTCGGCCTGGTTGCCACGGGTTGGAAGGGTTATATGATTTGGGGGTGCCTTGACTGATCCGGGTAGCCCCTTCACCGGCGTGCATAAGATCGTCGTGCTTGTCTAGGAAGTTTTCTAGTTCTCGAACTCATCAAGAATGAGGAAACTGCTCAAGACGTCTCGGGACTAAAGCCTGACGCGAATGGTCATATCGGAGCATTCGTCGATTTCGCCGCCAAGAACGGCGAAGAACATCTCCAGTCTCCTTGGCGACACAAATCTGCATCACTCAAACGACAACGATCAGAAAGCAACGTAGTTAGTCTGTCTAAAACGGCCTATCCTGGAAAAACAGAAGTGAAGACAGAGGTCCGGGCTATAGCAAGAGCCCAGCGCAATCCCTGAGCCCAGAATATCAGAGGATTCGAGCCGCAATACGCTCTTCAACGATCAGAAATAACGAGTGTAGTACGTAGGCATACATTAAACATGAGTACCGTCCGTCCCCTCCGTTGTGTCGTGACGCTTGGCTTTAGCCCGTATAGTGACCCTTCATAAGTTTAGTTTCAGTTAGTAGCACCATATCAAGCATAGTTTTACTTACTTCCATGGCATCTGTTCGCTGCCTGGAGGGTCCTGTATAGTTTCGATGCCGTAGAACCCAAATGTTTGCAACAAGTTGTAATAGATATCCCTTTCGTATCTCCATGCAGGACAGTCGATCAGCAGCTTGTGCCTCTCACCACACAAACAATTTCGTCCAAACCATGCCAGATCGATGCATCCCGAGGGTTGCAGCAAAGTCTTAAGATGGCCTAAATCTGAAAGAGTACGGTCGGGGCTTTGTATATAGATGAAATCCAAACTCAATGAGAGTCCACGAATGGAAGTGACAAAGTGGCAATTCTCGGGCAGTTCATCGGAAACTGTTTGATTTGCCACAATGTGTACGGTGGAGGAAGAGCAAGTCTTAGCAGCATGACTTTCTAGGTCAGTAATATGCATAGACTGTAAAAGATGTGAATGCTCACATTCCCCAGAGCACAGGCCGTGCTCCAGCGCATAGTATTGTCTTCGGCTTGATTTGATGGGCGCCAAGCGCGGACGCTGCTTGCTCTGTAAGCGAGCATGCTTGCTCGTTGCGTGCAGTATCGTTCCCAAAGACCGTCTCGCCTCGTTCTCGTGGCGCGGATGCTGCCTGGTCGGTAAGCGAACATGCTTGCTCGCTGGGTTTACGTGGCGCGTTCTGGTCTCGGTAGTAAATAGGAAGACACCACCAAGAAAGGCCACTCATGGCGGAAAGAGTGTTGAGAATGAACCAGCTCTCGATGTGACTTTTGGCTTGGGACGGTCGAGCAACGGCCTCGCCCCGAGCCTTAAATGGAGATTTGGATGCATGTGTTTGTCGTCAGACCAGCTAGATCGGCATTGCGAGCGCGCCTGAACTCCCATGCCACCACAGATGTGACGCTCGGCTCGACGGGGGGCTCACGTACCCAATCTCTTACAGGGGATTAATGATATGGGCTTAGGAGAACGAGCATCGATGTCAATCGGCAGATTGCGTTCGCCCGCGCGCATCGCCCGGGAAGTATATCCAGGCCCCTGCCGCGGTCGGCAAAATTAGTGGCTACCAGCGCGAAGACAGTGTGGATCCACCGTCAGCCCGATACTGGGGTCCCTTCCACCAGGAGATGGTCTAGGATGTCCAACGTTGGTCACATTTCCCGCCTCTGGACGACGCCTGGCACATACTTCGCTATGAGCTGGCGTTGAATACGTCGTATACCTTCGACTGAGCTGGTAAACCTAGTCGGACCCAATCATCTCTTGGCGAACTCTTTTGTGACCTGTCGGGGTTTAGGGGGACGTCAAGGTGTATAAGTACGGAGCTGGTGTGAGCGGATCCTGTGGCGTATGATGCGAGCAATCCATCCGGGTGGAGAAGATAGACTCACAGGGATACGATAGCCCTGGTGGGGACGCCCCATCCGTCAGTACTTGACGATCTACATGAGCTTGGCACGGGACAATCGCACCTCGGACAGCATGCACCGCAGCGCGTTCGGAAGCTTGCCAGGGACTGACAGAGCGCGATGTGATTCGCGCGAACCAGGAACCCGCCACACCATGTTGTGAAAGCCCGTGACTTGGACGAATCGCAACCCTGCAATGCGTCCCTTGCTCTTCCGCTCAGTCTGCACGGGGCTGGCGCTCTCTTCTCTCAACACGGCAACGCATGGACCGGCTTAACCGCAAGACGAAGGAAATGTGACTTGCCAGTTGTCCGCGGCGGCTGCCTATCACTGACGTGGACCAGAGCCAGAAGCAAGGCGTGCGTCACATTATCCACGAGATGCGCGAGACATGCATTGATGCACCAGCGCCCCTGCGGCTGTCTCCAGTAATGCTCACCAGCCTTGACCTCACTCGTAGTGGTGCTTTTCCCTGATAGCCGCTGAATACAGGGCCGTCTCAGAAGCTTCCGTTGTTGTTCAGATAACCCCTTAGCAGGTCATCTGTTGCTCAAAACCAGCCAGTACCTAGCGCCTCAATCTCAACATCGAGATCTCTCACTCTTCTCCAAACATTTCGCAAAGCACCAGTACAGACTCCAGCATGTCCCGACGTTCTTTTCCGACTTCGAAGACCATTCATATCAACCCAAGCCGCCGTGGCAAGGATCATTTCATTCGATCTAGGCTCTCGACACAGAGAAGCCAGAACTCCGGCAACGGCCCCAGCACGCTCAATGTGGACCGCAAATTTACCAACGAACATTCTGGTGGCGATGAAGAAGAAAGTGCGATCGACGACGGGAGTGACACAGATTGGGAAGAGTCTTGCTCTCCCCTGGGCGATGAGCGTTTCCGGTCTCAAGGGATTGTACAGCTGTACAGCCGAAGTATTCATCAATACTCACTGAACTGCTTAACCGCGATAAGACTTCGGCAACAACTAATAGTGCGGGACAACCAGACTCCCAACCCAGCACCCTCCGCCCGTCTGGTACAACTTGCCCGGGGGAGACTGGTATCGACCTGACAGTGGCTGTCGCTCGCGAGCAAATTTTGGGCAGGGGGTACATCAAGAAGGACAAAAATTCCAAACCGGTCTCCGTGGATCCATATCCCTTCGAAGAAGACCCATTCTACGGCATGATAGTGTGGTGAACTCCTTTTACAACCTCTCACCAGAACAATCGCTCTTGTCTCGATACGATGGCTCGGGTATGTTCGCCAGCGTGATGGCAAATAGCAATGTATACTGTATGTTTTTTGAGAGCGAACAGGATGGGATGCGCAGAACAAAGCATTTCCCACGATCATCTGGTGACGGCCCCATCCTGCGAGTGGTACCAAGATAGTGATCTTATGAGAGTGATGTACAGAGGGAAGGATACGAGCGTGCACAAAGAGTTGTGATATACGTGTATAGCAATGATGCTATTGGGAGTCATGCTTGTGTTCCTGAATTGCAACTTCTCTGGCGAGGCTGCGTTGCCTTTGGAACTCCGTCGACTAGTAACCCGATCTCAAAGTCGATTTGTGTACTTCGCGTTGTCGTAGAGAGAACTCACGAGCCGGAAGCTGGTAGTTTGCTTTGAAGCCTGGAAGTAGATGTCTGTTCCTTGGGCTGAGGCTACATGAGTATCAATCCGACGGCTATTCCAACAGTCACGGCGCGTGGAAGTACAGAGGTGGCCACGGTGTTATCCTTCTACGTCAAGGTCATCGTGATCTCTCGCAGAAACCAACCTGATGCCTAGCTAAGACGGGTGATTTTTTGCGGAACCTGAGGCGGTCCGCCCGCGGGTGACTCGATCTTCGTCTTTCGATCCCACCATGACCGATGCTTGCAAGCCGGTCTGATGCCAGGATGTGATGTGCAGAATGAAGCCTTTTCCCTATCGTCCCATAATAGCAATGCACTCCGAAAGGGTTTGAATTTGTGACTAGTCGCATAGTTTCCAGTGAAGGTTGTCAGACTATGTAGAAAGTGTTGTAGTTCATATACAAATGGTCTTGCGTCAAAGGCTGTGGTTCAGTGTCCCTGAGCTACGCCCTTAGCGATCTTGCAACCACAGACGCAAAGTTGTGTGACTATTTCCCTAATGAAGCGGGCGAGCTTGGTGATCTCATTCTTGGTGTGGATTTGTGTATGCGGCGATATCTTACCCGGAAACTTGCGTGCCAACGATTTGTAACTCACTGCCAGAGGCTTCAAGAAACGGCAGCCTCCTGAGTGAGCTACTTTTGGGTATCTTGTGTGTATCAGTGATATGACTCAACGAATGCAAAATAAAAACGGCCTACCAATATAGAAGAGACGGAAGGGAGGGAGTGAAGAATCACAGATGTGACCATCAGGCAATAGATCGCCACGGAGCAATCCGAGGTGTATTCTCGCGGCAACATTCCGTCGTTAGAGAGCGATAGCCCGAATGCTATGACAGAAAGGAAGGTTGCCGAGCAGCCTAGGATGGTCCATATACCGCAAGCAACATCCAGTCTTGAAACTTCCCTCTGCAAGATCTGGCGCTTCAGACAAGCGCCTGTCTCCCGTACAAAGACGGTAGTCAGTAGTTCTATCGGCATTGGCGCGGTCAGAAGCAGATCCCAATGTCCTTCTGCAGCGCGCCAGCCGCCGAACGCGAGTATGAACAGTGTAGCGCCGACTGAAATAACAAAGAAATCTGGGAGCAACGATGACCTCTCGGTAGTTACGGAGTTGCTTATGTACGCAGCCATATAACGTGGAAGCTAGGACGCGTTAGATCGACCAATTCGTGACATTGAGCTCACTTACTGGGGTCAAAAAGAGACTGTAGACTGCCGCAATGCTCCATCCAGCGAGCGAACTGAAGGTTTCGTTGGTGTGACTGCGAGCTTCCGGCAGGGCCTTGCGAAATATGACAATTGACGTGAGTACGGCGCCGAGACCCAGTATCGCGAAGGAGAGGGACAGGATGCTGGCCACGCTGTGAAGTCCGTGGCCTGTAATGGACTCATGTGATTGTCTGCGCATCTGGCACAAGCCAACGATGGCGATGAGAAAAAGGATAAGGGACACAATTGCAGAGCCCATCAAGTTCGTGACTAAGAAAGTAAGGTCAGACTGCATGGCGAAGACAGATGAGCGAATGAGTAACGAAAGGCAAAGCTGAACGAGGGATGGCAAGGCACTGGGCGATGCTTTTATTAAAGGAAGTACTTGACTGCGATCTCACCACCGTCACCAATTCATAAAAATCAATGAGTGCACCAACAGGCGACACTGTGTCTTGCTGTGGTGGTTGTGATCATTGGTGGGGTGTACCTTGAGCTCGCTCATGAAGGTGTTAGCCTTCCACCCGCTACGAATATGCTCTTACAAGGATAGAATCGTTTGGAGGCTTCAATGCATATCACCTCCCCCAACCTGTTCATCACATCGAAAGCAGAGTGTATCGGCTAGTCGTTGGCTTGACGCTCATTGGGCACGACATTTGTCTCCACAGGGCTTCGGTGCAACCGCTTTTGGGCTAGTGGTATCACACTTCCTGAAACATGCAATTAACCGAAGGCCACCCTATTTCCCATCTATATAAAATCCACTCCCACTCCCACCACTGCCACTACCACTTCCACTTCCACTTCCACTTCCACTTCCACTCCCACTTCCACTTCCACTTCCACTTCCACTTCCACTTCCACTTCCACTTCCACTCCCACTTCCACCCCCACCCCCACTCCCATTCGCACGCCAACATTTTCCGTCATGTCGGAACCTTTGACAAAAGTTCTCGAGGGCGTCCAGACCCACTTTCAGCGCTACGAAAACCCTACCAAGAAGCAGGAAGACACCTTACGAAGGAATCTACCCGAGTTTAAGGAAAAGTCACACGATAAAGAGTCAACGTGGTTCAGGCATGAAAGAACTCGAAAAAGGTTAAAATACGTCGAAACTGAACTCGGTATCCCCGCGAAGTATTTCTTGATGCTTGCAATTCCACCTACTAGAGTTGCAGCGGAGGATATGAAGTTATTCTGTGATTGGTGGAAAGAACGCGATATCCCCGAAAACTTCCACAAATGGTTCAAAAGGACACAAGCGTCTGATCAGAGCGGTGCGTTTGTCAGACATGTTTCTAGTTCCACACTGATCGGGGTAGCAGATCAACAGCTTGTACCTGATATCGAGACGAGTGGTAGGTGCAATATAGGCTATGGCCTCAAACATTGCTGACATACCCAAGACGGATCCGGTTATGCAATCACTAGCGAAGACAGAATCATAAAAGCTGTAAAGGCTTCTAAGGGTGCTATGTTAACAATGCCTAGGCCTGAGGGCGCAAACCCATTTTTAACTATTACTTGCACAGAGTCCACGGCGTTATATCTGTTAGGGCAAATAGAGCAGACAGAAGAATGAGATAATAAGTATGCTAGCGCACTTCGCCGACCCTTTGTTGCTCAAAGCATATGTAATAGTAATGATCTTCAAATGGGACCACGACCAAATTCTCAGATTTTCCAACAGACGTGACAAGATGTATCCCTGCATAAACACGTACGTTTCCTGTCGCACGCAAGTCAACGACTATAGCAGTAATAGAGCCATCATTGACTTTTTTAACGTTGTCCTTGACTTCACTCCAGTTGATCGTGCTGCACGTCTTCCGTAACTAGCGAGATGTAAGCTTCCGAACACTGAAAATCTATCATCCGTAATATACCTTGTCCTCGCAATGTGCAAGGATTTGTTCATCTGAGATTCCTCGTCCTAACTCGAATTTGTCTGACATCGTAATGTTAGAGACGCTGGCTGGATAATGTGTCGGGGTGGTATTGAGAGTGGCAGAAATCCTGACACCTCGCGTTGAACTGTGGAAGCGGAAGTGGAAGTGGAAGTGGAAGTGGAAGTGGAAGTGGAAGTGGAAGTGGAAGGGGAAGGGGAAGTGGAAGTGGAAGTGGAAGTGGAAGTGGAAGTGGAAGTGGAAGTGGAAGTGGAAGTGGAAGCGGAAGTGGAAGCGTGTGTAGGCTACGCCATTAGCCACCCGCTTTTATTCAATCTAAAGGAGAGGACGAAGCTTGTCAGAGCAATGCAAATTTAAGCATGAGTTCCCTTGACAACTAGCAGTAAACTCCAAGGAAAATAGGCTCCATAGCTACGCGTGTTTTGATAGTTGCTATATGCCATGACAACTATTCGAGTCAGTGAGAATAACATCAAAATGCTGGACCGCAAAAACACTACCATTGTATAATCGTCCGGGAGAGGTTCATTGTGTGGCCGCATATCTAGCGGCCAAGCCATACCAACCATTTGAACCATGAATATTGGTCTGCACAATGTCCTAGGAAAGGGTGAGACGGGATAACAACCTGGTAAATGCAGTCTTCTGAGATGTAGTTGAAAAGCAAGCTAAAACCCAAGAATCCCTAATTGCTTTCTTTCCCCTGTTATCCATACTTCTATCCATCATGTCGACCCGTCAATCGAGCACAAGTCCTCCGAAGTCGAACAACCCAGGTAAAGTCGACACGGACAATGGTAACAGCGGCACACAGACGTACACCACACCTTGACTGACCGGACCAGAGCCTCAAGAAGTACAACAACCAGCCGAAGGAAGTCAGGAGCAAAGGGGAGGAGATAGCTCTGCTTGTGCTCAACCAAATCCCCTATACGATGACGCACTAGGGGACACGACCGAACTCACAGTCAAAGTTGAGAAGAGTGATTAGGGAGGACAAATAGGAATTCCGACGAAGATGTAGGACACCGCCTTTGGGACATAATATGTTGCGGGACCGAATATCCGTAGCCAAACGTTGGGTTCCCAATTGATTTCATCCGTGTTCGCTGTTTTCGAAACACATATACTAGATCCGGGCGGTGCGATGGTGGGAACGAGGACCACCATCGAATTCTCCTTGACAGTCACTGCCCCAGTCGTATGTTTCACTGACTGTCCGTTGATGGTGACCGTACCATCCTCGGTGCACTTCAAATTTCAGCGAAAGGCCGACTTTGTTAGAATAGCAACTTACTATTTGGTTCACGATTTGTAGGCAGATTGGCGAATGTAGTTCATGGCTCCAGTCATATTTATAACCAAGCGGAATGGGTGTTGGGTTGTTTTGCTGGCTTCCAGCCCGAGAAGCAGCACGCATTAGATCTGGCCGCAACAGGTCCATTTCGAAGCATTTTCTGCGGATGGCAAGAGGGAAAACACTGTTCTGTACCAAACGTGGAACATGGTCCTCCGTCAGCGTTACAGTGAAACGAGCCTGACTCTCCATGGCAGGTTTCGGTGGTTGGTCGCCGACTCCTTCGCCGGGAACTGCACTGTCGGCTGGCTTGCAAAGCTCCTCTGTGGGATGACGGGCGGCCATTGCGGCAGCGTGTAAAGTTAACAAAGACTGATAGTCGCAATGACCGCCATTTGTATCATCCCCCGTTTGTCCAGCGGACATATTCTGACGGTGCAGTAAATAGGGACGGATCGTACCAAGCACGCGATCATAGCCGTCAACACTCGGATGCCTGGAGTTCCTCTCATGCGTGTATACGGAACCGTCATCCTGTCTCGGCGCTTCGTGAAGGACTTGCTCGAAACACGATCCACGGGGCAAACATCTTTTTGGCTGTCCAGCCCAGAGATCATCTCCCAATTGACTTTCTTGATAGTCAGAGAGTGTAGAAGGCCCGTCATGCATGAATGGGGATTGTGCTGTGGCGGTTGTCTGCGCATGTCTGAAGTAATCAATGCCTTGCTGACTCCTCCACTCGGCATTTCGGAGGGCCTCGGCGGCCTCACGCGCGGCTACACGCACGGCGTCACGCACAGCGTCAAATCCCCTTTGTCTCGTCTGCGTCTCCATAACACGAGCGTCAACTGGTGCAGGAAGTTGATGATCTCCAGAGAGGCCCCAGTAGTTGAATGCTGACTGCTGTGAAGACTGAATAAGATTCGCTCCGGACGCGGATGGCACTGGCCGTTGGCGCATTTGAAGTCCCGCGTCGGTTATACCGCTTGACGAGTCCATCCAGAACGACTGGGGAGGCGAACCAGTCGTCGCAATCTCGGTGTGCGGGTTCCCCGTCGCCGGCGTGGCCGCAATGTCATCGCGGGGATGGCAAGGAGCGAGAGACCGCACGCTGTTGTCCGTGGGAGCAACAGGACGATCGGGGTCGAGCTCTGCCCGGGGACGTTTGGGAAGAGACAAAGGCACACTGCCGAGGCTGCGAGGTCGCTTCTGCGGTTTGGATGCTCGGGCTCGACCGATGCGGAGCTCAGATCCATTTGAGAGAATGAAGACGCCAACCCTGGCCTCTTCGTCCACGGGCCTCCCCGCATCGTCCCACATCTTGAGCTTGCAGCAACCTTCCCACGGTGGTAGCTTCCCATCTTCCCAGTATGGGTTGTCTTTGGTCTTTGGCAGCTGCAAATTGGCGCACCATCGCTCAAAGTCATGTTCGCAGTACACGCCTTCGAAGCCGAAGATGCTGCAAAGTTTCGTAAAGCTTCGGAATGTGAGACGGCAGGACACTAGCGTTGCTCAAAAAACTCACTCGAGATGTGGGAACCAGAATTTGATAAAGAAGAAAACGCAAGGCGGGGCCCCGGCCTGCACCTCCTTGGCTTGCTGCTCGTCAGGAGACATAGACGCGGCCGTGCTCAGTGTCCAGTCTGTCGTATCTTGCCACGACTTCCAATCTGTGAGAAAATAAGCAACTGTAGATAGCAAAATATCGGACGACACACTAAAATACAGATCTTCCCATGGCCGATGCCACTGAGCCTTGCCGTGCAAAAGGGGTTGAAAATAACTTCTCGGAGCAGAACTCGCCCTCGCCTTGACCTTTTTTTCACGTGCTTTGTCGCCCCGTGCTGCTGGACGGTCTGGCGTCTTCGCCCTCCAGAATCCAAAGTCCAGCAACAAGTCCTGCGCATCTTGCACATTCCTCTCGTAATCATCGTGCTCAGTCCACGTCGGGGAGTATAATGCGTGAGCACAAATGATAATCGTGCGGTCGAGGTAGTTCTTCCGTTCAATGCGCGGCAGCTCGGGGCCCAAGGCGAGGGCCCGAAGCGTCCCTCGTATACTTTCTTTGTCTGAGAGTCCGTGAGCGCGTCTCTGATCGGTCCATAACTGCTCTTCTCCTTGCGATTCGAACTTGATGACGGTACCCATGGTTGGCTCTTGGGACGTCGTTGCGCGCGAAAACGTGGCAGTCGTCCAATGACGTGGTCGGGCGGAACAACATGATTCCGCCCCTTGATACGCCCAACATGCGTATCACAGGGCACGTACCATGAGATACCGTCCTCCATATTCAAGACGCCTCAAACTAGCCCATGGCCGCCAAGTTGGATACGGATGATCGAAGCGTCTACTGCGACACTCGTGATTGAGCTGGTACAGGGTAGGTGGAGCTGAGACGTTTGAGCTTGATGAGTCGTCATCTTGGAACGCCCGGACTGGTGCATTGAACATTCCAAGTCGAAGTCGAACTGTCCGCGCCTCATGTTCACTTCGAGCATTCTACAGCCGTGTTTGATTGAGCACACTTGACTGCAGGTCGGCGGGCGTACTCTAAGCGATACCGAAGCTTGAAATGATGAAGGGCGCTTCCGAAAAGTTGCGGATGAGTTTGGGATGCGTAGTCGCCGCTCTGACGAGAATTCATAAGAAGGAGACTAGATGGTGGCCCGACCGCCATCGTGTGACGCATTCAATTCGCCAACCTATAGGACAATTTGTCTCCCATGAGTCGCTCATTCGCAGTGGTCCACTCGGTCTAGCGCAGGCGCGAGGAGGTTGTCCAGATACCCCCTCCAAATTCGGTCTAGCGCAGACGCAAGAAGGCTGTCCAGATACCCCCTCCAAATTCGGTCTAGTGCGGACGCTGTCCAGATACCCCCTCCAAATTCGGTCTAGCGCAGACGCAAGAAGGCTATCCAGATACCCCCTCCAAATTCGGTCTAGCGCAGACGCAAGAAGGCTGTCCAGATACCCCCTCCAAATTCGGTCTAGCGCAGACGCAAGAAGGCTGTCCAGATACCCCTTCCAAATTCGGTCTAGTGCAGACACTGTCCAGATACCCCCTCCAAATTCGGTCTAGCGCAGACGTAAGAAGGCTGTCCAGATACCCCTTCCAAATTCGGTCTAGTGCAGACGCTGTCCAGATACCCCCTCCAAATTCGGTCTAGCGCAGACGTAAGAAGGCTGTCCAGATACCCCTTCCAAATTCGGTCTAGCGCAGGCGCAAGGAGGCTGTCCAGAACCACCCTCCAAATTCGGTTAAGCGCAGGTACCAGCCCTTACGCGTTCACGATCGCCCGCCAGAGAACCGAGTGACCAATGGACAATATAATGAGAACAATGGCGGAGATGGTCGAATCAAAAGTAACAGCCACTAGCACACAGGTGTGGTGAGGCAAGAACGTGCCCAGCAGGACGCACCACCAAGGGTCACGAGTTGATGCGGCGCCGGACTTGAGAAGCTCAGTGTCCATGTTTCGCGTACGTATTGGCACTGTGCACCGCATCAAGACAACACTATCCTCACCCTCGGACCAAATTCTACTGCGGACTCAAACTCCAAGCCCTCGCCGCTCGAGAAAGACCGCCTTCTTTGCTCCTTAGATCTTCCGCCTATCGTCGCAATCATCACGAACAAGAACAAAAGCAGCAACAGCATTGCCAACTGTCGCAAAGACGCAGCGGTTCCCACTTCGATCGTCTGCGTTGCCCAGACTTGTCTGGGGCTCCTCTACCAGCACTTTGACTTTGCATCGTGGCTACGAATCTTGTGCTCCAATGAACGGTGGCTGCCAGCAATGCCCGAATGCACACACAGGCCCGTCGCATCTAGCGTATACCGTCTACGCTCCCGATCCAGCGTGGCAAGGACGTCCCCCCGGCATCCTCCAGGAACAAGCCCCGACTGATTATGCGACCCAAACCGCAAGATACCACGACGAAGTGAGCTACTATTCACTGCCATCGCCGGTCGACATGCCACAGTCGTGCCTACCTAATGGCCAGTCGTCATGCGCGAGGGAGAAGAGACGCAAGCGAGCGTCGCTGGCGTGCGACTGTTGTCGCAAACACAAGGCCAGGTGCGATGAGCAAAAGCCATGCCAGAGGTGCCAAGATTTAGGTCTAACGTGCAAGTATCGAGAAACCTTGCCTCAGGCGTGCGTATTGTCCTCTGACCGCGTGTGAACTTGTTAGTAACGTTGACCCGTATCAGGAAGATGCAGATCGAACGGACACTAGATACGTTGCGCGACCTCATGGGGAAGATCGAAGGGAACGTCGAAATACTTGTCAAAACTTCCCAAGACATAGACTATCGGTTGTCCAGGCTAGAGAATCGGGTCACGGATCGTCCACCTGGCCCGGTGCCTCCGCAACCAAATCACCCGTTCTCGTATGCCGAAGGCGTCGAGATAAGGTACCTGGTCTCTCCTGGCGAGCCTGCGATTCCCACCGATCACACCACGCGGGCTGACTCTCTATTCGAATGGCCTTCTATCCAGGCTCTGACCGAGTCTTCTTTTGCGCAAGGGGGCATCAATGTCAGCGGGTATCCCATCGGCCTCGAGCAGCGGCGAAGGCCACTGCTCAAATACGATTGCGGCGTGGACTCTCATGCGCAACGGAACGACTGCGGTCTGACCGAGAGCGACGCCGCGACTTCTGATGATGCATCACCGGCGTCTCCTCTCCATTCAGACGACTTTAGCGATCTAGGACCTGCAGTCTGGTCGTATGTTGCCAGTTTCAAAGCGCATATACTCAACATGCATCCCATCCTGGACGTGGACATGGTAGATCAAAAAGTCCGCGACTTCTTGGTATCAGTACCGCCGCGGTCGACGAGGGAACACGCCGCACGACCCTCATTCGCCATTCCCACCCCGCCTCCGACACAAGTCGAAGTGGCCGGAGTCAAGAGAAAGAGAACAGGCGACCTGCAGCCGCTTCCTACGGCGTCAGGAAGGTCTTGGAAGCCCAAGAGGTCTGTTCCGAATGCCCTGGTCTTGATCATCCTCGCCCTCGGCAAGATTTGCCAACACCGGGAATCTGTACCTGGTGCAGGGTGCCATGCCAACGCCGAAAGTTCGTCTGCCAGCCGCATGGTCCCGGGCCTAGAGTACTTTGCCTACGCCTTGGACATTCTTAACGAGACCAAGGCTGCCAGCATGGATGAGGTCCATGCCAACATCTTTGCTGGACTCTACTACGGGCAACTGAATCGACCCCTAGAGAGCTATGGCTCTATCTACCGGGCTGGACAGAAACTCCAAGTGATCATGAACCCGTGGGTCATTCACGATAAATCCCTGTGTAACAAGATTGAAATTAACATTGCTCTAGGAGACTCGAGACGCTGCGCGATTGCATGAAACAGAACAAGTCGCCCACCGAGCCCCATGACAACCATCTCGTGTTTGCCTTCTGGACATGCCTGCAGCTGGAGTCCGACCTGCTCGCTGAGCTTCCCCTGAAACCGTCCGGCCTGCTCTCGCTCCACGAAGACATCCCCCACCCGGACATGTGCCTCGTCTACGGCTACGAACAACGCGTTCTCGAAAGCTACTTGGGCCAGATCTATCTGCGCAAACATTTGAATAGAATCCATCGCCATCTCTACACACCAGGGCGTCCAGACACTTGTCAAGATCTGTTCAAACAAGTGTCAACACTAGCGGAGGCAGTCTCTGATATGCGCTGGGTTCCCACGAGCTACGAATTTGGCGGAGATGACCCTCCAGCGACCGACATACTAGCGGCGCGTTTCCGTGCCAAGTACTGGGGCACGCAGGTGCTCGAGTACCGGCCTTTTGTTCACCATATCTTACACCTCCCACACGCGCCTCCGCAACATCCGCGCAGACCCAATTGCGATATCATTCAGGGAACCACTAGTCCGGACATCGACAACGGGGCCAAGTCAGCCAGCGACATTGACCCTTCTTTGATTGCTCAAGCCAGTCAGGGCATCAAGGCCTTGGTGGAGAGCACGCGGGCTTTCCACAACATCGAGGGCGGCCGACCCATCATCACCAATGTTTTCGGCACTGCGCATGCACAGTGGGGCAATGTGTTGGTTCTTTCCGCCGCATTCAGGAATCCAGTCTTGCAGCAGTTTATCAGCGAGGAATTGCTCAAAGATCTCTTCGAGCGCACGATGTGCTTTTTGCGCCAGTCTGCCACAAGCGGGAGCACTCTGCTCGAGGACTTGCGTGTTCTCGAATGCGTGTATGGAGAGCTCTTCACAAGCAAGCCTCGGTGGAGCTCCGGCGTCCCGTACGAGAGCGCCATACCACACAGATAGTATTGGCAATAGTCAGCTAAGTCAACATATTTGGGACAAGGCAGAACGGAGCGACATCGGCAAGCGCTGTTCTCTGGTGAGGTTCTCGGGATATCGTATTTGAGTTAATATATAGTCCGAGGCCTTTGGTAACAGCTTGTACCCTTCCCAGAGTGTGCTCGACTGGAATAATCCCACATCAAGGACGCGACTCCTTGTTATATCAGCCCAGGAACGCAGCAGTATAGAAACCTGCTAGTTAGAACAACGGGCAGAGCGTGCCGCCATGGAGTCTAGATGGTCCAGCGCGAGCAGCTCTCGCTCTGTCTATCGATACCATGTTGATCAGAGATGGTCTTGATGCAGTGGGAGGAAAGGCGCTGCTCTGATGTCTGCGCAACATGCCGACTACCGAACAGCCGATTCCACCAGATGCCGAAGCCACGCACAAGCTGGCCGTTCAGGTCATGTGTTCGCGCATGTGTCAGATATGAATGTCTCTTGCTATGTAGAGCAGTGTCTCTTGGCGGACACGGAAGCCAAACGCAGCCATGACTTGAGTCAAGGGCGGAAGGAGCAACGGACTGCAACACGAAAAGAAAGGTTCGAGGTGGTATGGACGAAGAGCTCGAGTACCGCACTAAGACAGCGTCAGCACAGCTTTCGACTCGGCACCGAAGCCATGATAGACAGAATGGGCCACTGCCAAGACGGTGTTCGATATCTATCACAGTCTCGTCACGCGAGTTAAATTATCCTTTCGACCTTTAACATGCGATATTTTTAACTTCTCCATTCAGTGTCAAGTCAGGCAGAGGATGAGCTGTTGCTTCTCCATCTCGGCAACTAAGCCTTCCCACCATGGGTCTCTTTGCCACAAGGACGCGCAAAGTTCGCCTGGTCTCCAAGCCGGCAGGATATCCCATCTCCAAATTGTGTGGAGGGACTCGTACAGAGGTGGAACCGTCTAGAGCAAAATCATCAGAACAACGAAAACGCATTATGTGCTGGGAAAGACATACACTTCGCGTGGAGGTTCTGATTACCCCTTGAAACCATGCGACAGCCACTTCTCTATGCCTTGGCTCAGTAGCGAGTAGTCCGAGATAGAAGACTGGGAACAATGGTGCTTCCGCGGTGAAGAGATTGCCGTGGGTGGGCAAAATGCTAACACATGTAGATAGCTCTTCCAACGTTTTTGAGACATCAGGATACCACCTTGGTAGTCTGTCAACCTGTTAGGGCAAGATGCTTGTGCGGAGCTGATCTGTTCGAACCTACCTGAGCAGTCGGCATTGGGCGTAGAGCCTGACCCCGAGCCGGTATGCTTCAGCTGATACGTATCTCATGTCATCAGCCGTTGCAATCGCTTTTGACTCCTGGCGTAGCTTCTTTGGACGCTCTGGTCGCATCTCCTCGATGCCTCTCATAATTCTTTCTAGTTGTGGAATGATGCCTTCGCGATCACCGCCATAGGACATGACTCCAGACCAATGCGTTATCTGCTTTATGAGCCCGAGCAACCGTCTGCACATACCCAGACCGCCCTCAACCCGATTTTGCTCTTCTTTTGAGCCGTATACCAGCCACCTGAACCGCTTCGCTGCTCTCGTTCTGTCGTACGTTGAGCCCTGGCGCGCAGGTTCCAGTGGACGCATGGTCTCAGCTATGGAAATGCCACGGGCAACAAACTTGCAATGAGCGGCTCGTAGCGACGTCATCTGCACATTTGGTTGGTATATCGGGTCGGGAATGTGGCTGTCAAGGAGCTGCTCGCAACAATAGAGGGCCTCTAACCAAGGGCAGTGCTCGGACATCGCTTTGCGACGTTCGGGAAGGCTGACCTAGAACAATGTAAGTTCGGGTAGAGGTCTGATGGGGTTCATGCCTACATCCTGGGTCGCTAGAGCAATGAGGCTCGTCAGAATGCAGTCGAGCTGAGCGGGGGAGAGAGTTTGCCCGGAATTGTATTGCTTGAGAGCAATGTCAATACCTTGTCCAGCAACGAAAAAGAGCTGGTTGGCATGTTGAAAGTTTTTTTCTGACGGTAGATTGTCCAACAAATGGACTGCCGCAATGCTCATGAAAGCGTGATAGACGAATCGATTCTGACAGACGTATAGAAAGTCTCTCAGCCATGGATTGTCATCTTCTCGGAGACTGCGACCTGGTATCCAGTTTCGGCGATCTGTCAAAGTAAGCGATGTCCCTTTGCAACTTTGCCATAGAGCTTACAAAATGTATAAAATATAATTTCTGTGGGACTGCCGCGCTCAAGGATTCGCTTCGTCACGGGATCGGGGGCGAACGGGTTGAAGCCAAGGCATCTCACGCTGTCCATCAACTTGTCACAATGTGCAGCCTCCACAGAAGAAATTTTCTGTCTCCAATTTTGGATATCTGTCGCGGTGCGGTGGTCTCGTTTCAACTGAGCTATCGGGTCATGCGCCGTTCGCGATTTGTCGCCAATCTGGTGTACCGGATATTGCTTTATTGGATTCCTATCACTGCGCGGCAATTTTTCGTTTCGATCATACTTGACGCACCCTGACAAGGACTGACTTCCAGGCTGGAAAGATGGGTCTAGTTCAAAGCCTCCGAAAGGGATTACAGTTTTGAAAGGATTTTTGAGCCTTCGACGGATATGCGCTGTCGGGGGTTCACTGGTGCTGTTTGGGTCTAGGAAACAATTAGGAATCACACACGCGCACTAGACCTGTTTGACCTTTATATACCATAATAAACTTGGACGGGAAACGTGGTAGATCCACCAGGGATCGGAAAGGGCAGATAGAATATTCGAGATGCCGCGGCAGACGTCCTCGGGCACTGAGGAGTGGGTAACGCAGTCCACTCCGGTGGATATGCCGGCGGTTGAGAGTGAGGTCCAGGTGCGTGTGGCGGAGAGGATGTGGCAGCGTGCTCTTGTACACTCCCATCAGCCATCATGTCTTTAGTGAATGAAGCAGGTCCTGTAAACTGAATTGCGTTGGTGGCGAACGGTCATGGCTCATTTTTCGCCCCGCTTTGTTCGATTATATGAAAATGATGCGCCCTGATCTGCTTGCCGTGTCAGAAAATCGTCACCCTATACGGTTTGCAAAGCTCGCCCACGGTTCTTCCTCGGTAAGACAAGAGATGGGGCTATGTTAAGGACTTTTCTTCTTCTCAGGGCCAGCCAGGCATCGATTGAACCATTGAACGACTTCAAACCGAGATGATAAAGCGTGCATATGTAAGTAGCATCTGAACAACACTAGCCGGCCAGTTGAAGAGCTGGTGCTCCGTATTCGCCATGGCCGAATGAGGCCACGGGGCATCCAGTCCACATGGAGAGAGTAAGTGAGAAAGAGGCAACAGGAACGTACAGGAGTCCTTGGTTCTATATGTTCTTGCTTGTCCAGGTCTACGCGGGGGTCGTCGCCAGATATAGTGTCCTTGCGGGCGAACAAACAGAGGTTCTGTCGTGTAGTCTGGGCGTTGTCGGTCGTATCAGGCGAGAAGTATGTGATGATTGCGTCGCTGAGGAAAAGACTCGAAAGGTCGTCGTGATCGCTGTGTCGAAGGAAGCAAGAGAGGGTTGTTATTGTCGAAGAAGTTGGACCATGCATGATACTGAGAAAGGAAGACCCAAATGGGTCAGCTCGTTGCCCTTGGTTCCACCCCTGTGTCTTATCCCGCCCTCGTTTCTTTTCGCGGTCGGTCTCACAACCCCACTCGTCCATCACGCATGCGCTCGCTCTTTGACCACCTTAACATCACCAGTAGCGTTAGCCCCCACAACCTCTTGAGGAGACTCTGGGTCGAACATTGAAAAGCCTGAGATGACACAACCGGACGAACGAGAGCAGAAGGGCCAAATAATGGACACTATTGTGGTAGATTCATCGCCAGATTGTCCGAGCCCCGTGGACGCCCCTGAAAACTCTTCGTCGGCACTAGAATGGATAGTGCACGCAGCACTTGACGGGCGCTGGAGTGTCCAATCGTTGCTGGCATACTGGAGTCGTGATTACATGCCCGGCCTCGTCTACGTGTATTTCTCAGCGGCTCACCAAACCCCTGACACGCCCCATCCATCGGATGCTGTGCTACTCACACCCCATGCTAAGCCCCACCAGCTGTGCTACTGACCCCACAGTAGTCGGCATGCCTAGTCCCCTTGTCGTCTCCACAGGCCAGTGTGTCGGGCACTTGGCGCGCGCTGTTTCCCTCAGCCACCTCATTCCCGAATATCAGCCCAAGCTTATCCGTAATTTTCGGCGGTTCTCAGATGGAATCTTTGGTGCACAAAGATCCCTTTTCAAGAAGGGCGGCAGTTGTAGACACTTCAATTTACTACGCCTCCAGTAGAACTTGCATCCAAAATGTTGAATATTTCTTCATGCGTCCTTAAGGAAGCAAGTGACTTGTCTTCCCCAGCCTCGTGTGGTTCTCGACCAGCGTTCGAAGCGGAAAAGCGGGCATTCGCCTTGCATCAATGCCCACAGCCCTACAGTAGCGTCCACACACTGGCTTGCAGGATTGAACGTACGCTCAGGATAGGTAGTGGCATTTGAATGCATACTCTTCGAGGTCTACTTACCGCCTCCGGAACCTCCTACTCTAAGCACTGTCATTTGTTACAAAGCCGTCCTGCAGCGCCGAATTTCTCCAACGACACATCAAACACCAACCAATCGCCCGCCTTGCTCAGCCGCATCGCAATCCACAAGATGCGTTCCACGCGCAGGTCGACGAGGGACCGACGTTCAAAGTAGCGCTCCTCAAACTCCACCTTGCTGTTCCGGAACCAGTTCATGGGGAAGTAGTCGTCCGTATACCATAGGCCGCGCATGGCATAGTCCTCCGGCAGCGGGCGTGTGGGCTGCTGCTCGCCGTGGGAGCCCGGGAACGTCTCCTCGCGGAACTGCGGGTTGCTCTTGTTGTTCCGCGCCGTGAAAAGCCAGTAGTTGAGCATGTCGGCGGTGAGATCCCACGGGAAGCGTTCTGCTATACGCGCCATGGCGGCTGGGTACTTGGACACGTGTAGTAAAAAGGTCAGGATCGTGTGCGCAAAGGGTAGCGTGTTGGTATCCCCCGTGCGTCGGATAGCGATCTCGTAGACCTGGGTTAGAAATGTCAGGGACACGTCAAACTCGGCGCGTGTGGCTTCGTTGTCCTCCACCACCGGATCAGTGGGTTTCTTGAGATGGTCGGGCATGACGCTCGCCCTGAATTCGTTGCCATTTTGATGCCAGTACCCAAGCGGGTTGCATGCGATGGCGATGCCTGTTTGGTATCTATGTCCAAGTGGTCAGCCAACAGGTTAGATCACACAGCAAGAATAAAAAGTTACTCACCCACTCTCTAACCAACGCTTCGACATCATGGCAATGTGGGTGTCGAGGCTGCGCAGGTAATACGCCTGGGCCTCGTCAAGCAGATCCTTGTGCTCCCCCGTGAATAGAATGCCAAAGACTAGCGCAAACGTCATATCGACCATGCGATGTTTATGGATCGCGTTGTCCGAGGAGGATGCGGCACCCCGCTCCTCCTCCGCGTCGCCGTCCTCGTCGCCCGTAGCTTGCTCGCTGTCACCCGTGGTCACCAACCGTATATCGCGCCGGAACCAGTCCGACGTGGCCTGTCCGAACAAGGGGTCGTACAGCTTGCGGATGCTCGCGCGTGTGCCCTCAAAGGGCTGCAGCACGCACAGCGACTTGGCCCAGTAGAAGAGCTGCGGCACCACGAAGTTCCGGTCGAGGACCGCAAAGTGATGGTACAGCCTACCGACGTGCGGTAGCTTGTCCGAGGTGCACATGTACCACGTCCGGGATACACCCTCCCAGTGCTCGCGGACCTCCTCCTTGTTCTCAATCGCATAGCGATAGCGAGCCAGATCACCGAGACACTCTGTCCAGGTGTCCTGGAACAGCGGGTTGGTCTCTCGGAGCAGGCCCAAGAGGCCGTATGCCGTGTACAGGAAGCACACCAGCGGTTCGTACGCGTCAGGCAGGCGAGTCCTCAGCAGCTCGAGGTATTGGTAGATGCCAAATTGCCACAGCTTGGCCGGCATATCCCTCTCGACGGGGATATATGTGAGCGTGTCTTGCCCAGCTGGATCTTGACACGCCATGAGCAAGTCGTAGTGGTTGTTTAGCAAGGCCCGATGCTCAAGCCACTGCAAGTGCCATTCTTCGGCGGTGATTTTGGCGTCGGGTGTCGCTTTCTTAGCCGTGGTCCATTTCGTGCACCGTTCTTGACCGTCCGCGATCATCTTGGAAATCTTGGTCACCTCGGCAGCAAGCTGCGCCGGCGTCATAGGCGTGGTGAACGGTTCGTTTTCCTGCACGCTGTTGGAGACCTGCGGCTTCTCCTGTATAAATGACCGCACATGGCCTTGCGCGAACGTGGTCAGGGGGGCTGGCCTCGGCTGAGCCGCTGGGGGTGGTCGAGCCGTCCCCCCCCTTGAAGCGCCGCGCCCACGGCCTCGCGTGGCACTGTCCGTCGCAGGGTCGAAGAGTTTCCGCCCAGAGGCCGGTGCGCGATGGATGCCCCGCGAGAACTCCTCTGGCGAGTCCTTGAGCGCCTGCTGACGTCCATTGGTCGCAATAGGCGTGGACGGTGAAGAAGGGCCGTGACGAGGGCTGCCCCGGGTCAGCGGCGGAGATCGTAGCCTCTTGACGACCGGCTCGTCATCATTGGCGTCTCCTGACGCCGGGCCTGGCTCATTCGACCCAGCGCTCAAGTTCTGCCGCTTCCGCGTAGGCTGCGGCTGTTGTCTTTGCGCGGAGGAGCGCGTTGCCGACCTGTTGCCGCCTGGATCAGCCAAAAACATAACACCCAACAACTTAGACCAGCGCAACGCAAGCACTCACGTGTTAGAAGCGTTCGGGTTCATCCTCGCAAACGCGGCTTCGACCACCGCCGTGTCCTGGGCGAGATCCCTATGTTTGGCCTGCACGTGCTCGCGGAACGTCTCCAGGCTCTTTGGAATCTCTTCCTCACACAGCGAGCACTTGACCCTGCGATCTCGCCTCCTCAGGTGGGCAATCCAACCGTCGGAGACGCCCGTTGCCGCCGCCCTCTCATATCGGGCGCTCATGACCTTGGCAGGCCGGCTCTGCGACTCAAAGATCTACTCCGAGTTCAGTTTACAAAGCCGCTGGTTCGAAAGCTGTTGGCTGGTGCGTACCTGCGAATCAGCTGGGCGTCTCTTCGCGTTCTACCGTCAGCACAGCGAGCGCGGCTCTACCCTGCATCGCGCGTGAGCAAGCTGGTGATCATGTCTGCAAGAGGTTGGGGCGGCCGGTCTCATGAAGATAGGTTGCCTGTGAAGAGATTTGTCTGGAGTGAGTAGCAATACGTACCTAGTGGCCGCGGCTAAGCCTTATTTATAGGCGGCAATTATCGGAAAGGTGAGCGTCTCGCTCAAGGGCCGTAGTAGTTGCAAGCGATGTCGTCCTCGTGAAGCCTAGAGCGCACTGAAAGTCAACAGGACTGGATAGGACGACGCGGGTTGATGTGCACTTGGAAGGCCGCTCCAGGCCACTGCGAGCGAATATTTAGTATTTAGGTGGTCTAGGGAGGGCACGTTCTTGATTATTTATACGTCGTGACTGTACCCAGCCTTAGTAGAGTGGTTCGCAAATGCGAACTATATGTACATTAAAAAAAAAAAAATTAAGGCAATCCCTGACTGCATATCTTACCGACATTGCACGCATTAGTGATTCCACATGGGCCAGCATTGCTGTGCTTGCTGACGACAGATCATCGACGTATTGCAACGATACGAAGATACCGGGCGTTAGATATGCGCCTCTACTGCATAGCTCTACTTCAGCCTCCCTGCTATCCTTGAAAAATGGAAGCCACGTCTCACTGGTCAATGTTTCGACCGACAGGGAGCCCAAGCGCCCCGTTGTCTTCCAGTCCTCGGACCTCCTCAGCTCTCCGTCCAGTGTCGACGGCCTTGCACGTTCACTCAAAGACATGCCATCACAGCGGCACTCTCGAGCGAGGAATCGATCACTTTGGGAGGCTGGTCGGCGTCAGCCACACACCAGACCTGAGATCAGGTGTGCCTGTCGTAACCTCGACACGCAACCGCCTCGCAAATGTTCCGAGCCTACTATGCGATGTCCAGCCACTTGAAGATGGCCTCCAGGGGTCGCGTGCTGATGGGACTCCATTGGCAATGGATCTTGTGTCCACAGCATGCACTGCGCCGTACAGGTCTGTGCCCGAAAAAAGCAGATTGCCGTCCTGCACCTGTGAATCACACTGAGATGGCAGAATGAGGCTATTCGAACTTTGGAAGTGATATTTGTTCACCCATGCAGGCCAGCAATGCAACGCAGCCTCCCCTGTCCAGGACACCATGTCCAAAGCCCTACTTATCCCACCCCCCCTACGCGTGCTCACAAACAGGGCTGGGGTACGGTGGGATATTAGATCAACAACTGCCAAGTGGCTCAACTGGGGGCTAATCAGTCCCATCTTCTTCTTCTGCAACCAACAGTGAAAATATCAGGCGTTTTGAGGTCACCATCAATTAATCCGTAGGCTGCCGCTCATTCAAACATTTGATCAAATCAATGAAACGAATCAAACAGCCAAGGACCGCATATTTGCTAAACAGCTACGAGACGGGGGTAAAGGCCAAACCCCACCCCCCATACACTCAAACATTGAGGTGGTGTACTGTAGTGACACGAAGGCGCAGCTCAGTCTAGCTAACCCTGTGCATTAGCTTAGGGTAGTAGAGTCTCATTAGATATGACTCAATTGCTGCAGTAGATGTAACCTAATACACAGGGGAACCTAGCTCAGGCACGTAGGCTTGATAACCCGGAGCCTTGTTTTCGTTGATAGGGCAGCCAGATCGTATCCGACGCCCCGCGCATCAACGACCGACCGTTGAACTTGGGCCAGCGGAGACAATGAGGCTATTGCGCCGATTCAGGTGTGCTCTGGAGGCACCTGTCCTCTAGGTCTGACCTAGGGGCTTCAGCGCAGCTTCGATCTGTGTTGGCTTCCAAGCTTCGAGCTGGCCGGCACAGGGGTGGTGAACGAATTCCAGCACACTGGGCTTCGTGGCACCTTCCAAGGGGCTCCGGCACCAATGATGTTCGGGCATTGCTCCTGGCCACGTCAAGTGGTCGAGACTGACGTGTCTTTTGGCGCACGGTCCAAGTCAGTGGTTGCCTTGCAGAACAAGAAGCGAATGATCGGTGGCGCCTGTCAGGTGCGAAGCAATGAAGGTGCGTGACGCGATCAGACGCGCTGATTGCACAGTGACGAAGCAGGCAAAGACGGTCTTGTTTGCCGTTTCTCGAGCGGACTCGACCCAGGCATCATGGGAGATCGTGCTGGGGCCTGTTGCACAAGCCCATCCGCGTCAAGGCGATGCGCCACATAGTCTCCGTGCTGGAATCATCTCGATCTCCAGAGCCACTCCACAGTCACGGTAGCATGGATAGTTGCCCACAGCCGCGCCTTCAGTGTGTAGCTCGGGAACACGAGCGATTGCATGAAGCCGAAAAATTCTCGAATACAGCAAACATCCTACCCAGGCGTTCCAGCTTTTCAAAGTGGCATCTAGGTCCTCCATACTTGCCGACCTCCCTTATTCACGTTGTGATAGCTTTATGTTCATCAGGATCAGATCTATGTATGCATTCAACACCCAAGATAAGCATGTCACGTATGCCTAGCTAAGGTTGGTCCCGGTGATAAAGGCAGCGCATACAATGTCCAAGCGCGAGCTTACCGACATTGAAGCATCCAGTATGTGGAGTTGCGCAGCGTCCATTTTACAAGAATACCGGTCTAGTTTACGGTCACCGATTTAGTGACTCACAGGCAGCCTCACTCTTACGAGTCACAATTTGTCGAGTCCCAAGGTCATTGGCTTCCTCGGCCTCATGGACGGGCAAGGTGTAAGCTCTAGAAGCGGAGTGCTCACATCCGGGATCAGCCTCATGCATAGCTGATTAATTAGTGCTCACATCCGGATCAGCCTCATGCATAGCTGATTAATTAGAGGAGGCGCAGCGGAAAGGGCAATGCAAAGGTAGTTCTAGTTCGGGCAATAGAAGTTCTTGTCGAGATTGGAGGGATGTCAACACGAAGCATGCTTGATAGGCGTGAGGACGACTCCCGACATAGATCCATACAGCACTGACCAATGATGGATGATACGGCGTGGTGACAGCTCGTGGTCACTCGGACCAAACCACAACAGTCAAGATGCGCCCACATTGACGGCACCACTGGTGGACTTCCTGTTAGCAAGCTGGCAATCCCGAACTCCTTGCTCAGTGGGAAGAGTCGAGTTGGTCGCTCGCCCTGCCTCATGCTTTGACCGCGTCGCGACTGTAGGCTCGTGGACGAATGGCCGTTTCTACCGCGGGTGTGTTTGTTGTACGAGCACAAGATCGGTCGGTGAAAGCACCCTCACGCAATTCATGCGTGGTGCCTCCCGGAACGCATAGTAGATGGTCCTGTTTCGTAACGGTAGTGGCTATCGTCCCGAAGCAGGGTGGGTTGTGTTATCGGGCTGGCCTTGGTCAGCCTCGGATCTGCGACAACGTCGATATGTCTGGGTTGTCACGTGACATGGGCGCTCAACGGCTGACGGCCTGTGAGAATGACCAATGAGGGGATTCTTGCCAAGTTTGGGGTCCGGTCGTGCTTTGCGTTGTGCGCTGGAAGCCGAGCTGCCACGAAGCGGCAGTACGCCGGTTCCTAGGGGACGACTTGACGTGAGCTGATAGGGCATGGAGATATGGCGAGGCAGCAGGCCAACGCATAGCCAGAGCGACTGCGCTTCAGGCGAGAGGCAACGAAGCAGGGAGCCGGTTCGTCCTACCAAGGCAAAGTAGCCCGCGGTAGAGACTCAGAGATGCCCTTACCAGCCGCCTCTGGTCGTAGGCGCCCAGCGGCCGTGTGTACTTGACACAGTGTGACTCGGGCACGCGTGAGCCGCCTTTGGCAACCCGCGTCGGCGTTAGCGTTCAGTCCGCTAACGAGCTGGTTGTGGCCGTCACGGGTCCTAGCTTTGGAACGAGCCTCTGAAAGTGACAAGAGGCGCGATGCTGGAGGCTCCCTGCTCTCTGCATGATCCCGATGTCACCATCGCCGCCGCTGCAAGCAAGGATGCTCTTTGTCGCCGCCGGTCTAACATTGGTCAGAGGGAAGGTCCAGCACAACTTTGGCTCCGGGCAACCGACACGGGGCCGGACAGCCATTCAGAGCCACACATGCCGACGCGACTCCATCTTGTGCGTCCGAAGGGATGCAGTGATAAGCAAGTGCAGCTTCCGCGCCGGGGAACATCATATCTTGGGCCGGCAATTGGGGCACGATCTACTCCTTTCGACTTCAGCTTCACAACATGGCCTGTGGCGCAATATATGTACAACCCCGGACAGCGTGTAGTGCAGGAGACTTCGCCCCGGTCGGGTAGCCGCTTATCAGCTATACATGCCCCAGGCCACATTAGGCTGTTATCACGGAACCGTCAAGGATTTCGTGCTAGCGCTCTGCGACAGGAAATGACTCAACGTGATTCACTGACAAACGCTGCTAGCGCAAGCCTTTGTACTTTTTTGACAAACTTTCAGGGGTTGGATAGAAAGTAGCCGGAATGCGCTAAAGCGAGGCGTGTCACCGGCAAGGATCTTCCTATGCGCGGCGGGGGCGAGCGAGAGAAAACGCCCAAGGGGGTGGCGTTACGCAAGGCGTGGCACACAATTCTAAGCGAGTGGGTTGTCTAGTCCTTATGTTATGGCTTCCTCAAAGGTGGGGCCGCGGCACGAGTACCTGAGGCCTTGCCTAAAGAAGAACGGGTGCATTGGCTAGCGTTCCTGTCAAAAGCGCAGAAGCCGCCGGGTGGGTCGTGTGGGCAACGCTTTCCTGGTCTTAACAAATTTGGTAGTGGACCCACTGTGCGATGACGAGGTCGCTGGTCTATTCACAAGCGGCCGACGTGTGTGTTGTCTGAGGGAGTGGGCTTAGCTTTTGTATCATGCAACCAATCGTGCCAGCCTTTCAGCTGCCTTTACGTCAAGCCATTGTACGAACCGTTTCCAGCACAGCCAATGAACTCGGGAACGAAACGACAATCAGCCCTCGTCACATAGCTCCTCACGACTAGGGTCGAACAGAACTTCTCAAGTCACCATCATCAGTTATACAACCCTCGGAAAAGCGCGTGCCACTCCTCCTCCCCGACTGTCTATCGCACGAGTTTTGCGATTGTTCCCTATCGCTGTTCATATCCTTCCGATAAAGCTGTATTCAGAAATGAAGGACTACATCGAACTGTTGATCAAGGGCGCGCTGGCGTTCCGTCTGATCTGGCATCTGCTGCGACGGTATCAGACTTCCCAAGTATGCCCTTGTGCCATCAAACAAACAAAGATGAACCTTTCGCGCCCATACTGACCGCGTTCATTTCCCCTATTTAGTTTGAGCGGAAATTCGCCCTTGAGAACGGCTGCGAGCCACTGCGTCCATGGAGCGCCAAGTGGCCCATGGGCCTTGACCTACTTGTAAAGGTATTCCGATACGCGCGAGAAGAGCGAGTTCTGCGCTTCTTCGTCGACGTGATCGGCGACTCTGGCAACACGTTTGAGCAGAGGCTGCTTGGAGTGACCGGCATCGACACAATTGACCCGGAAAACATCGAGACTATCCTGTCGACCGACTTTGAAAGTAAGTAGTGCCACACCACAGTCGCTACAGATTGCTGAGACGACTCTCAGATTTCACGCTCGGGCTACGTCCTGCGCACTTCAAGCCCCTTTTGGGGTCTGGCATCTTCACGCAGGACGGGGCTGCCTGGAAGCATTCCAGGCAGCTGTTGCGCCCACAATTCGCCTCAAATCGGCGTCAGAACTTTGAGCAGATTCAACGCTGCGTGCAGGGCATCATCAATGACATCCCCGAGAATGGCGTGGTTGATCTGCAGCCACTCTGCTTCAAGCTTACTTTCTCCACCACCATGTTCCTCCTCTTCGGGGACGCTGTCGAGGCAATGGACTGGGGCAAGGTGGTTGGCCAAGAGTCGAGATTCTCCGCGGCGTTCAGCCTAGGCCAGGATTACCTGGCGAGCCGAGGCCGTCTTAATGGCCTATACTGGCTCGTGAACGACAAGAAATTTCGCGAGGCGTGCCGGGTGTGTCATGAATTCGTTGATGGGGCAGTCGCAGACGCGCTCGAGGATTCCGATAAGAAGCGAGCCGAGAAAGAGGAGAGTTACGTCTTTATAAAGGCACTTCTTCAGCAGACGCGAGATCCCAAGGTCCTGCGTGACCAATGCCTGAACGTCCTACTGGCTGGGCGAGATACCACGGGCTGCTGTATGGCGTGGTCCTTGTAAGTGATATGTATCGTTGCCCTGTAGAGTGCGGTGATGCTGACCTAGAGAAGTCGACTACTTGCTAGACACCCTCATGTTCTGAGCCGGCTTAGAGGAGAGGTTGCAGAGCACGTTGGAACCGGACCCGAAGCGGCGCTTCCCACACGCGAACAACTCAAGAAAATGACATATCTGGGCCTCGTCATCAAAGAAGGTTCGTCCCTCAAATACCGTCATGTCTTGCCCCTTCGCTGGTGGACTCTCTCCTCAAGTGTACCGTTGCTAAGAACCCAGTTCTGCGTCTGTACCCCTCCGTGCCCGTCAACTCTCGATCGGCCATCAACACAACGACCCTCCCGGTCGGTGGTGGCCCAGATGGCAGGTCACCTGTCCTTGTACCGGCTGGTACAGCTGTGGGATACTGTGTCTACGCCATGCACCGGCGAAAAGATCTCTACGGCGAGGACGCAGACGAGTTCCGGCCCGAGAGATGGGAGGGCGATAATCTGAAGAACATTGGATGGGGGTATCTACCCTTTAACGGAGGGCCCCGCGTCTGTCTTGGTCGTAAGCACCCGTTTATTCTACAAAAAGCTTTGGTAGTGAACAATACTAATCATTATTTTCTAGAGGAATTTGCTCTTCTCGAGGTTTCTTATACTCTCGCGCGGTTTGTACAGCTGTTTCCGAGGATGGAGGTGTCTGACATGGAGTCCGATGTGAGAATCGGCGAAGAGAAACAAACCTTAACGCTTGTTGTGAGCTGCGCTGAAGGGTGTAATTTGTCGCTCAGGCGCAAGTAGAAGATACGTCCGGCGTCGCTGGGAGATACTATCCGCTAGCAGGGCTTGAGCGATAGGGATCCCTGTGTATCTATATCTGATGACATTATACATCTTGTACCGATAAATTGAGAAGAATTCCAGTCGTCAAAGGAAATATCCGAGGTTGACTACTTATAAAGGAACGGTGTTGAGCTATGCCTCCAGTGTATAGATGTTTGGGGGTTCTACGACAGTCTTGGCTGGAATGGCTCTTGGAACAGACAGTAGCAAGAAACACCATTACTATGTATCTCGGGAACTGATATATCTTCCAGGCATGGATTTCTTATATCAGGAAGCCGCTGCTCTCTTCTTAAAGACACCTATGACCTCAATAATCTTAGCCAGCGTATCGTCCTCCATGATTTCCCCGTCATCGACGCCAACCACCTTCTCAGCGACAGGAGCAATATGCTCTCCTCGGACTCACGATATCGCCCTTTGGATTTGTTCTCTTTTCCTAAGCCGATGTCTAGTCTACATAGTCTGAAGCGATTCAGCCTCGAAAATCACACCCGGGCGATACTCGAAGCGCAGACAACCCTTATCCGTATATCCGCCCTTCCCGCCGTTATTGCATTTCTTATAATTTTCAAACATAATGTCCTTGCATCCTTCTAGTCCTCGTTCCTCTTCAACAACACATCCTCGGAGCCAAGAGACGCGAAAATGATACAATTGCTCTTCCTCTTCCATATACGTTCGAGCAATAGGATCAGATAAAGTATTTAATACTTCATCTTCGAATGCGTTACAAAAGAGTTCTGAAACCCATGCTTGAGTATCTTCTAATGTAATTCCTTCATTCTCACGACTATAGCACCTTGGTTCAGAGAGCTCATCAGAGAAAATCGAGGGCATTACAGTCACTGTCTCAACGGCTTGCGATTGTGGTGGTAGTGATCGTGTACTGGCAGAAGTGATAACCTTTGTTTCATGACTTGACGTACGTGCGAATTCCGACTTTGGCGTGTGTGTGATTTCTGTCTTTGGCGGGTGTGTGGTTTCCGTCGTAGGCGTGTGTGTGCTAGTTGTTGCTTCAGCCAAGGGAGTAGAGAGCGGTGTTGACACTCCCACAGTCTCCATCGCCCCGCTAAACATCAATATTGGTGTGCAGCTTACCGTAGCCCACGTGGCTGGAGGGGATATCTCCTCGACGTAGGGTACGGTATATACCATGTCATTTCGAATATTATTGATATTGAAGTTCGGTAGATCGTCGTTTAGTTTCTTGATCTCCCTGTAGTCTCTGAGCCCCAAGGCTACTCTAACGTCTTCGAATATCATGCCATGGCTAGGTTGCCACAGCCCGGTGTCGCTGATCCGGTTGCACCCCGTCGCGACTGCCAACGTTGAAAAGATGAGTACAAGGAGCCACATTATTCTTGACTGATTGCAACTACAAAAGAGTGAAAAACAAGAGTATACTCCAGTTCACTAGCTCATATTTGTAGTCTAAGACGACGTTGTATAGCTGGCGAAGCATAATAACAGGTATATTGAAAGCCTTTAACGGCCGTTAAGTTAAGGGTCAGGAACGTGATGTGTCCGATAGTGATACTGTGCTGTTTGGTATCAAGAATAACATAAAACTAATCACCGGGAGCCAATAGGACCTATAGGACACGGCAAGGAAAACAGTCTAGATACGAAAATAATTCAGTAATGCCGGATGGCTCGTCTGTGCTCAACATCTAGGACCGTCTTCGTAGAAAATACGCCGCTTATTGAAACGAGTGGTTAAGGCGATAATAGCGTAGACCTAGGGCCTTAATAGCTCTGTTAGCGGCGATTTTGATCTTTTTCTGCGCAGGTAGCATTCAAGCCTAATTATAATTATTATGATATGAAAAGGCAGTTATTATATAAGTCCTTGTTAAGTAGGCCAATAAGGAAAATTGTTCTACTATTAAGTAGCTCTAAATTCCAGCTTCTAAATAACACGATTTTTAGCCGTATTGAATAAGTGGATATGTCATGGGTCAATCATTTTAGTCACGGATATTCCCCGATTGAATAATGAAATTCAAGTGGGGCTAGTCTAATTTAATCACGAGTAAATAAATGCTTATTGAATTCACTAAACTAACCTCACTCTCATCGACGTAGTCTGAACGTAGGTGCGTTGGCTGCGTGGATTCCCTTTTGAAGCGGAGATATGTATATCTCTGCTCAGGGACGCGTCACTGTCCAATAGTGGAGTCGAGTCCAAAGAGGTCAGCATGAGCTCCAATCCATTCCCCCATCATAGGGGGCAGAATTCGCCGTGTAATCATTCTAAAATGGACGGAAGATGAGTTCTTGCGGCGTTGAATCGCCGTCCCTGCGCTTATAAAGCTACGGGTGGCGATGGCAAAATCGGATCAGTGTTCGCAGCTGTCATGGAGCCGTTGGCAGTGCTACAGCGGCTCTCACTTTGTCCTTTATCAAAAGCCTCTGTCGACGTGGTCGGGGCAGCCTGGGAAGCCATTCAGACACGTTATCCCAGTAAACGCGAGGCACCCACAACGACGAACTTGTCGTTGCGGTTTGCCACTCACGTAGCCGAGGGGCGGACGGGGGGATTCCCGGCGTCTATGCGGCAGTTGGCATGCGGAGGTCCTGTTGACGAACGGATTATGGAGGATTATCTGGAGCTTCTCCGTGCCCAGTCGCCCGCTTACGCCAGGATTGCCCAGACTCAAAGGCTCGATCGGACAAAAGTAACTTACGTCGGTGACCAGGGAGCGGATTACCCCATGATCATCCCTTTCCGGGACGATGATGCTTGGTCATTCGCCGTAGCCTATCCCGATTGTGTCCACTGGTACGAGAGCAGAACCCAGGCTGCTATCCCTCGGTTGGATGCGGGAGCCAGGGCCGTTGTGACGGATTGGACTGGGCCAAAGGTATCCCCTGACGGTGAAGGAGACACTGGAATTATAGCGCTTCTAGGTATCGCACGTCTTCAGCAAGGCGCGCCGCACGTTAGTCAGGATGTAGCTGATGGACAAGCATCTTCCTTTCGCACTCACGTTCTGGCAGCCGTGGCATGCAAAGCTCTAGAGCCGCCCGACGAGGCTTTGGCATCCATGCTTCTCGATGACCAACAGGACGAAATTCCTAGTACTTTTTTTTACGATGCACTTTATGGATGTGACATGGATAGGGATGATGTGAACATACCTGGGCCACGGAACACGAACTCGGACAGCGAGACTCTACCGCTACAGGACGACACTCCGTCGCCGCTACAGGACGACACTCCGTCGCAATTCGCGGGACCGTCTCTTCTACAGAGACGTGCGCTTCCGTCAACCCGTCCACAAAGATGTGACGCGCGGACCTGGTCGGACGATCGTCACATCATCCTTGGCAACCTGTGTGAGGCTGTCAGGGCCTATCGCTCCATACAAGCTTCTGATCGACGCAACCTGCCCACGCTCTGGCAGTCAGTCACGGGAAGCGCTATCGGTAGCGTGTTCCACGAGAGGCTGAATGCCGTGCGTTTCTGTGAGGAGATGGAGGGTTTGGGCACCCCGGAAGACGTCAGGCAAGCTATGAGTTACTCGGTTGACCTTGAGTGTGTACCAAAAATGAGGGGTTTGCAGAAGCAATGCGAATTCTGGCGTGACGTGTGTAACCTTCGCCGCGATTGGAATATGGGGAAATACGTCTTACTTCTTGCTCTCCCTACCCACCCACCACTCCGTCAATTAGCAACAGCTTCAAAAGCCCAGCTTCTCCGGAATCTCAAGCGGCGCCTCGATGATGAGACACATCCTCTTGAAACGTGGCTCAAGCAGAGTCAACCCCTATGCGCAGCAATCATGACGAATTCGCTGCCGCAGAAAAGCCTCCTTATTGATATCTACCTGATAAGACGGCATGGAGAGATAGACGACGCTGATTACGAAATGTATGTAAACACGAACCCCCAAGCGAAGCGTGCCTTGCCAAGGTAGAATGCTTGACCTCTGCGAGTGTTACACCTTGGTCGCGAGGTGCTTGGAGTGAGCCCTCCACAACTAGCGAGCAATGCAGAATCTTGAACTGGTACGCGTGCGATCGCCGCGCTGGTGCCCACTGCCTCATCCGTCAGTTCCTGCGAGGGCAAGGACTGGTGCGCGGACCGTAGCATCCTTCGACTTCAGCGTCTGCGCAATGGCTTGTAGAACGGGAGATCTTGCCAGGTGCTCAAGCATTGGACGGCGAAGGCATTTGCAGCGTTTAGGCTAGCAATGGACTGGTCCAATTCTGACACTCCTGAGCTTTGGCCGATCAGGACCCTTGAGAGACCTATCTTGTAGTATAGAGTACTCATAATGTGGTCCTCTCGTTTCGAAGCGCCACTGGTTATGTTCCGGCTGTCGCTCAAACTGTCGATTTCGTGACGGACGCTGTGTTGCTTGGCGCACTTAAATGTGCTGGGACCAAAACGTGACTATCTGTACGTCGAGCACTCTTCCAAAACTGGATTTTATAGCGCAAGTCTCCCTTGTTATGATGTAGATTTTTGTATTCGCATCTAGCACAGACCTAGGCTCCAAAAACAGATATGCTGCCGTGGTGACTGAGCTATATATGATCGTGACTATAAGGTGATTGCCTCGTCTTTTTTCAGAGTTCGAGTAGCCATTCTGAGGTTTTCGTACAAACCTTAACTTCTACCATACTGTCAGCCTGAGATCCCAGGTATACCGATATGGCTGGCCCATCGAGCCCATGGCGCCCGTCGGATTCAGACTATGCCTCGAAACCACCGAATAATTTCAAAATTAGGCCTGAAGAAACGCAACGTAACTCTTGTATCCTCCAAAGGCATATGTCATACATAATAAGCTGATTTTCTTCATAGTGGGGGATCCGATATGGCGGCCACCACCAAAAGCGAAGCGCCGGTATAAACCAGGAACAAAAGCTCTACGCGAAATCAGAACGTATCAGTCGAATACAAAGCTTTTGGTATCTAAACTACCATTTGCCCGATTGGTATATCTCTGCGTTACTTGGTCCAATTTCCAGTACTAAAAGATGATACAGTGCCGTGAGATAGGCCAGGCTTGCAGACCACAGGGTGCTGACTTCTATTGGCAAACCCAAGCGCTTCAGGCGCTCCAGGAAGCCGCAGAAGCATATCTCGTATACCTATTCGAAGACGCAAATCTTTGCGCCTTACACGCGAAGCGTGTAACACTGATGCGGAAAGACATTGTATTAGCACGGAGGATTCGTGGAGTACGAATTGATTAAGCAGCGACTTCCCAGCGGCTTGCCTGCATGCAGATCACTTGAATATTGAGGGGTAGGGGCCAGGATTTCATTAATACGTCTTCGATGGAAGTAGGGTCTCACCACCGCCATGTACTTGCTCACGGTGAGCTTTTGTTAAAGTATCATCGAGGTTATGCCATTTTTCCTAAACACCTTGTCTTGTCTCATCCTCACAGGGGTTTCATTGCTAAACAGATAGCGACGTACTCACTTCTTTGATTGCCCGTGCTCTTCTTAATGCTATGATAATGTAAAGTTAAGGCGAGTGCCTGTCTTCACGGGCGCTGTCTAATCTTATCCGACGCCCCCCGGTCTGCATCTTCCGAAATCGAGTTTCCGCCATCTGTACGGCCGGGTCAGCATAGTGTAAATACTTCGTTTTCCACCCCAATGTCCGAGTGTCACTCAGCACGCTCATGCACCCGTCTATTCGGGTCATCAACTTCCTCCTCCCCACTTTGACTGACATCTGGAAGCCCGGCGCCTCTATTGTGCACTCCTCACTCGACAACGCCGTCTTGGTCCGAACGCTGCCTTCAACAACCGAAGTCAGGCCCGTGCACAACGATGTAAAAGAAATACGTTGCCTTGAGTCGCCGTTAAGATGAAGCTTCACGCCGCGTCAACATAATGAAAAGAATCGTGGGGAAGTGGCTGAATTGGCTCAAAAACTCTGACGACGGCTGGCATCGCGGTTGGTGCCGGCTGCTGGAGAAGACGGAGGGAGATGAGCGACCGCGTTATATTTGATGAAACTGTGCGTCCTATTCACGATATATGATTGTGAGGGCTCACGGGAGCACGACGCTCCCGTGAGGCATGGTTAATTGTTGGAGCGTTGGACCACAAGAGGAGCGCGAGCGATGTGAGGCAGTGTCGATTTGATTCATCGGAGATAAAGTGGAAAGCACGTGAGCGGAGGACGCGGTCGCATGTCGTAACATTACGCCTGATGGCCGGTGCGAATTGGATCTCGAGGTCCTCCTTTCGTAATTTTACGTCGTCCATTGTTGGACATTGGCGGCACAGTCTCACGGCACAAAGTGGACGAGGAAGATGTAATGACCACCTGTAAATAGATCGGAGATATGCTCAGCTTCTACGCTTCGCTCATCTAGAGCTTTTGGTACCGCTTTCGTGTGATACTAGAGATGGAACCCGCCGTTTGGGGGCAGCTCGTCTCTTGGCCTAGCCTTGTTGTGCAGCTGGCAATAGCTCTTGTAGCCATCGCCATCCGTCGCCGATATCTTTCCGAACTTTCAGATATCCCAGGGCCATTCTGGGCGTCGATCACCCGGCTTTGGCACGTCTTCGTCATCCTCGAAGGGCAGCAGAATCTGCGGCTCAAGGCTCTTCATAGGAAGCATGGTCATTTTGTCCGCATAGCCCCTAGGGAGGTAAGTGTCAGTCATCCAGAAGCGAGATGGATTTTACAGGACGATCTGTTCAAGGTTGGTCGCCTCCTCGGGGATTCTCTTCAAAACCGCCCGTTGAACACCAAATAGGCCGACTGGTACAAGGTGACAAGTGTTCCGGACCGACGATTTCAGAATCCCATGTCTACGACGGATCCAAAGAAGAAGAAGGCCCTTTCGAAGCATTTTGCGAGAGGCTATGGCTTGTCACAAGTCTTGCAACATGAAGTCCGCGTCGACGAAAACATCAGGGAGTTGCTGCACTGGCTGAACGTTTTCGCGAAAGACCAGAAGCCGATGGACCTGGGTAATTTCGTGACGTTCACCACATTTGATAATGTGGGCTCGGTCTTCTTATCGAAGCCATTCGGCTTCATCAAGGCGGTAAGCCATGCTCCCTGCCACGATCATGCACGAGACGGATTTAACACCTCCAGGGATGTGACATTGGCGGCACGCTAAAGAACAACGTGGCCTTGAGCAAATTTGCCGCCGTTGCTGGATTCTTCCTCATTCCTCTGCGGATCCTCGTCAATCCCCTGACCAGCGGGATGATGTTCCTACCCATGGGCCACTTGTACAGGACCACGTCGAATGCCATGCGCGTACGGATGAAAGATCATGGGTCTGAGAGGGATATACTCTCCCAGTGGCTCAGAGAGTGGGAGAGACACCCCAAATTGACCCTTCGCCAGATCGAGGCTCAGCTTAATGTCAATGTGGGCGCTGGAGCAGAGCCAGTCTCTAGTACATCTTGCTCGCTTCCTGCAATGGTCTGTCAATTACTAATCAATATCTGCAGCTGCCATCCAAAGCACAATTTATCACATAATTCAGTACCCAACCGCCTTGGCAAAGGTTCGAGCCGAGATCGCGGATGCCCAGGAGAATGGTTTATGTCTGGGCGATGTCGTGTCCTTCCGCGACGCCAACAGATTGCCCTATTTGCAAGCTTGCATCAAAGAATCACTACGCATGTTCAGCCCTACAACGATGGGTCTCCCTCGTAAAGTTCCTGAGGGTGGGCTCACCATCGGATCTCGCTTTTTCACAAAAGGAACAATCCTTAGTGTTTCCTCGCAGTGGGTTTCGTCGAGGAATGACACTCTACAGGCTGACGCAGTTTAGGGTTATCCACGCATCAACAGAGATCTGGGGGCCCGATGCTGGACAGTGGAAGCCACAACGCTGGCTGATCGGCGACACGAGAGACATGGAGAAGAATTGGCTAGTGGTAAGCGGACTGTGAGCCATAAGAACGGGAGTTCCGGCTAACGTGGGAAGTTCTCGGCTGGATATATGACATGTCCAGGCCGCCACTTTGCGATGATGCAGATCGTCAAAGTAACCGCTTCATTGATCCGTGATTTCGACTTTGATCGGGTTGATCCTAAGAAAGCGTGGAAATGGCAGGCGAACTTTACCGCCTTGACGCACTCTTGGCCCGTCTGGGTTCGACACTACAGCGGTGATTCTGAAACATCCAGAGCTAGCCCAGGCCAACAATGTGACGTCGCCACTGGGCGATTCGACGCTGACAAATCCGTCCGAGTTGAGCCCACGCCAATAGCTTCATGATTGCTTCGGCGGTGCTCTGCTAACATTGATACCGTCACAATCTTTGAGTCCATGGGCGATGGTTGGACAGCGTAGGTCTTTTCAGTACTCTGGATTTAGAATGTGAGTCTAGTCTGTAATTACAGACACACCCAAAGCGAGATCAAGTCGCTTACGCACCTCGAGTCACAGTGACAAGCGAGGCTCATCTCCATCCGGTAGCGCCTCAGAGTACAGCACAGTATATACTCGGACGGTGTGCCGATCGGATCAACAACCCAAACAAAGGGCGCCACTGTTCGAAGTCAAGAAGCGCAAATTGCATCGCTGACTGGGGCGGTTTAGCTAGCGGCAGACAGGCCGAGTAAAGACTGCATACACACAACGACCATTGCAACAGGGATGGCACTACCTCTGGATGTGCCCCTTGCAGTGGAGGCAGTTTCGTTTTCAACGCTGTACGGGCAATGATTATAATGTGTTTTTTTTTTTCAAGTTTCTTTTAGAACAAGACATCAGTTCAAATTGGAATGGCTAGTTTACTATTTGATAATGCGTCCGGCACCATAGTATAACCTTCCGAAAAGAAGTTTGAGTCTATGGGCGTGGATCGATGTGTTCTTAGGATAACAATATATATAAAAAATAAGTCGTCGGAGCCTTTTCGTAATGTAGCTAGTGTAAGATTGTGTGGGAAATATAGCGAGCGCTAGCCCTTAGACAACTGTCTGCCGGCAGGTGAAATAAGACTGTAGTCCTAGGAAAATATGGTGCGCAAAGTGGCGTCTGAATGGAGGTGCGAAGACGTAATGTGTGCGTGGTGAAAGAGTGTGGTGCAACAGCAGCGCCGTGTGGGGCTGCAGAGCATATCAATGCTCAGCGCGTCTATAGTTATGTCTATCGGTGTGTTTCCAAACGGCCTCAGGCTTCGTTCTAAGGACTCTGCGGGGGGTATCTTATGCTTACTATCCAAATATTCTGATCATGTCCTCGGGACATGCGCCCGGCGCGAAAGGGATCGTTCTGAAAAGAGTGTTGGTATGAGGTGTGTCAAAGAATGGAAAGAAGCCCATGCTTCAGTAAGGTGGTGAGTCGCTTAAGCAAAGTTAATACCGGTGGAACCCTCGCCGAGAGTGGTGATGAGGTGGTCCTCGGTGGTGGCCTTGGTCTGGACATCGTCCCAGATATAGTAGGCATTATCGCAAGGGAAGATTTCGCAGCCAGACATGGGAGACTGAGAGTCAGCAGGCCACATCTGGTGGACGTTGTCCTTATCGTCAGGAACGACAATGGCGGAGACGTCGAAGAAAGTCATCCCGCCCCAGCCGCCGAACTTGACCTCGCCGAGCATACCATCGCGGTAAAGCTCGCCCTCAGGGACGGCGACAAAATTGCCGACGAAGTCATCAGCGAAGTCGACAGTGGTCTTCTCAACGTTGGAGACGGTCACAGGATCCATAGGGAACTTGTTCTCGTTGGAAGTGAAGTAGACGGTGCGGGTCTGGTCATCCAGCGTCCAGAAAGTGACCTTGCCCGCGCTGACGATGGCAGCAGAGCTCAAGAGAGCGAGGACGCAAGTGATGAAATGCATTCTGAAAATGGTTCGAGGGAGTGTCTTGACTCTGTGTGTGGAGTAAGGTGCTGGTGATCTTCAAAAGATGAATCAATGAGTGAATGTAGAGCAGATCGAGCCGTTGCTGAGTTATTTTTCAAAAGAGTGGAAAGTGAAGGTTTCAGAGACTGTTGATCTACAGACAGGAAAGGATTGTTAGTGAGTCCGGGGACGGGAAGAACAGCCCGTAGCTGGGGGGAGGAGGCGCTTTTTATATACTGCCGACCACGAGAAAATATGAAGTTCTGGAGATGGTACGCCTATGTAACCTACTCATGACCCCATTCTTGCTTCTTTGTTTATGACGTTCAGTACGTTAGCCTCCCGATAACGCCGCAAAAAACCACAGGTGGAGGTTTCGCTTCGCCATGATCAATTGCCATCCATCGCCCCAGCTACCAAGCAATTTTCTACATAAATGCAATTGACCTAATTTTGTTCAACGCGACTAATCAAATCAATTCTGGCCTATCTACCCTAAGCCAACTCAGCATCGATCAGCACCATAATACCGGTTTCATGATCTCGCGATCATCCCTTCACATTGAGCATCGCGCCTCTGCAGCAGCTATGCAAAGGCCCGTAGACCTCTCTGCCCCGATGAATATCTAAACATTGTTCCGCGCAGTTACCAGCGCGACTTATCAATAGCAACACTGATTGGCTAATGGGAGACCGAGAGTTGTCATGATTGGATAATGAACAAGAGCAGCAGCAAATTTTCCCACGTACGGCTAGTCACAGGCGGGTCCCTTATTATCCACGCCGAGGCCAAGCGGCCTATATTCATTGAACAACCACAGGGGCACTCAGACGGCACAGACCGGGTCCTCCGAGTCAACCAAGCCATCTACGGACTACGGGAGGCTCCTTTGTGGTGGTTCGAATGCCTCACTAAAGAACTCAAGAAATTAGGGTTCAAGGCCCTTGACACAGAGTTGTGTATCTTCATCCGCGGTGACGGAGTGAAACTTCTTGTTTACGTTGACGACATGATCATCGCGGCCCCTCGCAAGTCACTTATCGAGGAAGTCCTCGTGGCCTTGGAAGGCATCTTCAACATGAAGCGCATCGGCGAGGTCAAGCAGTTCCTTGGCCTTCAACTCATCCGTGACAGGAACAAACGCACCATCTTTATCCATCAGACCACCTACACCGAGGGATTGATCGCGAAGTTCGCTGACCCCGGAATACACACTGCACAGACTCCCTGGCCGCCAAAGGCCAACCTTCCATCTAACTGGAAGTCACTGACAGACATCATGCAGACGAAACAGTGGCTTAAACGCACCGGCAGTCTGAATTGGTTGTCTATCGGTACCCGGCCTGATATCGCGTACGTATGAATCCTCCGTTAACTGGGTCGCTTAGGCTCTTATCCACTCCGACGCCGCTCGGCATGGCGCCCTGCACGAGCATCGATCGATCAAACTATCAACATATGGAATTCTGTTTATGGGGACTCCTCATCAGGGCGGCAATGGCGTGAAGCTGGGGCGAATTCTCGCTAATGTGGCGTCCCTTGTCATGGCGGCTGACGACCGGCTTCTGAAGCACCTTGAGCGGGACTCGGAGTGGTTGCAGCAGCAGCTGGGACAATACGCACCGATCAGCAACGACTTTGTGACGAAGTTTGGGTACGAGGAGTATGAGACTCCTACCGTGTTGGGACATAGTATCATGGTTCGTTATTTCTACCGCCACCATTCACACTGGCATTAATCATATTAGGTGGTTCCAAAGGCATCGGCGGTCGTTCCAGGAAACGCAGACGCCGAGCCGATCGTCATCCACGCAAACCACTGGTACTCTCCGTACATGCGCAGAGCAATGATGGTACGTATGGACCCACAAAGCCAGTGCGACCAATTTTAGCTCTACCTGGCCCCGGGTGTATCGGACGGAAAGCTCGATTAATTGGCTACTGCCCCTTTAGTCCGATATCCTCTGGCGCACCATAACCGTGTCGGACCAATAGTTTATCCTTTCCGCCCCCCCGTTTGAACGGTTCTTTAACTCCGCTTCTTCCCCACTGGCCCTTCTCAACATTATTCCAATCATGCCTCCACTCTTCGTCTGCTCGACATGACGCGAGACCTCGTCGCCCTCGGAAGGCTTGAACAGCTACATTCACTTGGATCCACAAGCATTCTCTTCCGAGTTCGAAAAGGAATCATCCTCAAAGCTGCTGTTGCAGTCTCCAGGGATCAACAGATTCAACCCAGGCCGAGGGTAGCCGAACCAACTGTCATCCGAACTCGGCGAAAGTACCCATGAGCTCTTGTTATTCAACGTCGATTTATTTCATGGCTCGCGGGTATGTGTTTTATCCTCTCGCGACAGGATCGCCCGTCCTTGACTAATACAGCCTGGCCTGAGTCAATTACACATCTCTCACTGGGCCAAATGTCTTGTATTGGATTGTCTGTCATTCGCGACTAGTTCCGCCGTTGTTTGACAGGAAAGTATGCCCCTGACGTACTCGGCCGTCCCAATCGTGGGGTTGTTTATGGTTGCCCCGAGCGGTATGGGCTGATCGTCTGGTCGGGTCGCATCAAACGGGAGTGCCATATTCTCGATTTCGCTAGGAGCTTGAGCCGACCGGCCGAATTTGGCCGCGGATGAAGAAGTGAGCTTCTGGAAAGGTGTTTTGCTTGCTGAGCTGAAACTTACCTAGTTGTCCTAAATCTCACGCATGATTGTGACGGCCTATTTCCCTCGTCACGAAAGTAGGACCTAGAAGTCGCGTTCGTTAGATCAGGAAAAAAGCATATGGCAGCACTTATGAAGTTGCTTAACGCGATTAGTAGCAGACCGTGGATGACCAAAAATGATCGAAGTTGTGTTTCTACAAGGGAATCTGCTCCCGATATTACAATCTCTTCTATGGCTTCATGTAGCTGCCTTGGAGCGGTGTAACTTCTAGTAAAGTCGGTTGCTGTCGTAGCATCCGTTCTTGCAGCCGGGAGCGGCAAGATCAAGCAGATACAAGAGGGAGATAGGCCTCCTCTGCCAGCCCTCGATGTAGCTGCGAGATTTTAGGGTCCGGGGCTTGCGCAGCTTTCTATCGTATAGAACAACACGGGAGTGTGAATGTCTTGGTACATTTCTAAATTGCACAGGTGTGTACTCTTAAGTCAGCCTAAAGCTATGTCGATTCATGGCTTTTTGATCACTGCTTAAGGTACCGGATTGAGTGACGCACACTTGCGCTACCTAGCACATTATTCCTATTACTTCGATTCGTTTAAGCTACTTCAACTTTTTAAAGCCTGGAGCCAGAACCAGCGATGTGGCGCCACGGGCTATATCTGTGAACTTAGTGGTAGTAAAAAAGGCAGATATTCATTTGCGGACACAAGCCCCATCCATAAACGTGGTTCTCTGTTTGGGAGGCTGCACATCCTCAAGACCGTGGTACAGTACTGAGCTGTAGCCGTTAAGGAGTCGCGGGTTCTTGTTCGAGTATCGGGTGAAAGTGCTCTACCCCTGAAGTCGACACTGCGAGAGGCGGTATCACAAGTGATCAAGCTGCTGATATGATGACTACAGGGTACTCAGGGAAGAGGCCAATTTGCGCCGTCCCCCGCATCGAGAAACGGCCGCTATCATGTATTTTTGGATGTCCGGAAGAGAACACGTTTTGAACGCCTGTGTACGGCGTGCGTTCGCCAGAGATTTCCCGGCGGAAGCACGCCACAGGTTCTCCATGTCCAATTTCTGTTTGGGTCGGGTATCACGCTGGACTAGGTGTCCGCATTGTGCAAGCAGCCTCCTCGCGGGCTAGGGCACTCCGTCAAACGAACCATGCCCAACGTAGCCTGTGTGTGACAGACCCAAACAGTTCAGTGCTATGAATGCTGGAAGACCATAAACACGTCTATTTCGGGCCGTATGCACAGCCTCAACAATGAAGCACCGCGCAGTCCTAGCCGTAGAGCCAGAGACAAGACCGCCTCGTTGCTGCGGTAGCCTGGGTGCCGGGTCAGGCAACAAATCATAAAGAGTCCTGGGATGTCCTGATTACTTCCACATCTGGTACCGCTATACCTCGATATCTATGTCTGACTTTCCCCGACCACACTAAGAGCAAACGAGTCAATAGTATGGCTGACGCATCTGATGCTCTCCAGGGTATTGGGAAGACCGCCGAAGATGTTTGGTTTTTCCCACAGGAGTTGAGGCACGGCCTCAACACATCCGACCTCCAAGACGACGTAGTCCGAGAAGCTCTCGCCACTGCCTACGAGTATACTAGGAGCGTCATACCGGAATGGCAAGACTATGACAAATACCTGGCATTCATGAAGACCATCGTCATTGCCGTCTTTGCCGAGTTTCGCGGCGATCTGATCCCACAGGACGGCAGGAGCTCAATCCTCGGGTACGACTTGGAGGGGCTGCTGGATACCCTCTTCCACGGTACTGGCATGCGTAATGCCATGTCGCGCGAGTTTCGAGCCTTTCTTCTTATGTCAGTGGAGAAATCCAGCATGAGGCTAGACTCGGAACTCTTTCGTCGCTACCTGCATGCCCTGGCAGATTCTCCCGAGAGCTGGTTCCGACTCCGCGACTGCGACGCACTGGTTCGGTTCACAATTATCAGCGCGCTCTCCTGCAACCAGTATAAAGACCCGGCATTCAGCGAGGAGCAATGGTGCCTTATTGGGGAGATTGGCTGTACGCTCTACGACGCGGTCGCTTTCTACAAGCATCGAGCAGAGGGCGAGACGAATAGTACCTTCGCATATTTCGAGGCCGACGCGCGCGTTAAGCTCTTCAAGCTGTACCGCATGCTTCTCTGGGCCCTAGATGTTGAATGGGCGACCGATGCCTCCAAGCGCTGTATCCTCAATTTCCTGCGCCCATTTGGGGGCCCTCTCCACATGATGACGCGAAGATACCGCTTCGTCGAGGATGACCTGATGATTGGAAAACCGGAGACAGAGGTTGTGGTGGATTTGACGCGCGGTCATTTCAAGCTCTGGAACCGAGTTGAGGAAACTGCCGATGAAACGGTAGCACAACTGACCAGTGACGAACGGTACGCAGGCTTTATTGCGCAGTCTGGCAAGCTGATGTTCGATGGATTTTGCGACCTTCTACAGCGCAATGGCAGTCGTGACTGTGCCAACTGCAGGCTCAGACCGCCAGGCACGTCCAGGGCTATCCACCAATTCGGAGGCATCCAGCTGTGTAGGCAGTGTAAAGAGGATTGGGGGCTGTACATGGACGCGTTTCCCGCGCGAGTTGCAGCGGCTTTTCCAGAGATGAAGGACGCTATCGCAAAAGCGGTCACGCTTCCCACTTGAAGCTCAGAAGGCCTTGCTGGATGTTACCTGCGTGGTGCGGGAGACTATTTCGGGTAGAAGAACAATCCAACGCAAGTACAAGCGCTTGGGTCAATAAAATTAGGGTTGCAAACTCAGCAAATAAATGAGAACTTGGGTAACCCAGCTACGGGGTCTTGTTGAAGAACCAACATGTGACCTGTACTTTCCGTCAACTATCAAGATGATCATGGCCATCTCATTTCTCTAAAGACAAAGTCGGGATCATTGCGACAGCATAACGATCACACAACTACGGAGGTACTATATATATACATACACAGACGCATCAGTCATTCACTACCTAGCTCTTTATTTACCAATACAATTCTCAACGCATGAATCAGGTCGATCGCACTCGGCTCTGGCTAACAACTGCTTTATTATCCTAATTTCAACACAGAACCATCTTTCTCTACCTAATAGCTACTTTAGACCTAAAGTTACAGGAATACCCTGACACGCCAGAATTCTGCGTCCCAAGTCGGTGAGTGAAATTATGCTTTTAGAGACATACCGCGCTTCTTATCACTCTGGTTCGTTCGTCCTCAACGCTCTTCGGCACATTGGTCGTTGCCTCTAACGTCTGGTCAGCCGAGGTTTTTGGCGGGGAAGCAACCGTGATTCGCACCAGATTTGTGGAAGACTTCCAATGTAACCTTTCCAGGTCCTATAATCAGCTCTTTCACCACTCAATATACAGCATCTAATCCGAAACTTTGTTAGCGAGCCGAGACGACGCTCCCTGAGCCATATGCGATATTATGGACGGCTATGTTTAACTCCTGATCTACAGTGCCGAGTGCATGTGGACAAAATGGTTGATTGCTCACTCCAGGGTCAACATGGCAAAGCTCATCCCACCCAAAATGACAAGTCGGGTCCTGGATATTGTATAAGAGAAAGTTTTGCGAGACCCACGACGTCGGCTTCTCGAAACAAGAAAACAGAAAATTCATGCTATTCGATGCTGAAAGAGGGAGAAGATCCCCTTGCAGAAGGTGCTCGCAGTTAGATGCATGGACGAACTCGTAATCCATCAGGATTCCGCCTCCTACTTGCGGATCACTCAACGCAGATGATCCAAATCCCAGAAAGTTCCACGCGTCATACGAGACGTCAAAAGCCCCTCCCGACTGATCAGCATGGAGCAAGTGAAGCGTTCTGTCGCCCTGGGTGAGTCTTAGGCAAATGTCATTGCAATCGACTGGTTTTGGCCAGTATGCCACGCGGTTGGTGTCAATCTTGCAGCCGAGCACCCCGACAGATGAAGAGTACTGCACGTGCGGGGTGACACTAGCTGTGAGACACTCACCCGACTTGAACATCTTGTGATGTACGTCGCACTCAGGAAATAGGCAGAGACTAGTAGGCGTACTTATACTGTCAAATTAATGACGCGAGCATTATCCAAATACAGCCGATTATGGCATAACCCTCAGCGGAAGATCGCCTTGTGACGGCCTACGTCTGCATCTTAGTTCCAAAGCGATATTGCTATATTCACTGACTGCATATCCACTACATTTATGCAGGCATCCAAACGTGATATAGTATAAGTAAGACGATACGCATATTCGAAGAATTTCCATGATTATAGATCATAAGGATCTGCTCAGGAGTGTACGATCTAGCCAAAAATGGCAAGTCACAGGCAACCAAATGCTCTACATCAAAATCATTTCTGTCAGATATCCGGCAAATATCGTACCAGCGTTTGCGACAAGAAGAAATAGCGCTGCAAATAAACGCTAAAGCTGACAGCTAGCGAACACAGATAAGCCGAGTGCTCACAAGACTTGACAATGTCATTGACGAGGCTCATGGCTTGAGATAGCTTTGCCGAATATGTCTGCTCGCAACTGGATTGTCAGTATTTTTCAATTTCATTAGGGGCTATCGAGATTGCCGCATAGGACGCGTCCCTTTCAAAACTAGGCCTGAACTATCTTTTCGGAGTTTACAGCTGCTCCGCCAATATAATTGCCGGCACATCTAGCCCTTATCAGCCTAGCTGACGAGCTGGGAGCATTGTACTAGAGCAGAAACTGTCATTCTGCGGACTGAGCGAACAGGTGTCTTAGCCGATGTGGCCCTGCGAAAACGTGTTCTGGCTCTCGGTCTCTCATGTAGCTGGCCCACTTTCCCCGAGCGACATTCACTCCGCCGCCTATTATCACTCACTTTGGTACACAATACAATAGTTTATGCAAAGGACTGTTTCAGCTACCGACACCCGAGTGGTTTCTAGCACAATCGAAGTTTGACCCATTCACGCCCTAATCATTCGAATCCCCAATGCACATTTTCTCCCTCATGGTAGCATGAATCCGAATTGGCTTTGCGGTGCTCATTGAGCGAGAACTCATATTCTAGATACTTATTAGCCATGTACGTCCATGCTTCCTTGGAAAGAGATGCTGGTAAGGAGGGGACGAGATACCATCGTCATTTTCGCACCCAGCTGGTGATAGAACCATGGGGTTTGGGGCGCCGCGAGGTAGGTAAGTCGGACCAGTTCCGCACTTGCTGTTGGGGTAGCACGGACTGGAAACGTCGTACGACCCCGACGCGGGAAACTCAGGGGCATCCCCATCGGCGCAACGGGTCCATCCTGACGAGATATCAAAGCCAATAAAGGGTCCGTAGCTCTCTGGAGTGTAGCCAGGGAAGCTGCCAGGTGGTGATGGCGGCAGCTGCGCACTGAAAGTTACTGGCCATCGGGTAGGGCTCGGCAGGCTGATACCAACTCCAGTGATGCGAGCTGGAGAAGCCAACGACTTCACGCAGCTCGCCCTCAAGCATGCGGTTCCGGCGGAGGAGCTCCTGGAAAGCCTGTTCGCGCGAGTTGAGCGAGTTGAGCAGCTCGCCGAGCTCGGTTTCGAAATCATCAATGCGTTTCTTTGTGCGGGCGCGGATGACACGCTGCGCTTTCCTGTCTTAGGCACGCTTGCGATCGAGCTGTTCAGGTGTAAGATTGGAGACGGAGCACCTGGAGACATTTCTGCGGTCCTGAGACGCAGACATAATTTTTGCTGTTTTTGTGCTCTGTTGAGGTTGTTCGGGGAATAAACAGAACTGTGTCGTCCTGCGCAGATAATGAGTCCCGATATAAGGGGTCTTGTTCCTCAGGCGCCGTGTAAGAGGCTTAGCCGGAGCCGATGGGCTTGCAGCAATTTTCGTATGGTTGGAAGCAATGACACACTTGAGGTATGTCGACAAGTGGTTCGAAATGTACGCCGTGGTTGTGGTCGGGTTGGGCAAGGTCGTGGTTCGCCAAAATGTTTATTCGTCCTCTGCAGTGATGCTGTGGTTATATGAGAACCTTCATCGATGTGCTGGGTCCTAGAGTGGAAATGTTATATGTCAAGGATGGGAATTGCCAGCATGAGTGGGAGCGGGAGCGGGAGCGAGAGTGATGGTGGTAGTTAGCGTGCGAGTCTGAGTGAGAACTAGAGTAGGAAACATAGCCCAAGCAGCGTGAACGTCTTCATATATAGTGCCCCAGGCATCCGCCTCTCAAGCGTCTTGACGGGGGCGGCGCACACCTCGCCACCGCCAGCTTAGGCATGGAAATAGCAGCCGAGTATTACAGGCCAGTGCCCATATCATACGCAGTGCAAAGACCTGCCGACAAAGCATGCAGTGGCCGCGAGGCGTTCGGATCCCTGCTCTGGAGGGTTGCATCACTACTACGCTCCACCACAGATACTCCTTGGACTGTGGCTGCATGAGGATTCGGCAGCTCCGAGCTTATGAGACGTAGAAGCACGGCGATGGCGATGGTGGTCTTGCCTCAAGGTCGTGTCTACCACTCACGGATGCCAACTTTGCGTCCAATCATAACAGGTGATTGTTCGTGAAGACTGGCGTAGATAGCGAGCGAAGCCGACTTCCAGACATCAGCAAGGTCATGTAGGAGCCTGGCAGATCATCCCAACGGCAGGGTTGTTTTTGCAGATTGGAGCCTCGTCCACCAACATCCCGTGATAGAACCGTCTACGAGTGGCAAGAATGTGGTAACCTTGAGAGTGCATCTATAGGGGAGAGCGCCAATGTCTGCACAGAGTATTGTACTACATCTACAAAAGATGAGCCTATTGCCCGGGGGCCCGTACTTTGGTATTCCTTACTGGCTCTGTGGCGAGGCTGCATTGCCATGGGATGCTCGTCGGATCGGGAGTGGCTTCCTCGCTTCGCTTGGTTTGATCGAGGGAAAAGGGGTTGGGTTGAGAGACAATGCGAACGAGCGCCACAGTGCAGCCAGCGCACCCAGATTCTCGCTCTCATGCGAGCTTGCCGTCACTTCGGGTGGCACGATCAATATCCTCGAGAAGGGGTACAGGGCAGGTCGCTATGGTTTTGCCTCCCTTGGTGCCTCTTTCAGGCGAGTGAAGTCATGGAGCTTGAGGAAATTCGTACCGCGACATTTTGAAGGGGACATGCCAGAGAGCTGAGTCGAAACGATTTGGTGTACTCGATCCGTTAAATAGGCTCGAACTTCCATGCCCCTGGGAACAATAAATCAATCATATAGCCATTTTTACAAAAGGAAACCGTGCATCAACAACCACCGTGAGGTCTATTTCCGCTCGTGAGAAAGATGCTTGGATAGTCCCTGTCCCCGATCGATACATTGATGTCGCGAAACCGGCAGAGGTACTCGCCCAGCCAAAGGGATCGAACTGCAATGGTATTGATAGAAGCCTCATCCACAGCCCATCGATGGGTTGTCCAGATGCTGTATATGATATCTTGCTGTGGGAGCTGTTAAGCGACGGTGATCACTGGGGACATAAATGCGCTGAGAACGAGGAGGGTCACGATAGTGAGATTGTTTCTACAGATCACGGTGAGAATGACTGAACTTTGAAAAAGTACGCGGATCCCTGGCGATGAGGGGACAACAAATCGAGCAGTGGCAGGCCCCTTGGCCAAAACATGCAGGCAGTTTCCACAGAGCTTGATTACCCGTGCCGAGACGCTCACCAGCTTGATTGGCCGCTAGAGATGATGAGTAACTTTGTGAGGCTGCTCCAGGGGTTGGGATGGGCAGAGCCTCGGACTAGGGCTTTCAGACCCGTGATGCTGCCTTGCCTTGTTGATCTGCATCTGTCTGGTCGAATATTACTGCTAACACCCCTATTCCGCGATTATCCGCATGATACGTGGGTGTCAGACGGCAACCCAGTTTCCGTGTACAAGCGGCCTGGTTTGAACTTCACGCTGCATGATTACATCTAACATTCTCCCTCTATGCTACTGGCCAGCAAATATATGCGACGCTCACGTCACATATCTTGAACGAAGCAATATCCAGGTCCAACACTGTCAACGGCCCAAGTTCACGACTCGACGATGCATGCCTTAGCGAGCGGCGGGTCCCTCTCCACGCCGGTGAGCTACGGTGCGGGCGTGGTTATCCCGGCGACATCGACTGGGTGTCCCGAGTCATTGTGCTCGATGATGGTATGGGTTTGGCCGGCTCGGAAGTGTGGCCAACGGACGTGATACTGCTGAGGAGGTTTCTTACGCTGAGCCCCTGCCGCGGACTGATACCGCTTCGTACCCCCCAGCCGCTGGCTGATGCTTCAATCAACAGATGACCCGGCGTTGTATTGTTCTTGGACTAACTCTTGTTTGTCACAGTCTATTGGAAGGCACGACGTCAATTCTCCAGCCTATTCTCTCGCTTGACCTCCTCGATTGTCGGCTCTGTTGTGGCCGGCCGCATACTGACGTCCTGCTCCTATCATTTCCTCGAATTTGACTCGAAGATGTTGTCTCTGTCTGGGTACGTATAGGAGTCTGGGGTCAGCAAAGATAAAGGGGGGCCGAATCTATATCCGGGTTTTGCCATGGGGTAGATGAGGCAGGTCCAAGCGACGTAAGTCATACGTACCTGTCCCGAAGAGTCCGCGTCAGCTGGACCGTGAGATGCCCCGTCGGGCACCTACATCTGCGCAAGGAATATCGATCAGCGGGCGGTCAGGACCAGGCTGTATCTGGATGTCTCTTCAAGGAGCGGATGGGCGTCACTGCTATGCGCGACTTCGGCTTCCCAGCAGTCGAGTCTCATGCGGAAGCTCAGAGACTCGATCCCACATCGACGGCTAGATGCAGCGTTCTCTTGGTTTCACCTGAAGTAACCTGTACCTCCTCGACCTTCCCATCCAACCTCCGTAAACATGTGTGCTATGCACAGGGGGCTACATTTGCCGATGAGCGTGTGCCACATCCGAAGCGGCCGAACTGTCACTGGCACCGCGGTTTGGGCACTGATGGTGGATGGCTGTTTCAAGGGAGGCGCCCCATGCATTTTCAGAAGCCTACAAGAAGTGGGCGTGGGGCTTACATCCACATCAGACCTGCACAAAGCGTCGACGTGCAGGCTGTCGATAGCAGCCTTGCTCTCAGTTTAAATCCACTCAAGACGCTGTGGGAAAGAGTGCGAGTTTCTTATCTCTTCTCGTATCACCTCTCTGTCGCGTCAGCATGGTTTCTGAAAGCTCCGATACAGACAGTGATATTCCCGCACTCATGGCCAGCACAGGTGGTCTCTCGGACGACGGAAGCACGGCGTCGACAACGTCGTCCCAAGATAGTTCGGGAGGGCCGGGCCTTCGTGGCCTCTCAAACAAGTTGCATGCCTGGGACCAACAGGGGGTTCAGCGGGGATTGCGTTCACAAAACACTCTTGCTCACGTTGTGGCGTTGCGGTCTTCTGCTGGTGCAGATACGGCGAGCCCTCCGCCCGGTGATGATCACCCGTCGCGCGGCTCACCTTGTCGTTTAGTTGATAAACTGTCCCAGTTCTCGCTGCAGCTGCTGGTCATGGATTTACTAGTGCAGGAACTCTTGAAAATTGTCGAGGACACCCATGGCGACTCTGGCACGGCTACGCAGGAGGATTCGCGACGCGAGGCACCCGATTCGGAGCAGGCGCTCTAAAGAAAGAACTCGATATAGATGCTTGTATAGTGACTGCTAGACACCGTCGTTCATAGTTCTGGAATAAGCTCATCGCCTGATCACGACAGTGGGTTTGAATATCGATGTCGGCTACTAGTGGATGGCATCTAAGACGGTGGCGCCCATACTCATGGCATTGGCGTGTTCTTCCAGTCTTGCCCGGATGAAGCGATAACGCCAAAAGAAGTCTGGTAATTCCAATATGCCCAAGGGCCTGGGAAATCTACATCTATCACAATGGCTACTGCCAGTGGCGCACGAGACGTTTGAGTCCTCGTGACGCTTGGCCAAGCAACCCGGCACGTATATAGATAGCATACTAAAGGAATCATGATTCTGCTCGTGATCTGGGTCATTGAATGGTCGTTGACAGCTACAGCTAAGAATACCCCCTGTCCTGCTTCTGTTGTTGCGCGCTGCCCAAGGTGGCGTCCTACAACATGATGTTACAGTACGCCTAGTGGATCGGCGGGCGCTACCGCAATCTTCATTCCTAACTATCATCTACCGTGCGTGATGTCTGTTTTTCAGCCCACTGTCTCGAGCCACTCAGGCACAGCACTATATAACCTTCGCTCGAGGCGCGCCTAGCCCTGACATATTGGCTTAACATCGGCCCGATAGGCGGTCGCAGTGGACTACCATGGCCGTGTGTACGATCTCGCGCACACAGCGGTGTGTTCGTTCTTGATCTTGTCCCAAGGGAGGCATAGCTTGAACAGTGCTCGTCTCTCGATCTCAGCAACTAGGCGCTCCCACCACGGATCCCGATCCGAAATAGCTGTGGGCACATCGGAAGGTGAGGCAGGCGCAACGTCGTCGATCCTTTGCCGGATTCGCTTGAGGGCGTCATCCAAGGGTGGTACATCTGAAAAGATTATGGTATTGGAAGAATGAAACAGCCTTGATGCAGGGAACAAAGATACTTCAGCACTTCAGAGGCTGCCATGGGTGGGCAGTATGCATACGCATCTGGGAAGTTGGACCAACGTCTGTGGAACAAAAGGATGATCTCTTGGTAGCCTGCTGTTCCAGTAGTGCGACACGCTGCGAGATGGACCCTGAAAGAAGAGAAGAGGAAGTCAGCGAGTCCGATAGGCGGTACGGGACAACGACGCACTCCACCCTCATAGTGGTAGGCACAGAACACGCGATGTGACTAACGTATAGATCTGGAACAGCCACGTACAGGAATTGGTGTGTTTCTGATGGTCTGCTTGCTTGTGTAGGGCTGCCCGTCGGCCGGAGGCAGCGTCTTCGCTGGTGTATCGGCAGACGAATACGACCTCTGCCTGGCAAATGTGAACATGGCTACTTAGTGCCCGCGCGTAAGGACAGGATTGTGGCGGCGGCTCTCAGTATGCTACAGCTGGCCTGCCGAGTGGTCCGCGGCGGTCTTGGCGTTGTCGGTCGTATCGGACGCGGCGTCCAGTGGATGTATTCGTTTGTGCGTAGAACAGGCGTCGGATACTGGGTAGAGTCGCGATGCAACGTACTGTGGTTGAAAACATCTGACGATAGTGCAAAAGGAAAAGCAGAGGAATGCACGGTCGTGGTGGGCTCATCGCTAGATTCTTCGGAGGCCCACCAGTCCAACCCTACGCTAACCCGCACAGCACTCCGCTAGCGCTGGATCACCCCAGTACTGTCGGCACGCCCCACCCCGCTTGGCCTACGTGCACCAACACCCCATGCTCATTCGAGTTAGCGCACGGCCAGCCCCGTAGCCTCATCTGGCAGATGCGGACGCCCCACAATGATAGACACGCCTCATCCTTCTCGCTTCGGCGGCGGGTCCTCGAGCGCATGCTACCGTGGCGACATTGCGTCTGACCGCTGCACTGACGCACGTCCCCGGCCCCGGCGCCAATGGCTCCCGGCCACAAGTTCTCGAAACCTGAAGCCGCCCTTGGCCCTCGCGTTTCCGGCGGTATGCAGATGTACTCCCCCGTGCGAAACCGCGCCCGTCCTCGAGTGGCTTTCACGGTGGCACAGTGCCAGGTCGTCTGGAGTGGGCCGGTGCCTGGTGTCCACTCACAGGAGAGTGGGCGTCGCGTGAAGACCCTCGTGCAGGCTGGCTTGGTCGGAATACATGAGCCCCAAGTCTTCTACTTCATCGGTTGCATAGTCTGAGCAGGAGGACGTGATTGGGGCGTCTGGGCACGTGGCCGCACCGCCGAAAGGTCACTCTCGAAATGGCCCAGGGCCAATCAGATTCGTCGGCCCCCTTTCAGCAGGTCGACTTGCCCTACACCAAAGTCTCTCGGACTCTGCAGCTTGATTGCGAGCGCATTGAAGCACCTCGCTTGGACGACTTGATGGCTGCCTTGGGCAGGCCACTCCCTGAAGAGACTGATTTGAGGCTGCTCCCAGAGGTGGACTGTGAAACCTCATCCCAATTGTCCTAGATTCTGGCTTTGGTATACAACGCGAGATAATCGCGGGCTCTGTTCATTACTCACGCGAGGGTTCGATAAGCCCTGGCCGCTTGCTTGGTTACGACAAAGGGTTCACTCTCGGTTTAGACGCGTCGCTCCAAGGCACACGTCACTCAACTGCCAGTAGCCGCGACGGAAGTTTGCCAGAGCTGTCCGGATTCTCACCGCTCCATGCACGATTCTGCACCAGAAGAACTCCTACGCTCGCCTGGGTGAGGCTTCCAGGAGCGAATAACGCCCGGATTGTTTGCTCCGAACGGAATAGTGGAGGACACCAACATATACTCTGTTCGTTGACGCAGCAATTGGAGCGCGAACGCGACTCACGACCCATCCCTGACCATCTTCGTGTGATCGCTGGAAGCGACAACCCAAATCGCTCATCTCTACAGCGGCCTTTCCGTGCCTCGCTCCGTCACCAAGCTTGTCCCAACATTGGGTGGTCCATATGCAATTCTGGGTATATCCATTGCCGCTAGTGACAATCAACTAGCAATCGCCTCTTTCTAGTCACCAATAGCGGGGGACTTGTCGCCATCACGCGAACACAGATAAATTACTTTGGATGCCGTATATTAATTCTACAGAATGATACTCGTCGCTTCGGCTCTCTCACAAGATTGACTAGCTCTTACTGTGCCCGGCCGGGCTCGGGCTCTGTCGATGGCGCTTCACGTTTGAGTTGAGTGTGAAATTCTTCCAACATTATTTCACGCAGCGTTTCAACGGAATCACCCAGATCTCGTAGCAGCCGTTGGAACGTTACGAGTTCTCTCCTTAAATTACCAGACGCAGAGGAAAGCTTCTCTCTGTTTGATAGAGCATCGTCGGTCGTGTCATCAACCTTAGAGAGCCCCAAGGCACCCTGGAGTACCAGACTGCGAGCAACGGCGCCTCGAGGATCCAGCTGTGACCTTTGACCATGCTCACGAGTCGTTCTGTTGCTCTCTTCATGAGCAGCGTTGCCCATGCTGGAGCGACCTGCGCCGATTTCTGAAGTTGAACTTGATCGGCAACGCCCTGAGGCTGTGCGTGGCACTGCGCTTTCCTCGTCGAGGTCGCTGTAGTACAGTACGTAATCACCACCGTCACTCGAAGATTCTTGGAAAGGGTTTAGTTTCAACCTTTATCAAGAACACAATGCTCACCTGAGGCACTCCGCAGCCATTCTTCGTCGTCTATTCACACTGTTTAGTGAAAATACCATGACAAACGCCGCAGCACCTACCTGACCCCTCAGAGAAATACCCCGACAAGATATTTGAGCTGCTCATTTTGTGCTTGAACCGTATAATAAAGATTCGTACCTGGCCTATATACCATAAAGTAAAGGCAGAGGAGCGGGGAGGCTGCGTCCATTTTGAGCTCCTATGGTTCTGTTCAGGGTAGGCAGGACAAACTGTGAACTCGTCCAAAAGGCTCAAAAAGGCTAGGTAGGTAAGCATTAGACAAAACAACTGTATGAGTGCCGGGGCAAGCGTGGTGGCCGTGACACAGCGATCACTAGTAGACTGTTAGACTGTACTGTAGCTTGATGGATTCGCATGGTCTATTGAGTGCAGTCGATGCACAACCACGGAGTTCCATTTTCCACGAAGTGCTTGTTCCTGACCGAGGGCACGCACGGCACCAAGATGAAAGACAACTCGCGTCTCGCGCATGTTGGTGTGCTGAGGGCGAGATGGTGGAGCCCTCACTAGGCGGTCGAGGTCCTTGGTGGTGTGGCTGAGGCGTACGTGCTCCCGCCCTGAGAATCTACTACATACACTCCATCATGTAACTCGAAGGACTTGAAAAGAGTCGACGCATGCAGGGGGAGGGTGTGCCCATGGGCCATGGCTTGCTTCGACCCAGTTGGTCCCTCGTCTGCCGTATACCCCAACAGCGTGTGGCTAGCTGTGTGTTGACACCGCACCAATTAGCAGCGTCCAGAAGCGCGTTCATAGGGCCGGTGGCTGCTACGGGCCAAGCGCGGATGCAAAATGCTCTGTTTCTGGCAGGCAGCCTCTTATAAGCCAGCATGCAAATTTGGGCTTGTGCGCGAGCCTCGATCGCAAAAGGGGTCGGTCTCCAGATGTGGAAATGTCGCCGACGCATCTTCTGCCCTTGCACTGCCAACCCTACAAATCGAGAGTCCGGTTCGAGATATGGTGCTGTACGAAGTATTCCAAACATCAGTGCTGTATGAAGTTGCAGTAACAGACATTGATACAAGCTGGTTGGTGCGTCGATCCGGGCGCCAACTTGAAGGCCATGGCGGCACACGCCGAGAACACCTAGGCGAGCCTCGGCTCCCTGAGTCGCAGCATTGGACCCGGAGATCAGAGGCCACAGCACTCGCGAGCATCGGTAGGACAGAATACCCTGGGGAACTTACGTCAAGCCGGAAGCCAGAAGCTTCAGGACATTGACTCTCATTGGGTCAAGCGGGGACGTCAAAGCTTAGTGAGATAGTTGCATATCCGTGACTGTTCATGCGGGGTTGGGAAGCAGCAGAATCCGTCCGGCCAGCTCCGCCGCCCAATTGATTTAAGAAGGCTCCGTCTGCATTCTCGGTCAAGCGCAGTGTTCCCTCTGGGCATACGCATGATCTAACTAAGCGATGGATTGTCATCAAACCGCTGGCTCTGCCCATCCTCAGCCAATCGTCTGCACATGGTCTGTATCCAGTATGAAGAAAATATTGATCGCTGACTTGTCGCAGTGAGTGGTTCAATTCTGGCTGGCTTGGTGCCACTTGGGCCCCCTATCCGTCCTCCTTGGAGTCAGAGAATCATTGCCTACTTTCCTACCCGATCTTTCTTCTGGATGCAGCAGGCATAGTTCACGGATATTTACTCCCCATGCATGGCCTGCGCACCATGCCCGGCGGCTTCCCAGGATTCCCCTCATATGTTCTAGTCTCGGGTTCTCCTCGGTGCGTTCCTTGCGCTGGACAACGGGGCCTCCAGCAACAGTCTTGGCCCAGTCAGTACTATCCACCGCTTCAGATGTCCCCAGGTGTATCCAAGGAAACCGACCATGAACCGTTATTTCAACCAGGGTTGAGCGAGCCATCTTCGCCCACTCGCTCTCGTCAGGTTAGGCTACGACCACTTGCACCGAAACCACTGCAGCAGCACTGAAAAAGTTGCCCACGATGGAACAAGAGGACAGAAGACCTTCGAGAAGGCGAAAGAAGAAGCGGCAATAGCGTACACTTCAAGGATCAATAGCATGTTCGGTAAGGAGGAATCCCGCTGGAAGGCTGCAGACCGTCGCCACGGCCTGAGCCTGCAATGTCCCACCCACTATTGAGGAGACTGGTTTGCTAGAGAGGTGGCCATGTATTGTTACAACTGTGCGTCGACGGAACGGGTGTCCTGGAGGTTGAGAGGGGGGAAATGAATACCACTCTGGGTCCAATTGCCTCGCATCCACCATGCCCAGTTCCATATATCCAATGTGTGAAGGTGCTGGCGCGAGGCGACTACACCGAAGCCCACCCAAACATACAATCAAAACGCTCATAGGCTAGATAGCTGCTGAGGTGAGAGGCCATAGCCTAGAAGCCGAGTCCTCCGGGGCGTTCTTTGCCGGCTCGCTATAGGCCACCACTGCAAAATCACTTGCAAAACAGGTCATCCGAGCACGGCGTTTTCGCGGGCTCAGGCACACTCATGGCCTCAAGGTGCAAACGGCAGCTTCCTTCTGATAGAGCCAAACACATTCTTGTTCCGTCTAGGGTGGCATATTGCGATTCCGTAATTTTTGAGTGACAAAAAGAAGTTGCCAATGAGGTTCAGGTTTTTTTAATACGACGGCTGATACCCAGCAGAACGCTTGCTTTGGTGAACATCGTCCTGATTCATGCTGAAAATATAGGTTCCTGGCTGCAACCCCCTCCACGGAGCGAGAATAGTTACTCAATGAACACTGGAATGTATCAGTCTTGATGTTCTCTGCGTATGCGTCGCAGTATGTAACATTACCTATCTTGAATCCTGCTGATACCTGGAGCCTTAGCCTGCAATAGCGTGGCTCGTGGAGCGTCGACTTTCTCCCCATGGCGGCGCTTCGCCTTCGGCTCGTCGAACAAAGGATCATCTTTGTAGTTAGTCAGAAAGAAGGTTCGTATCGCGCTCCTTTGCAAAGTTCGATTCAGCCCTTTCTAGGTACATTACTACTAGCTGACCCTAGATAATAGGCGACGAGCAGATATTGGTGAGCTCAGGGCGCTCTCTCTTTCCACTAAAGGGATCTTCCGTTCGTAGGTCAGGGGTACAGATCGACTGATGCAGAGTGGTCAGGGGTAGCTAAAGAGCACGCCTCGGGGAGCGCCGACTGATCACACTACAGTTCAGCTCGCTCACAGTCATCGTATATTGCGCCTCAGGTAATGTCCTGCGCCCTGCGCCTGACGCCCAGACGCGATGTTGGTCACGAGCCGCTGGTGAGTCAGGCAGGGTATGAATTCTCATTGCAGTATGCTACTGTAAGCCAATCCCGTCTCATTAGCATGACGTCTGGGCCACTTTTGAGGGCTCTATTGCGTCTAGAATAGGCATTACTATGATTTCACAGATATAGAAGGATATTTCTGGTTTTTGCCGCGTAACTAAATCATCACGGCTTTCCATTCATGGCCCTTTTACTGTTGTCCTGTAACCAACCATTAGCTATAAGAGCGCAAAGCACTGATTTCGCAACAGAACCAGTACCCCTAGCCGCTAACAAACTGAACGAGACACCAGGTGATAGGTCCGCGGTCTACCATGAAATCCGTCTCATAGCATTCTGTGACAATAGTTACAAAGTAAAAGATAAGCTAGCGATAACGGCAGATGAATTCCGGTTCCGGATGAGGCCGTTGTATCCATAACAATGGATCACTGCGTGAGATGAACCGCGGCCCTTTGCGGCCTTCCTGTTGCGAGGCCCTCTCACGACATTTCGGTCATGGTTCCCGAGCTCGTCGCGCCGAATGGTCGGCTAAGCTGAACAATTGTCGCAGGGGGCGGCAAGCCTTCGGACTCGACATTGTGTGTGACATGCTCCTCGCAGGTGCGTGAACAGCCTGGTAGTGAGTGGTGGCTTCTCGTCGAAGAGCACAGTCTATGGCAGTACCGGTCCCGGGCAATGTGTCTGCCCTGACGTGGTCTCGCAATTTTCTTGTCTCCACCATGAGCGACAGCCTACACATGCAGCGAGCCCACTGACTCCTTTCTTCCCTCCTCTTCCTTCCCCTCTTTCATTCCCCCGATTTCAATACCGGCAAGCAGCACAGCAAAATAGACGCCAGCTAAGTCGGACGTCAAGGACAGGTGTGTGAATCATTCCCGGCTAAATAATGCTGACAGATGCGGACACAGACAAGGCAATGAGTCGCAGAACCCGCAACGGCCCCAGGACGTGGACGAGAGGCTGGCGGTCCAAGGGATCACGGCTCTGTCGAATTGGAGGAGTATTAAGGCCCCTCCCGTTAGTGAACCCGCGGAGTGTGGAGCAGAAAACCTCGACGGGCACGGTAATATTGGTATCGCGAGATGAGAAGTCGCAGAGCGTCCCGTTCCATGAGGGATGGCGGCTTCATCAAACTGGAAGACCACCAAGACCCCTCCCGTGGACGCTCCGCCGGAATACCAAGCAAAAGACCGCACGAAAGAAGATGCTGAAGGCGACGAAGAAAGCGATACGCCGCGGTGCGATGTACTGGACGCCAAGTCAGCACGCCGCAGAGCGATTGCGCCACTGCCCTGGAAAGTACTCCACGTGCTTATGGAATCTTGTGCGACGGAGAGTTGCGAAGAAAAAAGTCTGGGCTTTGGTGGAAGCAGCATCCGAGCCCGAGGAGTGGACCGAGAAGCATGAGGACCTCGAGCGTCTGCGGAAACGCGACGTCAGAATATGCCCACAACAGCCATTCCTGCCGCTTTGGCGACTCGTACGCCAAAGGACAGAAGCTCTATGATAGAGCCTTGAGTGAAGGAAAGGATGTGTGTTCCCGAGGTCCCTGAATGGTGCGACACATGTTCTGCTCTCACAACAAACAAAAGAACGAGTTTACCAGCGGCATTTCGTTCTTTTCCCTTCCACCTTTCATCTTGTCCAATCGGATCCATGCTGATGATGCTCGCGACCACCATGCGGAGCGAAATGCTGCTGGATACACTCCGAACAGCCTGAGCTCTGAGGCACGGGCGCCGTTCGCGTTGCCTTGTCTGCCTGTGTCTTTTTCTACCGGAACCGACATGTGCCAGACATACGTGGCATTTCTGTCGTGGATGCTCACCTAGTACGTACCTGAATCCCGACATATTCAGAGCCTCGTAGTTCCGAGTTTGTATGCACGGAGACGGTGTCGTGCTCCACGGCTTAAATCAAATCCCCGATTTAGTTGGGCATCAAGACTAGCCATAAGGGTATTATTTTGTAGCATAATAAAGGTGGAACTCAAGGAGAAAGGTATTCGTAGTTTCACGTGATAGTGAAGTATAGGAGCTTCGTTCGTGAACCAGATCAGGCTGACAAGAAGTTTAAGGGAGCGATGTTACTAATCGCCGGTTGGGAGGCTGTCCGCAGTGGCGGGTCCGGTCTTGCACCATGCTAAATAACGTAGCCTTCCTTAGTTATTGTGGGACCTACACTGCAGGGCAAGGTCATTTTACGCGGGTGGCTACGTAGCACAATTCTTACCAAAAGGAAACGCGTCGCTGCGTCCCTTTTATCCTAGAGTAAGATGACAAGAATAGTGCAGGCCTCAGAAATCACATCTTCCCTTCGAAGGGAATACTGCATCTTTGATCCTGATCAACGAATTAGTAACCTCCTAGAATGTGATGACACGATTATCAGCCTGCCTTCACTGAGGGCATTCTCAGTTAACGCACCTCGGAACGGAGAGACTGGACGATCCTTGAGCACGATTTCAAGGCGTGCGACCGCTAGATCTCAAGACCCTCCCAGGGTGAGCGGTGTTTGAGTTGTCTGGCGGCTCATGGATATCACTCGCTGAACAATCCATGACAAGGAGGGCATAATACGCGACCTCGGAGAGCAATTGCTTCGAAGGTTCGTCAATGCCATCCACCACGTGGACCCAATGATATTGGGAAGAGCTCCTAGCAGTCCAGAGTTAGACCGTCATCCAAACTTCAAGTATCCACGTACATGATCTCAGAAAGGAAGATATCCACAAATTGTCCTATGCAATGGAGCAGTCTTCGAACTGTATTCATAAGGAAGCATGGAAAACAAGTACCGTGGTACCTTATGGTACGAAATTAAACTTGTTGCCTCAGGGCCATATTTCGGTACTATACCTATTTTCGGTCCTAAAAGTCCGGCGGGGGTCCTTTCGAGCCTTGTCCCATCAACCGCCGGCCGGGCTGCAGCGCGTTCATGGGTAAGTCAGCCTCTCGAGAACGGCCTGAATTCTCGGCAGGTCCCTGGTTGCCTTACCTCCAGCTCGCTCTAGACAGGAAGCTTCGTCCTGCCTTCGCCGACGAATCTCCAGGATCCTCAGCCTACTGACTTTCGCCAGCTGCATTGCGGTCATGTAGATATTGCCAGAAGACACAATGCCCAACATCCCGACGCTAACCTCAATAGGCGACGGATCAGCCAAGTGTTTGTCCAGCCTCCAATGCCAGAATAATACTACCCTAGATATTAAATGATTCAGATGGAGGACGTACCAAGGCTGCCTCGCCTACCAAGGCTTTGCCACAGGAGAAAGGTGAACAACGTGAATCAGTAATGGATATATCGTCATTACTGTCACCGAGTGCGTTGGCTCGGTAAGTATCTTCTGGGCGATCCGTGCAGAGGCGTGGGAGGATGAGGACCTTATTGAAGCCGATCTCAAGTCATACTTGCTGATGCAGGTCAGGCTCATGGGCAGCGAGTTAAGAGTTGCCAGAGGACACTTCAGGAAAGCACAGATTGATATTGAAGATCTATTTCATTGAGCAAAGCGGGATTCCTCTTTGACACAGAGTTAGCCACAATCTGAAAGAACCCACATAGTATCAGTAGTGTCGCTAGCGCCTGAACACATCTGGATCCGCGGAAAGTAACGGGTCATGGAAGGCAATGTCCCAGGGTGGGACAAGTGGGCGTATACTGTGGAAGAGTCTTGCCCTGACCCTCCGTCATATCTTTTGATCCTGCATTATCCATTACCCATAGCTCCGACCCTGTCTAAAATTCAACGAACTGAAATTGACGCGTCGTCACGTGAGAACTCAAGGCAGATAAAGCAATCATAGATACTAAAATAGCTCAAAAGATCATGTCTTGCTCAACTCGCACCTTCGTGATAAGGCTGAAACTTCACCGTACGGAGCTATTCGGGCCCGACTGTGGTGTTCTGCGGTGCGTTCTACTTTCCTCGCCCGTTTCATGGTAGCGCGAATACGCGCTAAGAACGCTTCCTCCCAGTCCGAGGGCTCAACGCGGGCCTAGCCATAATCCATGTCAGAGCCGGAAGAAGACGAGGAACTCATGTTCGTGTCTGAGCTTGCTCCTGCGGAGCCCTCATGGTCTTGGGTATGGTACCATCTCAGTAGCGCCAGTATATGGCACAGACCAATCTTTCTACCATCGCTGGTCTGCAAGTTAAACCATTTCGTACATTGCAAGTGAACGCATGTATCCTTAGTATTATCGTTGATGAGATGACCCTGATCCGCTGCACTTGCATCAAGGTATTCGTCATAATAGTCGCCGAAGTGGAAGTGACAAATTCGCCCGAAGGTGCTGCTCAAAGCCACAATGAAAACACTAGAAAGCACTGCGGTATTAACGACTAATCGCGGAGGACTTCGCTTTCTCGTTGTGCAAGGGTACCCACTCTCTTTTGAAAAATTTCCTGTTCCCCCGGCGCGTGATGACAGCTTCGGCCAGGTACTGAGCCAAGGTCTGGTCTGAGGTAATGGGACTGCTTTCTCCCGTTTTAGGGTCGACCCAGAGCTGCCCAAAAGCTCGCTTGGCTTCAAACAATGCGATAAATGGATGTGCCGCTACCCAGCCATGCGGTGTTTTTTCAAACTCGCACAACCCACCGTCGTCTTCACATATTATGTTGTCCACGTTGGCAATGGTGGTTTTGGTTCGTCTATGATCAACCCTGGGACAGATCTCAACGGACCTGTCACCTTGGATGAGACACAGTTGTAAGGCAAAGCTAGCAAAGTCGGTACCTAGACGTGCAGCTATGTCCTCGGGGATGCGGCGGCGTTCCTCGTACTCATCTTCATCAATATCTCGAGAGGCTGCATCTTCGTATTCAGATGAGGAGGGCTGCGTTGGAGAGGATGAGCCTGGGATGGCGACCGAGGAGTCGGCATAATGTGAGTTCGTCATGGGTCGTCTTTCGCGTTCAGGGTATGTTTTGGTTTCATTCTTCCTGTCCGGGTGGCATGCCAGGGCGAGTGAGACCCAGAAGAAACCACCAGGTTCTCTTAGCAAATCCCGCTTCGTTGAATGAATATCAACATCCCGAAGTAAGTTCTTCACCATGTCATGATCCAGAATTTGCGCCGATGCATTTTTTGGACTGCAAACAGGGCATGACTGGCGATGGTCTACTTCAAAAGCTTTTAAGTAGGAGGTGACGGGTTGAACTAGCAGTCGATAAGGGACCAAGTGGCGGGGACCCCAAGTGCTAGCTGAGCGGCGCAATTCGGTGGGGGTGAGATCCGCAAGGCGGGATGGACCGAATGGCGTGCCAGGTAAAGTCGCTAGTTTTGAAATGTCGCAAGGGCTGCGGGCAGAGTAACACTGTCGCATCGTTGCGATTTGTTGCATTCGTTCATATTTGTCTCGCGAGGGCGAGTTGGACCGACCGGGATGGAAGGAAGTGACGCCGCGGGGCGATGGAAACAGGGGCGATTATGTAAGCTCTCATGGGGTGATCAAACGCGCCAAGTCTCCTGAAAGGCAAACACATCCCAACCCCGCGAAGTCAAATGACGCGTCGAGCACGATGGACAACAAGTCCACCTCGCGGCAATCGGAAATCGAACAAACAATCGACCAATGTTCCGTGAATCCTAACGTTGACGGCTGTCCTCCCCGACTGGCAATGAAGAGACCAGGTTCCGACGTCGACTCTCAGAACGCGAACGCGAACACTTCTCCAGATAGGAAACGGCAACGGGTCTCGAAAGGCAAGCCACGGCGAGCGACATGGGATGCGCGACAGCCTTCACCGGGCTCTATTCTAGCCCTCATTCAAGGCGAGAGGAAGCAGCTGTGGGTGCCGGGCATTGCGTGGGGAGAGATTCATCTGCGGTCTATGGATGTGGTATTCGAGAGGCGGAAGATGGGCAAGACAACCAAAGTGGACTTGAATGGGGCGGCGGTTGAAGAAAGCGGCAAGTGGAAGGACGATTTTGGCCAGGGAGGAACGGATGCTTGCCAATGGGAGGATGAACGTTGGTGCAGGGCAACAAGGCAGCTCAGTTCGTATGGTGAGGAGGTGCAACGGTTAGCGGCAAGACAAGTTCTGGAGACATTCGGACTGGTGTACACAGAGTAAGTTCTACGAAGAACATACAGGTGGCAGGCTATGACGGCGGCGATGACGAGGTGCTGACGAATGGACAGGAGGCCGGCAAGCAGATGGAGTGGTGGCGAACAGCGAGTGAAGGAGAACGAAGTGGCGTTTCAATTTGGCGGGCAGTGTGTTGACAAGTTGCGAACTGACGGGCTCTTTGGGAGAGGACATCGGGGACGGTGCATGGCGTACATCAACTTCGACACTATATCTAGGTTGAGGGTCAGGTACGCGGACAGACGGTGGCATACTGGTCCGCCGGAGGAGAGGAAGCAGAAGAAATTGTCGATGAATCCGGTGGCGGCGTGGGAGGAGCCTTACGTGGTGGACGTGCTGATCTGCCTGGCGCAGGAGCAGGCTGCGCTGGGTGGTGAGGAAGGCGAGGACGAAGGGGGGTGGTGGGTGCATGTTTTGGGATTGGAGGGGGCACCGGCCCGTAATGGATATTTATACACGGCGTGGATACCAAAGGCATTCCTGGACAAGCTGGAGAAACCTTGGGAGGCTATTAAGTGTCAACGGGTTGTGGTTAAATATGAGGCGATCAAGCTAGAGAAACAAAAGCTGGAGAAGACGGCGCACCGACTATGGCGTAGCTTCAAGCGGAATTTCACCGACTTTCGCTCTAAAGAATAGCATAAGAGGGAAGAAACCATATTAAATTAACATACTCCTTGCTCGCCTCGTGGTCCTATGTGCTCTGCGCCCTCTGCCGCTGCTTCAAGAAAGGCTTCACGTCACAAACATAACGCCATGCGACGCCATCTGGTATGTCATGCTGCGTATAAAATCGGAACATCCTTTCTTGATTGCTTGCAAGCATATCAAGGTCAAAACAATAATCCAGAGTCACCTGCTGGGCCCTGTCATAGTGCCCTTTCTGTTCTTCAGTGCTGACTTGCGATCATTGCCACACACTGTATGTTCTGACCATATCTTCCCTCGATAGATCTAGACCGACGAGAGGAGAGGTTGGGAAAATCAGCCGCGGCGTAGACGGAACATTGTTGGTATCAATGCTCGGGAGTGCACAAGGATGGCAAACGATGGTAGGCAAACTAGCCGACGAGACGTCTGAGTCTCGTCGCCTCCGCTTGCTACGTCGCACCTTTTCGCGTTCTTTTTGCTGCCTCTCTTCTTGCTCGCGTTCATCTGTTATTACCAGACGACGGAACTCCTCTGGTGCATCATCGTGCCCATTGAAAGGCCTTTCAGCTCGTAAATGATCGGCAATCATCCTCCCATGGTGCGGTCGAAGGGGGAAATGCTTCCCGTTATGTATCCAACAATGGTCCCCTTTTGTACAAGGACGCCCAGGGCAGCGCACAAGAGCATATGCCTGCTTGATGCATGAGCCCTTGCTCAACCCAGCAGTTCTGGCTTCTAGGTCCGCTTCTTGATTGGCTGTTGCCCCTCCTCTCCCAGGCTTGCTGGTGTCTATACACTCGTAGTGGAATGTCACTGTGATGCTGACAGTCTTTCCGTCGTTCAGAAACTTGCTCCAGTCCTGAAGCTGTCTGGCAACGTATGACCAGTTGACATCTAATTTTGGAAACTCTTTGTTATTTTGCTTGCCGGGCGTGTGTTTATGGAGAGCACAAGCATGGTCTTCTCCTCCTTCCAGGGCTTCTTTGCACTTGCGTTAGCCACCTTCTGTCGGAGGACATGCTTCTAGAGCTCCTGTGGCGATAAGACAACATGCACCTCCGACTCGCCAGCTTGTCTTCTGTTCCTAACAGACAATTTCCACTCCAGATTATAGTATATCGTCGGCTCGCCATCGTAGGACCGGCCTCGTTTCCAGTCAGCGAATGGCACAAATGTTAAGGCCTTTCCGGCGGGTCTCAGCCGGCTTCTAGGGGCTGCATTTGAACGTTGCGACTCCTCATCAGAACTAAGAGCGGCGTGGACCTGAGTGTCACAATCTTTGATAGCCTATTTCCCGGTGAACAGCCTTGATCTTTCACCTTTGTGGCTGACACACTCATAGGCTCCCTCTTCGAGATCGTAATGCGCTCCGAAAAGGTGGCCTTTCTTACCTTTATTAATGAGATTCTCTGTTTTGGGTGGCCTTCTGTACGATGTGAGCAGTCTGCACAACCGTAGTGGAAGCGCCCGCTGGAATCATCGTCGTCCTGCCGCAACACCCCAAGCCACGCCACGAAGTCTTTCTCATTCGCATAGTGCTCCGTGTGGTTACAGGACTTGTGTATCTCCCAATCGACACTCGGATTTCCGAAAGTGAAGACCATGAGGCTTTTTTGCATGATGGCCAAGTCTCTTGGGTCGGATGCCAGCTCTTCAAGGACCAATCTGAGAAGAAGGCATCCCTGAGAATGAGCAATTACAATAACAGGATCTTGCTCATTCTCTGGCTTAGCCCTTTCCTTGGTCAAAGCCTTCAACAGCTCATCCTTCAGCAGACTTTCAGCTTTCTGGCTGCTCTTCGTCCTTTGAATGACGTTGTCTGTATCGGTGCCATTTTCGGCGCATCTCTGGCCTGCGCACTCGATCAAGTCCCAGAGGATACCGTCACCCCTGTTGAATATTCCTGTTATCGTGCCCAGATCTTTGTCTCCTTGTCCGAATCTGGCCTTTAGTTTGTCCAGAGCGAGCTTCAGCCATTGACTTTCACCCGCAATACCATTGATGAAGAACCATGTCTCTGGGGTATTGGTGCCGATCGAGTCTTGAATGACGTCAGTAATCGCGTCATCGCAATCGCTGTCGAGCCTTGTGTCCATAACAAAGTCGGCTAGGCTCTTGTCCTGGTCCCGGCCATGGAGAATCGATACGATAGATTTCAACAGCCTCTGGATTTGGCACATCGAAGCATGTCGGTTCATTGGTTTAGTCAGATCCAGCTCGTTGAACGCATTTAGATCGCAAACTGTTGTTCTTTCGTCCGAATCGGAACGGACGAAGCGTTTTACAGGCTCTATCAAATCAATGATAAAGTCTGCTAATTCCGCCTTTCTGCGAAAGACAAAATCAAGCGTTTTTTTGTTGATTGGGTTGCTGAGAATAGCCTCCCAAATTCCTGGAGCGAACCCCAGATAAGGCCGCCAAGCCTGAAGCGTTCTTTTCGCGGCTGCATTAAGAAACATGTTGACCGCGAGATCGCTGGCGCCTTGGAAGGTTTCCAGAGTTAACTGCAAAGCCTTGTCGTTGCCCATCAAATACAGGGTGCCCCTAACTGCGATTTCATGGGGCCACATTAGACGGGGACCCCGTGGTGGGGCGGCAGCAGCTCTCGGGGCCATGGCTTGAAATGAGCCGATGAAATCATTTTCAACTAGAGGTGCTTTTAATTAGCTTCGGATCATAACCGATGTCACCTGCCAGGGTAACTATACCTTCAATCCTCGTCTCGAGGCCATCCGCAGCATTTTTGACCGCGAGAATAGAGGATTCAATATTTTGGACCTCATTTTCGCCTTTTATATACTGAGCAGTGTCGGTATCATCTCGCATCTTGGCTAGAGCGGCATCAGCCTTTTCAGCCGCCTTGATTATAGTGTCGATATCTTGGGAAATGTCGGAAGCACTTCGGGGGTGATCTGGGGTATCATGCTCCACGGACTTTGCGCTGTCCTTGAGCATAGAGGCAGAATCTTCGAGTAGCCTCAAAGCAATTTTCCAATTGTCATTAGCGGCTCCGGTGAGCCTTGGTACGGCATGACAAAGATCATTGGCGGATTTCTCGAGTGTATTTGCAGAAGAGTCGAGAGCGCGACTCACGCGATCAGGGTAGCCAGACATTCTCGCTTTCAGGGCGGGGGAAGTATACAATAGATTGTGAGTAAAGGAACAGGTTGAGCATTCGCTTGAGGGCAATAGTCCTTTGGTTAAATATCCGTAATTCGGTGCCATGAGATACAATCACATGTTGAATTTTCAAACATCTAGTGACATAATAGACACTCGAGACCTGGATCTATTAAAGTCATTCATGATGTAGGCATGATTATCAACTTGCAACAGGGATCGAGAGCTGATGTCGTGTCTTAGAGTGACATTGAATCTAAACTTGATGCACATGAAAATTACTGCTTTCCGAGCGATCCGTTTTTCAAGAGGATTGAATTTATTCAGTACTTACAGTAGAGGCCGCTTTAGTTGGCGGGTTAGTTCCACGCTTTTAACTCTACAGGCTCATGGCATATTCTCTATGGACTAAGCGTATCCTGGGACATCACGCCATTGAAGATTGTGCCATCCGTTGGATAAGAAAACGTTTTGCTAGTGGCTTAAACCGGGTTTTGCCGTATGATAAATTTCTATCCCCACTTCTCATCGTATCAGACATCATCATGTGAGGCCATGGGCCGAACAAATCTCTACTCTTGGCACTACTCCACCGCCTCGGGACGGCATCTGCTAGGATCGCTGACATCCATCCACAGGGTCCTCACGCGGCAAGGTGAGGAAGCATCTCAGCATCCCCTGCTAGTGATCGATGGGATAACACCGCCTTGGATGGCCGCGGCCAGGGACGCTTGAAGGTCGTAGCGAGGGTTCAAAAACCGGTCCTTCGTCGCCCGGGATGTCCTCTGTAGGGGGAGTTCTGGGGGTAAGTAGGCCGAACTGGACTCATCAAGATAGAAGCGTGGGCTGGCGTATTGCCAACATTTCCGGCGGGGCGTGGAATGGCTGTGGGATGCGGCTTCATCGGATGAATTGATTGAAGTATTGATATCCTCACGGCTGCCGTTAAATGGCGGATGCCTCCTTCGGAAATCAAAGCGGTAGTTATTGCCGTTATTTGTCCCATAACTTCTGGCCGGCAACATTGAAACGGTTGCAGAGGTACATAGTACTCCCTGCAAGGTCTGCCAGCTGTGATAGATTAATGATGTAAACAAAGCGATCTAGATTGGTTGAGGTGCCATCTCGATCGATGCCAGACAGCGACGTCCAATTCAGATATCGTATACTAGTCATCGAGTGTGAAACGACATAAGATGAGAATCGCTCTTAGAATGCGAAAACTGGGGAGCATTTCATGTAATACGTCGGATTGCCACTTCTCTGGCCGGTGCACACACCGCATCCCTTGTGTTTCATTTCATTACATTACATCGTGTTACGACTCAACATGTGACTGCATGCGCCCCAACAAGGAGCCTAGTTTTCGTCACTAAGCCCGCCCGGATCATCTCCTGCGTCATGATCCGGCTCAGCTCGCTCATTCAATGGTCCAGATGATCCAGCATGGATCATCTAGATATCGCAATGATCCTGCTCTATAGAGGAGGCCATGCTTCACTATGGTCAGTCTCTACCTAGCTCCTCGGCTATCAATATTATAATGTCAACGCTTAGTTTACTCTTCGCACTCGACTGTGACCTGAACAATCGCCCGATTGCAGACGTCCTAGTGTACTGCACCAAATAGACTGAACTAAGATTAGCCTACCATGTAGCTACTTTAACCCGAACGCCACACCGTCGGACTACTCGGAAATATATGTGGACTCGGTTATCCCTCTGTGGAGGTAAATTAAGCTCAAGGTTCACGCGTGAGTTGTTAATAATCCCATATGCTTCGCCGCGGCCTAGGCAGGTATCACGGCCCGGAAGATCCGAAAAGGTGTGACGTTCGGGTAGACTAGCTACCGGGTAGTTAGAACAGATGTCGGTTTAACTATGATCTGAGTACACTGGATGTCGTTGACTTGAGCGGTCGGGTCACAGTCGAGTGCAGTAGAACTGATCTATGCGTAGACGATTGTATTGATAGCTAAGGAGCTGGTAGAGACTGACTATGGTGAAGCTGGGCTTCCTATATACTAAGCGAGTGGTCTGTAGTCGACGGTAGTCGACTGTCGTCTACGAGCGCCTTGTTGGTGTAGTCGACTGTAGTCGCCTGGCGTCTATGGTCGTCTACCGTCTACCATGCGTGATGTTAGGGCGGCGTGCGGGTGGCGTGTGATAGGTGGAAAAAATGGGGGGCACGTGAGAGGCGCATGCGGTCGCATATCGGGTCGTAACAAAAGGATGGGGGTTGATGCAGGTGAGGTTTAACTTCGTCATACCTAAGGGGGGTTGCACCACCATAAAATTACGCTGATAAGCATGGTCAACCTGGCATCAATGCATTGGAACCAGGGCCGGTGGGAGGAGGCAGAAACGCTTTGTGTGCAGGTGATGGAGACGAGCAAGAAGCTTAGGGCGGACCATCCCGACACGCTGACAAGCATGAACAACCTCGCCCACACTTGGCAGCGTATGGGAATGGTATTGGAAGCTACTAGATTAATGCGCGAATGCGTTCGCCTAAGACAAGGTAAGCTAGGCTTGAATCACTCATATACGAAGGCTTCTGTTTCTACTTTAGATGACTAGGTTGGCCAGCTCCAAATTTGATCACGGATTTTCTGAGATTGACTTTGTCTATCCTCTTAGTAACTAGCTCATAGCTTCCTCTATAGCCACCGCGTACTGTAGGTTCATCGGTTCCGAAGCTTTTGCCAATGAGGCATCATTAGTCCTGACGAGAGTGCAAGGCTCAGCCGTGCTTGGGTATAGTATGTACTTGAATCACGTGCTTCTCGGAGGGGTGAAGTGAAGCATGTATGGTGGGCTGCACATAGTAGGCACCGCAGGGCGATTTGCAAATGTGACGGCTACCTTGCACTCGTGAGTCCGGTCCCTGCTGGCACTGTATGTCTCCACTGCGTCCAAAAATAGCCGTTCTTATAATTCATTGTGCCACAGGAAAGCGGACAGTCGTTTTGGACCTCACTGTATGTACCTCTGGAGCGCATGGAGCTTGACACAGCCTCGCGCAAAGGCAGTCCTATTAAGCAGCCATATAGTGGCAAACACGGATCTAATTGGCACACGAGCTGTTTTGTGGATTCGCGCTTATGTAAGAAATCTTATTTAGGCATCCGGGTGCCCAACTATTAGCGGCCCCGGCCCAAATATTCATGTACGTGCAGATCGGTGCATGAACAGGAAGCTGCATTTGCTCCCAACTGTAATATTAATCTCTATTGCTTCGATACTTTCGGGGATGACATAAACCGCTAGGCTAGGTGAGAGCCACACCACCGCTAGTCGACCTCGTGATCACCCAACGACTATGCATCCCAGCACATGGCCATAATAGTGTATGAGTAGTAGTAAAAAGAAGTGCCTTGGTCGGAAAATTGTATTAATTCATTCGACGCCCTCTTTGCATAATATTTCTAATATATGTCCGGGTGTCGGCCGCCATCCCTAGCCTCAACGAACGTGCATTCGCTAGTACCCAAATCCGAATCTTGATTTATCGTTTACGAGCGGCCTCCCTTACGTGGAGCTGGGCCAGAGTTACAAATTAATGCCTATTTCACAGCATTCTCTTTTGACGTGAAGGTGGTTTAATAACTTCGCGACCGTACATTGCGCGAGATAGATGTCCAACCTCGCCCGCCGGTTGCCCGCCGCTGCATGGGCACGTGGAAATGTTATCCTAGACCTCAGATTCGTACCATGAACTACTGCTTTTATGTATTATTCCCGAAATTAATTCGCCCATTGCACGGTCGAAGCTATTCCATTGCGCCAGAGGAAACGCGACTCGTAGTCGCTGCTAGTCGGCAACGAATACCCCCGAAGCCCTCTCCTCTCCTTCTGCATCCGCCTTTGGTGCAACTGTGATTCTCGCCTGATTGCTTGGAAACGTCAGCAAGGCTCCATATAGCAACATTAGACTTACCCAATTCAGACGCCCGCAGTCGCATACCAGGAAGCACCCAGCTATACGTGCAAGCTCTCTCCGGGTAGCGTCTGCAGAGCCCGATATCTTCGCCTTTCGGATTGTGGTCGCATCTCAGGCGGAAATACTGTGGCTGCAAAGCGTCGTCGCTGCCAAATACAAGGAGTCCGTTGGAGTCCCACAGGGGCACGTGTAAGTTCTTCCTATAATAGCAACCCTGGAGACACTTTCGAGGCCGCCGCTGTCTGAATGTGAGATTGAATGCGTTGCTCAGCATCTTCCACGAATATCTCATCTCATGCCGTCCATAGATGATGAAGTCAGCTTGCTCATCTGTGTATGGCCGTCTCCGCATGTTCTGCGCCGCGAGAGCCCGGACGCCAGAGTCAAAGTCTGGGAGAGGGGGCAAACCTTGGGCTGGCAACATCTTGAGAGGTAGGTAGTGACACTACCTAGTCATTGCCGTTCCTTGGGTCTACGCCTGGCATCAGTTCCAATGGGCCGGCTGGGGGTGGTTAAGATAGTTCCGAAGCCGTACGTCCTCTTGTTCACCTTGGCCGCTTACGGGCGGTGTCTAGCTAAGACTTATGGATGGCTCTCGTCCAATTGTGGATATATCGCGCCTTGTCCATGAGTTACACGGTAGTATCCCCGCGCATCAATCCGACGGCTTGAGATGACGATACTGGCCGGAGGGCTAGTGGCTGCATGGAGTCTTGTGCTGAAAGCTGATTTGATTCTGGGTTAAAGCCGACCTCCCTCTAGTGAGTGTACCTCGCTTTGCTCCATCGCAGTTGATCAGATCACAAGCATGCCTATGGCAATGCGCGGCGCGATGAACACATCTGCCGCGAGACGCGTCAAGTGTCCGTCCGGATGGAGCAGCGTTGGGCTACGATGACAGACTGACTACGATGGATGGTCGAGGCAGTTCCTAGTATCATTATAACTCCCTGCCAAGTTTATATACTACGTGACAATTCTGACGTACTCTAGCTCCCTCCCAGATGCATCCACAAGCCCGGTATGACCAGAGTTTCTCAGGGTGTAATTCTAATTATGCTATCCTATACCTATATATCCACTTTGGACTTCGGCCGCACAGATGCGCATCTTTTGGTGAAATCGTTGGATAAAAGGAGTATCACTGGCCAAAGAAGAGATAATCAGCCGCGTTAATGAGCCAAACGGCCAAGGGCGTTTCGTTGGCCTTATTACACGGCTCAGGCAGGGCCCGCGGCAGGCTAGAGCCACTCCGATGGATACATCATGCTGCGCAAAGCAGAGACGACCCGGTATTTCCGGTGTGAAAGGCGTAGACCTACTTATGGAGCTGCGGTCGTCGGAGCTTTCACTCAGCGAATGGTGAAAGGGCCTCGCTCGGCGATGCCCTTTCCGAGCCGGTTGAGGCACGTCGTCATCGCCATAGAGACTGTAGGATTCTAGCGCCGTATGAGTCGGGCTTTCACCCAGGAGAAATCTAGTTGCGTCCATATGATAGCCTGCAGGTGGGAGCATGCAGTGGGCTAAGCCTCACGATGGCACGAACCTTGCCGAGATAGTACCCAGATGAAGGGGAGTAAAGTGCAGTTCGTGCAATAGGCGGTTGCGTCGAACACTGTTCCTCTTGGCTCTGCCTTAACCGAGGCGCCTCTTCTATCTCGCTTGCCGAGCTATCTATCCCGGACCTACTTTCTCATCGACCGAGCCCTGCGATTACTGGCGTCGTTCGCCGACGCCTAAGACGAGACTATATTCAACCTCTCAATCTCCGCACGGAAAATTACGCCTAATTTAGCGCGAGGGAGCTTCACCTTTCCGGCGAGTTCTCGGAAACTATTGTCGATATGCACCGCCTTTTTAAACCAGCAAGGAGGATTGACGGAAAGATAAACTCTAACTGGTCAATTAAATATTTTGTTCATAACATCGCACGGCCGCCAATATCACAGCAGTATGTACTTTAAGCTTCCGCCGCTTCCTAATGCTTGATTGAGGTCCGTAGCGGTTGGTCAGCACGTTCACTTCTTTGGGTCCAGCTGATAAGTACGGGAGAACACGCCCGTACATGTTCTCACGGACCCAAGCCCCGTAGACGAATGCCGTCCCCTGTCGGTATGACCGTACGGGGGACTGTAACGGTTACGCCCGACCGGTGCGTCATGGGCAAAAGATCAGGCATTGATAGAATGACGAGCGATCAATACAGGCGTAATAACTGGTTATAAGGGGTTACGAGGGACCGGGTGGTAACAGGGACCACACGTTGGCGATCTATCGTACCTGTATTCAACCATGAGATTGTGCTTGGTCCAAACAGAGCGAATCATAATCACTAGTTACAGAACACCGGTTCAATGCATCGCCGGCTCGGCTTGTGTAAAGATTCAACTATAGCGGTTGCCTTTCCTTTAAGTTAAAATTTTCCTTTTCTTTCTTGGAACGCTAACCACGAAGTCGGTCGGCTCTCGGAAGCTTAGCTCTTTGCGCAAATTATTAGCTTCATTAAGAAGTCTTGTTCTCTCGTCCTCAACACGCCCGAGTCTTCTACACAGTGATGTAATGTTCTCTCGCTGTATGTCGATTGTCACATTCTTCTCGCGGATCAATCCAAGCTTCTCGATGATAGTGTCCTTGTGCTGGTCGATCACCATCTTCTGGAAATCCACCCAAAGCCCCAGCTCGCTGATCCGTTCGTCCCTCTCCCCTCCGAGCTCGCGGGCTACAAGCCCGCCGTCCGAAGTATCGACAGAGTCGTTATGAGTCTGACGTATATCCGTCATTTCGTCATCCCCTGTGATACCATCGACAGGCCGGGGACCAGGGAAAAGGGCCGCGAAGAAAGGCAACCTCGGAGATTGACGAGTGGGATCATGTGAACGTCTCAAAGTTTCCTCGGGTGCCGTATCCAAGCACATCCTCAAATCCACCCGATTGTCCCGGTTCTCGGATCTAACAAGGACTAGCCGAGCTCATCACGTTCGGGGCGTGCCATGGAACTTATTGAACTCATAGGTAGGGAGTGCAGGACTAAAAAATGTCCGAAGTTAGACACGTGAGATTAGGCAAGATAGGGTGCTCCTCATAGTACGTCCTTGATCGGCTCTGCGACGACTATGGAGATGTGTACCAGAACTTCCATCCATTCCCGGAATAAACTCCCACAACAAGACGAGGACAACTAGTCAAGCCTAGGTCGCACTGCCGCCAATGCGTACAACAAAACTGTAAAGCAGTCAGCATGGGGTAAAGGTGCACTGCGCGAAAGGGATAAGCTGTAAAGCTAGGACGCTCATTTCTAACCAATTACAACCCAAAAAATCTATCTTTCTATCTTCTTTTACCAGAACACGGACTCCACGTAACCCGATACGCTCCACAGCCTCCTTTCTGATTAGTTCGATCCAGAAGCGATAAGGTCAGCACTATATCCGTCTTCGGTACCTGCAAAATTCTACAACGTCATGTCAGCTCTGCACAGTCACCGCCACTTCGGACCTTTCGCACGATAATTACTCCACCGCTCGATTGTGGAAGCGCCTTTTTTTTTTTTAGGTCTGGCACATTCTAGCTTTTCACGTAGCATGGACTGTAGACAACTTGTGAGCCGGGTCAATTCGCAGGGGAACCTTGTGCACGGTCATGGGGCCTAGCCACCAACGCCCACCTGCCATCACCCCTTTAGCCATACGACTCGGCTCGTGCTGGCCGGAGGGACAAGGTGGCGGTATCTGAGCCACATCATGAGGGTGGGTCAACCGTGCTGACTGGAGTCCAAGGATAGCTTTGCGACGTGGCTGCTCGAATACCGTCAGGAAGAGCGCCCGAAATTCGAAGTGCTCTTCTCGACCATCTGTGTAGTCAAACTTGGAATAAGACTGGAGAGGTATATCAGCGTCTTTTTAGCTCTAACCCGAAAATATTATTTATAATCACTACGTGTCTCGGATTCGATATCTTCTTGAGGTTTAACTTTAAACGATGACGGCCCATAAGTTAGTCAAACGTAAGTTCAAACGGAGAAAAAGGTTCAGAGATGAAAGTTCGCCCTATATTGTTTTCAGTAACATACTTGACCAAGAAGAAACGCGAGACTGCCAGATTTTCGATGAAGAGCCGGCACGCGTCGTATGTGGGCGGATATATTGGCCAATGACGAGAATCACGGAAGTCCCAGAGCCAATTGAGCAGTCGAAAGTCTCGTAGAGGGACTAAAAAGCCTTCTAAATAGATAGGAAATACTAGACTGACTCTTTACCACTGACCTTTGACTAACGGTGCACCTAGGCGCCTTTGCCGATGATCCATCATCATGCTGATCTGTAGAGAGCAGCCGTACACCTTCAGGTCTCTGATGTTGGCTGTAAGATTATGCTGTTACAGAAATATACGCGTTCTTCCTGGTCTACCGACGAGCTCAGAGGGACACTCACTTTACCTGGACATGACGGTACCCATAAGAAGGAGAGTTTGTTAAAGGGAGACTAGGTTTCTTAGCTTTGAGTAGCGAGCTGGGGACGTAGCGAGCACGGTGCTGTGCAGGACCAAGTGGTGCGTGTATTGATTTATGGCGAGTAGGAGGCCCCCTTCTTATTTTCTAGCTAGATATAGGATGTCCAACATTAACGCGCTACGATGTGACTATCGATGGCATTGCTGAAATTATGCATGAAGGGTTGGCATCGTTGATATCCAATATGCAAGGCAGAATGCACCCGTACTTAGGGTAGACTACCAGAAAGCTATTTTTGCCTTTAGATCTTGTATTGACTATGATAAGTACAGTGCACTATATCTCTGGTGGCTCGTTGTGCCCCCTGGACCCTGACGGCCGTGTGAATGCCGCAGGTTGCTCTTATCTCTATGGAGCGAAGCTCTCTTTCAAAAGCATGGCATTTCTTGTCTCTCACTTTATGATCCTGGGCACATGGTACGCGGTACTTAAGGTGATTGAATATCAAGCTTTCAACTCAATAAAGATCATGCTCTAGGTTTATTGAAGGGCCGTATTTATATATAAACGCAAGGCTGATTTGATGGCGCCTTATCTGGTTTCGTCCCTCCGTCGTATTAATGAAGTAGAGCAGAGATATGATTTGTCTGGTGTCGGCTATCAAGAATTCACCTAGCGGATACAATATCTTTAGAATTCCTATGCGCCCACTGCAGCTACTTCTAGCCGTTTGGGTCCATATTAAGTGTTAGATCCGTGGCCTTTCCTGCTCAGCACATAAGTAACCCAGCAAATTAATATTTATGTCATGAAAAATCCCCCTCTGATCGTTTGAGAGCTTAACCGTACTCTTCTATAGGAGTCCGGCTTCTGTGATTAAGGCATGCAATCTAGTTCACCTTCTAGCTCGTCCTCAAGTGAGCGATTTGTTTACGACAAGGAGCTCTTGCAGGATCGGGAACGAAACCTCACTCAAGAACTCTCTCGTTTAAAATCAACATGGATGCACTTAGAGAAGCTGATCAGTTATACTGGGACTTGTGTCCATGATATCCAGGAGGCATGCAAGAAAGCCCGCTTGGAGATGCAGCTCCAAGAGAAGACATGGCTAGCAAACTGCACGTTTTTCTAGGAAGTCCATGGGTGCCATGCCGTTTAGAATCATTTTTCGCGACCGTTCTCGATCACATGTTGTCGCTCGGCGACATTGTGCACCGTCGTCGACTAGCGAGCGATGGGGGGGCCTAAGGTGTGTATAACCGTAGTCTACGAAGCGATAGCATGCAAAGACAGACTTAGCTTCTGAAAGGTCCAGTCTTCTTTAAGGAGCTGGCTAATGTACTATCGAAATACTTTCTAGTTATGATATACGGGCTCATAGCCCGCGAACATGTCCTCTGTGCATTGGGTTTTCACTCCGGAAAGTGAATTCTCGGCCGGCACAAGGCGGCGCGAGGAGATACGTGTAAAGTAGGTATTATTTCGAGCCTAAAGAACCTAGTGAGATTTTTCCAAATTATATTACTGTATAGTCAAAACCGTCCTAGGATACCGGCATGCGAGCAGACGACCAATCCAGCGCTACCATCCCCTACACACCCATCTCCCGGCCACTCCCCCTCTCTCGGAACTTCGCGCGGACTGCAGGTGATTCTAAAGTAAGAAAGCGGTCTAAATGCATTATTGTATGTCTTGAAAGTGATATCGACGGTTCTTTGAAGGGCGATGTCTTAACAAAGACCCGGTGTAGCGGCTTTATAGACTGAACGTATTTCGGGGTCGAACGCTGGGTGGATGTGATCGGTATGGATCACCTGTCATATGCCATGTTGTGACAGCGCATATGTCAAAATGGTCAGCCATGGAATTGCCGTTTTTCACAGCTCTGCTGCACCAACGCCTGTATGAGAGCTTGTTGGGTCTCTGCCATTTGCCCAACAACACGTTGCATGTTGCTGACATGAGAGTGTTCGGTTTTTAAGAGGGGTATGGTGTGTTTAAACCACAGATTCCGCTCGCGCAAGCACTGATGGTGGTCCATCCAGTATTGCGCGCGCAACAGATCCTCCTCGGAGGCACTTGCGTGTGTCCCAGGGTTGTCTCGCGCATCAGGCATCTGTGCAGCTTCTCCGGAGCAAAGTACTACCAAAAAAAGGGTCGTCCTCTTGATTTGGTGCGGGGTGGCATACATACGATAGTGAAGTAGTGGCGCGGCCTGATCGGTTTGCTATTTCAGGCTGATCTAGTCAGGGTCGTACAACCGCAAAATGGCCGTGATCCCTCAACATTCAACAAGCGCGTCTCTTTTCAATTCTCCTCCAAAGGCAGACCTGTTATTCGTCTTGATTCCGAAAGCGGCGTTATTAGCTTAGGTTTTCCTCACCCGCGTAGATCGCTTCTAGTGGCAGGAAGTATGCTGGTTCTGTGATGGCCTAGCGAGTCCGTTATGTTCGAGCTGCGCAACCTGTCTGCCTGAGCTCTGGCGTGCCACTATGTCCGGCAGATTCTCATAGATCATGTTTACTAGCCGAGTCATTTGTTATTGCCAAACTCAAATGGCAACGTTATCTTCCAAACCCAATCAATTCAATCGCACGAAGGTCTCTGACCCCAGCCAGTCAGTCAGAAGGTCTCCCTAGATTGGATCTGATTGATTGAATGGCGGCCCTGCCACCACCTTTCGAGTGCCTGGCGGCATTGATATGCCGCACAATACTTGATGTTCCGATGGAGAATGGAGCTTCAAACGTTCGCGGTCATGGATCTTGCACCTATGGCAGGCTTCGTTCAATGATCTATTACACTGCACTTTTTTAGCCCGGCATTAATCGGAGGTTTTTTTCGTTAACATAAGACAGCCAATTAGAACAGTTCGTACGCTCACATACTTTTGAGTAGGTTGGTCGTGCGTCGATCTCAGACAGGACTGCCAGGATTGTGAGTTATGTATTTGTGGCCATTGTTAGATTACAGCTCGTGGTCCGTCTGTTGATTGACCTCCGCCTGAACTAATCAGTGGTGCTCTACAATAGCAGTGATATAAGTCACCATATCGGATGAGCCAATGTGGTAAATAGGGGAGTGTTCTGCCACAAGGGTCATTGCGGCTGGATACCGGGACACGTGCAGTATGAAGCGTAAAGGTTGTGCGTGCAAAAGGAGTGAAGATGTCGTAGACCTAATTCATGAGAGCCATATTGAAATCTGCGAGTGAAGTATCAATTCTGCATGGTTTGAATCGTTCCGCGCAATAGGATCTTCCTGACTTCAGAGATCATCCGTCAGCCCTCTCACCGTTCTCTCTCCGCATTCCAAAGCTCCGCTACTTCACATTTAGGCTCCTAGCATCGGGCTACTTGGCGCTTGAAGGCATACACTCCATGAGGCTTGGGGAAAGATCTTTAAGGAGACATAGATACTGATTCATAATTCAAATCACTACGAAGCGTTAATAACCTGGTTGAGCGTCAGAGCAGAGGCTTGCTGGGGCTTGTCCCACAGGATATATGATACATCGTACAACCCTCTATATGGCCTGCACCGAACGCCCCCTAAGGCCAACATTTGGTCATACGGATCATCCGCCTATACTCCGTTTTCGTCCCACTTAGAGGTGGCATTTCGGTCACGATAGATCACGAGCCCACGGCAAATCCACTCGGTATTTGCCAAATCTCGTGCACACTCACGCCTTGGATCCTGCCTATCTCCAGTGGAGTACCTGTATCTCTTTGCGAATGCACCGTTCGAAGTAAAGAAACCAACCGAGAGACCTTCCAACCTTCGGGAACTTGACAAGAGACCTAATGATGCATGAGGGACACCAGATCCCAATTGGAGAGTACTGTACAATTGTACTTCCAGGTAGGATTCCGCATCGTCAAGTGCACGCCAAATAAGGACCCCAGGCAGTCCAAACAAAGACATGGAGGCCGCTCTAGCCCGCTCGACGTCATGTTGTAAGTTTTGGCGATCTTGGAAGCGGTCAAGATGATGAGCTTTGCCTTATGCACTACTTTAACCTTTACGAATGCGTAAACCCTGAGCATCAAGCAAGTGGTCGCAAGCACCCCGTCCTACCCGGCGACTACCTTATTCTAAAGCTTCCTCGCAGACCTAATCTCAGGTTCTCAATCGCACACAATGACCCTCAATTCAGGCGGTGAGGCCGCTTCCCAGGGAAGCGAAGATGGAAATGTCGCATATCTTGTGTATGCTCCTTCGGGAGTTCTTCTCTTCATATGTCCGATTCTATTGATCCTCCGGCTCTGGGTTCGATCACGGGTCGATGGGAAGCTGAAAGCCGACGATTTGACGGCCTTGATTGCTTGCGTGAGATCCGCGTACCGGTGGGAGTCTTCAGAGCTGATGTCAGAAGTTCTTCGGATTGCTCACGAGCGCCGTGTTAATAGCTTGTAAGCATTTCCAGACTATCAATACCGGTCTCTTAAGAGCCATGGACTGACCCATGCAGCGTGCCAACACGGCGTGGGCCGTCACTGGGCAGATCTCGGTGTGATTGAGCGAAGAGACTCGCTCAAGGTATGTCGAACCATTCACACTCCCCGCTACATAAGCTGAGCGATACTGGAAGTATCTCTACGTCTCGCGAGTGATGGACAAGTTATCGCTTGATCTTGCCAAATGCAGCGTCGTACTATTCTATCTCAGGGTTTTTGGCAAGATTCGCTGGTTTAGGTGTTGCTGTATCTGCCTCATGGTGATCATCGGCGGTCACTGTTTCGCTGCGGTCTTCGCAGTGCTGTTCCAGTGCCAGCCTCCTCGGAAGGCATGGCGCACGAGCATCGACGGTGCATGCATCGACAACGGCCAGTTCTGGCTCGCGAACGCTGGATTCTCGATCGCTACGGACGTCATCATACTCATGCTGCCGATGCGCTTAGTGTTCGCTCTTCGCGGACCTGGGCTGCGGCGAGTAGCATTGACTGTGTTGTTTGCGCTTGGACTCTTCGTTCTAGCGGCCTCGTCTCTACGTATGATGAGCATCGATGCATTAGCGACGACTTCAGACATCACCTACGATATCACCTATGTCATGTGGACTATCATCGAAGTGCAAGTGGCCCTCGTGACTGCCAATCTATCCGCACTTGGGCCTCTCTTAGGACTCTGCCACCAGCTCAAGGGCAGAACAGGCAGATATCTAAGCCCCTCGAAAAGTTCAGACAAGCGCCCTGGGGTGTCCCAAAGTCAGTGGCCGCAGCCGCACCATGCGGATCATTCCGCCATGTCCATCGTTATCGAGCGTAGCGGCGAAGCTCATCCGGAAGCGCCGCCAAACGGAGTTTTGCAGACAACTGAGTTTAGTGTTCTATATCCACCAGCGAGTGATGACTCGTTGAGGCGCTGAAAGAAGCATGGGGAGGGTCCTCGTCAGCACCACTCACCTCGGGGGCCAGCGCTAGAGATGTATCGTCACTGGCCCAACAGTTCCACGTGGACGAGAGGTTGTAGAATTACCACAGAGGTGTTTTGAATATAACCCAAGACCTAGATCGGCGAGCGGCCACGCGCTCGTGATATGATTCAATAGAGGCTCTGGACCACGCACACCGTGATTTGATGCCGCTTGTTGCTCTTGCTGCTTATGTAAAGTTCTATCTCACTCATGACTAGAGGTAATGTTGTCTTTCCATGGACTAGATATTCATATCCTGTTCGGTGCAGTGCTTGATGGCCCTCCACAGACCTAAATACAATGGAAACGTCTCGGGCTTCGCGCAGCGTTTGCACCGTCCTATCTAGACCGCAGGTGCGCTCTTGACAGGATTGTCGTTGAGGAAGTTGCGACGCGGGTGTTGTCCTCGATACAAGAAAACATTGCAGGTCTCAGTTGCGTTACATGTTGGCCTTTGCAATACTGTACGTATTTCATTCAATTGACTCTGATTATCCTGTCCGCCCGACAGAAAGCGCTTAATATATAGATATTGAGTACAATAATATGCCTTCACCCTGTACTCGGCATCGTAGATCAGGCCGCGCAGAGACATTGATATCGTCCCCAGCTTCGCTTCATCGATTTCAAGAGGCGATACCGAAGCCATGCCGTGGAAGGTACACAGAGAACTTTTACTCCTACCAAGTCACAACGGATATTTGACTCTTTGCACCAGACGTTATCTTCTGAGAACCAATCAAGAATCATACCGCGCCCAAACAACCCGACTGACAAAATGATAGCCCATAAACCAAGCTATGTAGTACATCTCTCGGTATCGAGTGCAATCGAACAGCCAATACGTGACCATGAATAATAAATAGTCTTCCTCATGCTAGCACAAGGGCTAAGAATGGCAAGAATGACGGCCTTAGAGCGCCTTTGGGTTACGCGTCTTCGTTTGAGGCGCTGTAGATGTTATTCAAGCGACAAAACGCGACTCCGAATGTGACCGCCGAGAGGCGGCACGGCGCAGCCAAAAAGTACATATTCGCTTCTCGATGACGATTCACAATGCATTTCTTCTCTTAAGCGTGTAGGTTCGCGAAACTTGACTCCTGCGCCCCCCGTAGACAGTCGCCTATGGCACCCCACCAATTGCGTCGTAGTGGCTGCGAGACCATACCAAGCGGAGAATTCGATTGGCGGAGCAGGTTTTCTGCGCAGATTCAACATGTGATGGATTTGTACGAGTCGACCATTAAAACATCCACAGTAGCCGCAAGCGAAAGATCGATCAGCTCATCGGCCAGTCTCTATAGCGTAGTATCTGACGAGGAGCCCCGCACTACCAAGCTATATGAGCATCCCAATTCTGCTATAGAAACTGCAAATTTGACGCCAGCGCCATGTACTAGGCCATCGGATGTGCGATGGCACCCTGACCGACCCCTGGCTCGCATTAGATACAGTCAGCCCAACGAACGAAAGCCCTACAGCCTCGCGGGACGGTATTCAAGAAGCATGCTTAGCAGCGGGCGGCGTCATTCGCAGTCTGGCCAAAGCGCGATCAAGAGATCAATGGCGGCTATCCACAGAAAGACCAAAGCCCAGATAGTCCTGGCTATTAGTGCAGTACAGGACTCATTTTGTCTGAACGCGGAGGAAAAGGCCTGGTTCGAAGAACGACGACGACACTCCTGAGCCTGACCCCGCATATGAGTATAAGTCAGGTGCGGGTCTTGACTGACGACGTATATCACGAGAGTCGTTCTGACCCAGGCCGCGAAATGAAGACGTCAGAGCAAGTCTAACCTACTCTTAAGGCTCGTGATATCACCGGTCAGAATTCCGTCCAAGAGAGTTGTCTATAATCCTGGGATCGAATCGAACCTGTTGGCTTAGCGTGACAAAGAGGATGTGCCCTTATGCTGATCATATGCAAAGTCTTTCGTACTCGGGACCTACTCAAGTATCTGTAGGCGCCAATTACGTACGCATGAATTCAAATGTGTGACGGTGAGCATATCTCACTCGCGCGCTGGGCTCGGAGGGGGGGGGTATTGTGCCACACTCGGTCACTGCGCGGCATGAGCGCTGGGAGGGCTCAGTATCTCGGACACACGGTAGAGGAAAGGAAGGGAGATATCCCAATTAAAGGGAGCATGAAGCATGGGAGGATAAAGAGCTCTAGAGCGTAGAGCATACATATGTGAGGAGCATAAATAGGGCTCAAACGCCGCTTCTCTTTTGCAACAATGAAGGCGCTTGAACAACCTGATTCATAACGCATCACGGGTGAGCTCGAAGCCTGGTTTCATAAGGCGAACATACCATTAAAAAAACCCTGTATAGGTAGACGGATAAACTGTTTAGGGATTCATATAGATATAGAGCTTACTCGCTTATTATAGATAGGGCAGTAAGGCGCGAGAAGCGTTTAAGGTTAGCCTTAGGGTGGTACGACCCGTCATGCGACCGCATTTACCCCACTTTCATCACGGTCGTGCGCTATGCGTACAAAAGACGATTGTTGTGTGGGTTTGAGGCGGCCCCTTGGAATTTTTCGCGTTTCAGTATGAGCACATGGCTATCCGTCATTCACAGTCATCGTGCCGTAGTTCTTTATAAGGAGCCTTACTTTGGGGTTTCGAGTCTAGAGAGCTGGGATTTCACCGAAGTTAGGGGGCAGCCACTGGTATTGAGCACTTTATTTTTATTCAAATAATTGAATATTGCGGAATATACACTGTTTCCTTGAAGGATCAGTCAGACATAAGGTTCTATGATTCTCTAGGGGATGTTTTCGTCCTGGCCAAAGTGTTTATGTCTCCTTTTCCTTTCCGCGGCGGCATTCCTCCCTCATTTCTCTGGCCACATTCATGAATCGGCCTGCACCGATGCCCGTTAAGATGTGCCACCAACCGTGAAACTCGAGCAGCCATGGCCAAGGCAGTCCAACCAGTTGCCTAACATTTCGAAGCATGGTACAACACTCAAGGTCAATGTTCCAAAGGACATACCCAACTAGACATGCTCCGAGAGACGGCCACGTCCGCTTATTCCAGTCACGAGCCTTCTCTCTCGGGAACCCCGGTTCAGTCCACCAAAATAGATACTGAGCGCGACAAGTCACGGCAGCGATTCAGACAGAAAAGGCAAGGACGTGGTAGAGGATATTCGCGGACCAGACGTAGAAGACTGAGAAGCCGAGAACCACGGCGGTAAGGGTCACTGAAATGGCGCGAACTTTCGAAGTAGATTGCCGTATGCTGAGAGTAGCCTGGAGCACGGACCAAATGATACCGATCATGGCAAGCTCGTCGGCATATTCAAGAGTCTGGCGGAGCGACGCATGGAATAGGAATGAGCCGATCCCGAGGAACAAAGGGATATAGACATGAAATCCCAATTTGGTGCGAATAGCCCGCGGCTGCCCGAGCCGTACATAGATTGGAGAGCAGGGTAGCCTATGCAAACGTAAGTATTTATAACTCAAGAGGAATCAGAGTCGACGGGCCTACTGTAAGCGAGGTTTGTAAGCGAGTTAATAAACTCGGCAAGGTAGAAAGTCACGATATAGTCCTCTTCGCAAAAGCTTTACGTTTGTCAGTCCTATATGATTTGAAGGAATATGAAGATGCTGGAGAGTTTGGAGTGGGTTACTCACTTTGCCCTACTTGTAGAGGGGCTATATGCGCCGCCATTAGCGTTGGGATCATTGTGGAAGGAGATTATGTGATGACCTATTACGGCAAAGAAATTAGAACAGTCCTAGTTGCGGATCGTCGATTCTTCGTCAGTGGCGCCAAAGGTGGTTCCAGACGTCAACAAAAGGGTCAAACATTGACCAGGAGTTTGGCAGGTGCTGCTGCAATCAACGTGCGTCGTGATGTGAATAGTCTCCCCTTTGGTAAATAGGGTAGCGGAGATAATGCCACAATGAGATGAACACAGCCGAGTGTCGACGTCCCGGCCTCCAAAGAAACACACAGCTCATAAGCTCAATGGCAATCTCACGGCATCGAATAAGGGGGTTTTGTACCGTCTCCGGCAAGACTTCGGCGTCATGCGGCTCGCACGTGACCCACGGGAAATCTCCATCTTTCTCCACCAATCGTAGCAATCACATCGATCACCAGCAAGAACACCATGAACTGGGGTTGATGAAGAGAGTGAAATGGTGCACAACGTCGCGGTCTCGCTGCTATGTATTGCGAGTACGGGGGTCCTTTGTGACTGTATTAACCTCTTGGTCTTCCTAGAAACATTCCACGGCTGTGACGACTATTCACCCCTGTGCACGTGACCCGATTGGGGCTTACTGTGCCACACCCAGCCACAAGTTTTCGGCCCCAACCACCCTGGGGTCCCGCGATAACCTTGGCAGGCAACATGCGTCTGGTAAGTGATGACGCAGTACGGAGGACGCTTTCAAAAGACTTGTCCTGTCAGACACTCGTTGCATGCCAATGTTGTTGCAGGCTGGGGTCGCTAGCCCTGTGCACAGGGAGCCCGATTAGGTCACGTGCATCAGGGGCCACCGATGGAAAAGCCGTCGCAGCAGTGGAATGCTTCTAGGAAGATCAAGACATTAATACAGCAAGAACCCCGTACTCGCAGCTAGCTAGCAACGCCCTCGCGACGCTGTGCACCTTTTCACTCTCTTCATTGAATCCAGTTTCTGACATGTCCTCGGCTCAGGAGGCGCTAATTAAGGGCTTAACGCGACTACTTTAGCGTTACTTCGGTCGCTGACTAAGACTATCAAAAAAACGTGTAGTGCCTCTGTATTTTTTGCTCATGAGTGATATTACTAGCGCCTTGGCAGGACATTGCTTTTGACAGTGTCCTCCGTATTAGGGAGCTACGCTCCACTGTAGCTAGTTCTACCTAGCTCCATAGCATTTAATAAAATCATTTACGTATAGATTACTATCTACGATATAAAAACTACCGTATAGCCAACCTCTTAGGTTAACGATATCCTAGTATACTTAGTTTATGAAACCGACTTTTATTCTATTTACCCAGTAGCTACTGTACACCCGAGCGTCATACAGAGGGCGTGAGCGATATTAGATAAAATTAATATAATGAGCAGATACGTACTACTATTTTGTTGGGGGGAATAGCAACGGAAGAGATGTGGTCAGAGCCGCAGGCTGCCTTGTTGTGACGTTCGGGTCAGACTAACTACAGGGTAGGTAGACTGAGGTCGGTTTATGATCTGAGTACACTAGGATGTCGTTGACTTGAGCGGTCGGGTCACAGTCGAGTGCAGTAGAACTGATCTGCGTTGACAATTGTATTGATAGCTGAGGAGCTGGGTAGAGACTGGCTATGGTGAAGCGTAGGGGCTTCCTATATACTATGGTGATCACGGAGTGATCACGGTTCCTTGTAGGTGATCAGAGGTGATCAAATGCAGTTGATCGCCCTGATCATGGTGTTGAGTGCAGTGCATCAATGTGATCAGTGTGTGATTGGTGGAAAAAGAATGGGTCATGCGTGAGGTCACGTGCGAGACGCATGACGGACTCATGCGGTCGTATGTTGGGTCGTAACACTTGTGTAACCTCGGTTCCCAGCGACAACCGCGTCGTTGGAGGTTGAGGCTATCATAGAGGCTGCCCACGCGGCAACAATAACACAACAACGCAGATACGCTCGAAAGAATAATGGAAGAGTATTACAAGGCTCCTAAATAAATAATGCGACGGGTCTGCAGGGTCGCCAGGACCGCAGCCGGGTATTAAAATAGCGCAACTAGCTATATAATAACAAAAGGTAACGTAGTTTGAGTAAAGAGAGGCAAAGATTAATTAACTAAGGTAATAGAGCGTAAGGCTCCTTATCAAGAACTATGGCACGATGTGTCGCACACATCACAAAGTCTGTATCGTCCACACTACAAGGTTTCTTCGCCGTCGCCTCATCCAATTTCGGTTGCAGAAAACGGTCCCAGAAACTGCGTGGCGACTCCGTGATACCAGTTTCTGATTCGCCTGTCCGCCGTCGACGATTGATGGACAATTTCCACACTATATAGAATCGTAGGCTCGTCTTCGTCTGATGTCTCAAAGGTCGCCAGGCGTACAGGGGCTTCGCCTGCAGGTCTCAGGCCGCTTCTCGGAGCGGGCGATGCGTGCTACGTATCATCAGACCCAGGGTTCTGGGTTGGGTCGCTTGAGTAGTCATCATATTCGTCCATAGTTGTAGTATCAAACACAGACGCAGCGAACTCCCTCGTTAGCTCCGGCAAGTTCGCTCCAAGAGCCTAGTTCATCTCTGCCCATTTCCATACGTTTCCATCGCTTCCTACGCCCCACTTCTCCAACTGTCACGTGAACATGTGGTTCAATACCAGTTTTGCTACCCGGCATCTCATCAATTAAAACTCAGCGCAATGGATACTATGAGGAATGTAATCTTTCAAAGGTTGATTCGAGAATAGGAGGGGAATCTCAGCTGGGGCAATCTGGAACTTTATCTTCTTCTAGATCCAGTCCGGGAGTGCCTGAAAAGCCGTTTGTAGCTTTTACAATGTGCACCAGTTTAAAGAGAGTAAGTGGGCCTTGAATGTGGTTTTGCGCAAAACAATACATCGCAATTAGACAGCGGAAGTCGCGGTCTACCAGGCCTTGGAAGAGCCAGGAGGTTCGGGCCAATTGGGTCGTCAGGGCGTAACGTGGACTAACAACCTGGCACGGTGATTGGCTCTCGACTTTCGTCTGGCTTGCGTTGAGCGCTTTCCTGCCTACACATATCCACATACTAGCTATCGGCGTCAGTCGGAGGCGCCTTGCATTGAATTTGCGTTCCTAAGAGCTAGATTCCAAAGGAACGTATTATTCAAAGACACCGCTTCGCTACAGGACCAAGCTCCCCTTGCTTTTCCGACCGCCAAGTCGCGTTGCGTATGCAATCGGAGCAGATTCATTCTTTCGACATCTCGATCAGGCTTACTTCATACTTGATGAGACCTTTCAATGAAAGAGGTAGATTCCGACGTGATAACTCGTCCACGAGATCCTGTACGGTTTGAGCCACTTGATTCCCAAAATACCGCGCAGAACCCGGCGGCGGATGCGATGAGTCTTTAAGGCATTCATTTTGGATGAAATCGAAGCTCTGCAGCAGACTCGGATTCTTTCGAAGAGCTCTGTGCCTAGAAGGAAAGAAATCACCCGAAAGCAGAACACTTCGAAGGTCGAGGAGTATCCCGTCCTGTATTCTCGCACCATGTCCTAGAAATACCAAAGCGAGCCCCCGGTCGATACTCGGTCGCTGAATCCCGACGAGTCTGCTGAGGTGGCCCCCGAGAAAGCCGTCGATTTCGTAGCCAACCCTTGCATCTCGCCCACATCTGGAGGCGGCTTGTCCCAGAAGGCCCAGCAGGGCATCACAGAATACGTTCCTGTCATCGCGCATAGATGGAGTGACTCTTTCTGCCACTGTGACGTCGATGAGTCTGAAAATCTGGTCCAGACTCAACCGGCCGGACAGCTCCCAGCCCGCTGACTGGATAAGCCATCGCCCAACGCGATGATCTCCAAGCTCACAGCAGCGGAGTAGACGTCCATACATGTCTACCCCAAGCATGATAAGCGTCTCAACCATCGGCCCTATCCTGTGGCTCATAGCAAGATCAAGCGGCGTACAGCCGGGCATCGTCGGCCTATTCACATCGATCCCGCAATTCCTGACGAGATGTGTGACGAGATTGGGAAGGCATCCCTGCACCGCAGCATGCAGGACGCCAAGGTTGCTTTTGCCGGTACGTAGAGATGCGCCGCGCTCCAGGAGAAGAATTGCCGTTTTCTCTCTTCTGTTGATGATGGCCTCGAACAGGGGTGTGCTGGTCATGTTGGGAGGGCCATCCGCCGGAACATTATTGTCCAAGAGAAACGAGACGACGAGATTTCGCCCTCGCTTCGCCGCCAGATGCAAAGGAGAGTAGGCGATAAAGTGAGGCTCTGGAGGTAGAGGGCATAGAAACCCGTCCATGCCTCGGCACTGCCATAGTTTCGCCCCCCCATGCACCGCAGCTCTTAGGGTGCCCAGAGCCACGGAATCGTCGTGACAACGAACAATGGCAGAGAAAACGGAGAAGGAGCCTAGTTTCTCGCAGTCATTTCGGTAGAGCACTTCGTTGCATACTCTGAAGAGCTGTCGGCAGGTGAGAACAAGGGCGGCTTGATCTCGCGTGGAGCATAGGCCCGCGATCATTTGGGCGATCTCGACTGGCAGCATTGTAAACATTGTGAAGTGCGCGGTGAACAGTCTTCATCGCGGCAACCGAAGCAGGGACGTCAACCCACCACTGAACAGAACGAGGTCTTTTGCCGTCAGAGTTCGGCTCCTTTGTACCTGTCTTCCATCGTCCTACCGGTTGAGAAAACCGTGGCCATTCGCAGCGCCAGCTCTTGTCCGGAACGTCAGTGCGGACATCATCCAATTCCGGAGTGGCCACAGTTGGCCTAGATAAGCATCGCCGACGATCTGCCCATCCGCATGCCGCAAATGCTCCAGGAGCTGCAGTACCTGATGCGTCTGTAGGCTATTCATCAACCTGTGATATTATACCCCGTCCTCTATGTGCGCGTCTGCACTTCCCTGCGCCGGTCTTCGTCCGTGATACTAGGCATTCCGTCACGCCCGTACGTACCGTAGCACCAGCTTCGTCCTTCGTAGCTTCGGTGATGCGCAATGAATGTATCTCACTTCGATGCTGCCGGCAGTAGACCAACGTCCCAGTCGGAGGCCATGGGGTGCGAGTAAGACTTGTGCGATGCTACTAAGCATATAGGAATGACGAACCACTCCCCTTGAACATTCAGCACGGTACGGACATCAGTGACAGGACGCTTGCAAGGCCTTTGGGCCAATGGTGCAATGTTGCAACAACGGCTACGCCCAGGCTGTTGCCAAACCAGTCACTCACATATCCCCAGGAATGACACACGGGATCATCCATACTTGTTAGGCTATGAAGGGCAGCATCGGCAAGTTCGGCCCATGTCAGGAACTGGCGCTGGGCGGTACCATCACAGCCCGGAGCGGTCAAATGAGTCTCGCATTGAATCGAACAAACAAGCGAAGGGCCAAAGGAGGGCAACAATTTTGAATTATCGGCGGTCTATTTCCGCTGGACGATCGAAGCAGCAAAAGAGGTGAGTGACCATGACGAGGACGCACGGGCGGCTCCATACAGCACCTGCAGCTACTCATCACGGCCTCACCTCCCGTTCTCCCATGCCAGCAGCTACTGTGCCTGTTTGGATCGCTCGTCGTTCGATCAGTGCCTGATCTTGCACCTTGCGCTTTGACTGGCATTCGTTCAACTGGTCGCCCTTGAAACCCGCAGGCTATTCGCCCAGGGCAAGGTGTCGCAATCTACGGATAGCGGGGCTGCAAACGGACCCGTGGGGTGTTATACAGTACTTCTGACCAAGATGGACGGCTACGGATGGACGGGCCACGAATGGACGGCCACGAATGGACGACTACGAACGGACGGCTACGAACGGCCGGCACTACGAACGGACGGCCACGAACGGCCGGCACTACGAACGGACGGCCACGAACGGCCGGCACTACGAACGGACGGCCACGAACGGCCGGCACTACGAACGGACGGCTACGATTGGCCGGCGCCACGAACAAAACGCGGCACGAACAGAACGCGGCACGAACGGACGGCTACGAACGGACGGCTACGAACGGACGGCTACGAACGGACGGCTACGAATGGACGGCTACGAACGGACGGCACCACAAATAGACGGCTACGAATGGACGGCGCCACGAACAGAACGCGCCACGAACAGAACGCGCCACGAACAGAACGCGCCACGAACAGAACGCGCCACGAACAGAACGCGCCACGAACAGAACGCGCCACGAGTCGACCAAGATTAGACACGTACCGTGTGATCAGCGTAGCGTGGCAGGTATGGCCTTCCTGGGAAGAGCTGATCGGGGACGGTAATTATGTGTTCCTGAACGGGACTGCCGCTTCTTTAGCATATTCGGGCACGATGTTGTCCGTTCTTCGTGTAGACGAGCCGTCATTGCCCGAGGCGTTCGATTAGTTCGTAATCGGGGTAGAGCGAGCAGCTATTCAATTCAGAAACTTTCATGTCGGCCTCGACACGGATTAAACGATGTAATCACTTGGCAAGCCCCTACTGTAAATGCTCACCTTTGCCATACTGCTATATGCAGTTTCTAGTTACTCTCTGTGGTCTCCGAGCTCCTCTTAAATGGCAGAGTTAAGCTATTAAAAACTGCCATCGGATTCGCAGAAAGCGGCAAAGAACTTTAGCAACTTTACAACGACTTTTGTAATGGAGATCTAGAACAGACCATCCGTGTTTTGGACCGAATCGAAACTCAAGGGATCCCCCCCGCCAAAGTCAGAGCCGCTCTTGATACCCGGGAATTGCAAAACCTTCTGGAGAATAGCTACTCGACGACTACTGGGCGGGAACGCGGCACTGGCGACTTCGACACCTAACTCGGGAAGATCTGAGGGGGCTTTTGAGGAGGTTCATGGGTTAGGATAGTATTAATTGTGCCAATCCAAGGTATCACGTTGAGCTGCTTGATGGGGGGCCCAAGCAAAAACGCTGAGCTTTTGTCCGCGCCGGTAATGATTCTGTTAGGGTTGTCGTTTGCTAAACAGCTTTAGGCGAAAGAGTTTGGGGAGAATCTGCGGAAAATAGGTTTTTGCTCCGCGTTCTACCTAGTCGTGAGTCTATCCGTGAAGGCGAAGTAGCCTACAAAGCCAAGTTTCAAGGCCGAACTCTCCACTAATAAAGGCACGAATAAAGCATAAACGCGAAGGGCAAAATACTAGAGAACCTAAGAGCTTTTACCAGCCAGCTATTAGATTGGTCCCACTCTACAGAACTAAATATAAACGTGTCTGTCTCCGCTTGGGTACGCGCAGCGGTACGAGTGTCAACGCCCCAGACGGTATTGATCACTTAAAGACCCACGGATATTCTCGACGGTAGGACTCGGGCTCTGGCTTGGCTTCTTCTCCAAAGTTTCCAAGATCGACAGAATTTTCACACTTTCAAGTTACTCAACACGGCAAATAGAGCATCCTGCCCTGCGCCGAGTGACATTCGTAGAACCAAACACAAAGGGAGGACGCTATAAAAATCACGTGCTCTCCTTCGGTATTAATCCAACGGTCTTAGTGATAGCATGGACATTCAATTTGCAAGGATCGCGAGTAGATATTAATACTCAGGATAGCGCAGTAGTCAGATTTTGCAAAAGCGGTATTAGTTAAAACTATATAGTAGATTAAGCTCAACTCTATATGACAACCCAGAACAGACCACTTGGCTATTGCGACCGGCATGCGATCGCATGCGCCTCTCACGTGCGGCCCAGTTTTCCCTCCAATTACAACAACACAACCACCATGCGCGAGGACGACCTCACCCTGAGCCTACGCTCCTTCGACGACGTATGGCTCACTAGATCACGACGCTCCCGTGCACCCTCACAATCGCTACTAGTATATGGGAAATTAGCTTCACCATAGTCAGTCTCTACCTAGTTCGATAGCTATCAATACAATCATCTACGCATAGATTACTCACTGCACTACACTGTGGCCCGACCGCTCGTCAATGACCTTCTATTCTACCTACCCTATAGCTAGTCTAGACCCCAATGTCACAGGAAAGCAGGAGAGAACAAAGATGCAGCTGGGAAAAACTAAGTCAGCGCCCGACTTGGTGTGGATGGCTTTGATCCACTAATATGGCACCTCCCTAAATCCCCCTTGTCTAGAGTTTGGTTGATCACATCCTTCCCAATAGTCCTGTTGACGAGAGCGTATTGACAGCGTTTAAAATTGGTTTGCGTGCTTTGCGTGAGTTACAGTCACTGTCGGCCGCTTGCCACCAGGCAGGCTCCTGGAGCGCTAGAAGACGTCCGAAAATTTGCGCGACGATCTTGCCGCCGTTTCATGACGTCTTCGCGGCACCGATAAGGCCATGAGGCCACCGCTTGTCGACATAGAAAATATGGCGAAAACAGGGCGCAGTGGGCGCCCAAGATGATCGATATTTATAACTAGCGCTGTTTTGAGTCGCAGTTTCGATGCTTATATCAAAGACAGGGATGAATATAATCGGGCAGCCGATCTGTTTGTTTCCGCCAACACCGACTTCAGGCACAATCGCGAGGTGTGTAGCCGCATTGGGTCTGCCACTCAGGTTCAGTGGTCCGTTTTGCACTTTATTAGGTGGCCGCCGCCAAGCCTTTCTACACTGAGAAAGCGTAGCGATGCCTATGACGGTTTGGCATACTGTTGCACGTGTGCTACCGTGCAAGAACCGCATACTGGCCGTCAATCTCACATCAAGCATTTGCTTAATGGGAGCAAGTGGCGCAGCGATGGACATTGGCTGGGAAAGGGAATGGAGGCGTTCTTTCAGAAACATCCTAAAAAAGACCCGGTGAAATGTCGCTGCCGATCAGGCGTGTTTGCCTAAATCTAAGGATTTGAGCAGTCGAACCATACCCTGTCAAGGTCGCAAAGACATGAGCAATTGGGCGTAAAGGAGGTGACGGAGGATGGAGCGGGTGCTCTCGCTCTTCAATGGCAGAATGAGCAGCTGGTGGTTGCTGAAGCTTTTCTAGTAGAAGAGGCTGATTGAATTACTCGGTGTCGTCTCGGGCCCATGCCGCCATAATGGAACGGAGGAGAGGGCACGCAGACGGGCTTCACGGATGGTGCTGGTGCGGCCGGTGAAACTAGGTGACGACCGACTGCAGGACCGGGAAGAGGGGATGGGAACAAGGGAGACCAGAGTCAGCGTTGATGGAGCAGCCGCAACGCGTAACGCGGCTTCCGGTACCGGTATGTTCAGCTTCTCATGGGTCGGATAGTCCATGAAAAGGTTACCAATTCCGACCTGACTACAGCACGCCTGGCAAGGTGGCTGGTGATTTTCAGCACGGTGCGCTTGCCAGAGAAATAAAATGGTGGTATTTGTCGCAAAGAACAGCCATCTGGAGAGGCCGGTTGGCAGTAACAGACCTTTGGGAATACCACTGGAGTCCGACCCGAAGCGTGGGCCACCAACTTCCCTTCCAGCATCCGCAGTGATGATAGTAAAGTCGACGATCTTTGTGTGGGTAGTGCCCAGGTCTTTCGGTTCGTGGGTGGCTGATTGTGCGTGTGATCCACGACGACTCGTGGGCGAGATACTTGGACGCCTCCGCTGTGTTATCGTCTTCCACAATATCCCGCAGCATAACAAGCCTTGCGTCGCTTACAGATATCGTGGCCGCAGCATATTATTATCTATGAGCAACCATAATTACGGTAAATGTTTCGTACGTTTCAATTCAATACCGGAGTGTCAACACCGGGGCATTAGTCGGCCACGGTCTAGGCAGCCACGCCACGTCCCATCGCACTGACGGGCAGATTCACGTACTTGCTCAATGTTGAGTTAGGTGCTTGGGGGCGCCTTAATGCAGCCAGAGAGATTGAGCAGGTACCCTCCGTACCGCAAGAGACCCTTCAACAAGCCCCCACGATGGCACGGCAATGAATCACTGCCCGCAGGCTCACCGTCGAACCGTACAGACACGTCGCCAATGAGGGATCAGTACGTGGATGTGACATCAGTGGTGTCGACGGACGTGAAACACCAGCCCCGCTGTTAGCGCCGCTTTTTGAAGCCATATACGTCCATCCCTGGCCCTCGATTCCAACCCCGCTCTTACTTCTGGATTCCAACCCCGCCTCTGCCTTCTGGATCGCAACCCAGCGACCAGGATCTACGAAACACAGGTTCTAATTCCACCTGGCCCCTACTTAGCGTAGGTCCTTGTTCCAAGATGCATCGACAAGGTCAACCTATTTTCCGACATATTCCCCAATCAAGAACAGATCTCTCGCCTAAATCGTGCGAGGCACTCGACAAGGACGGTTCAGAATGCAAGCGGATGCTCCAGAAGCCGCAGTATGACTTCTGCTCTGAGCATTACTTTGAAAAAAAAAAGCTCTATGCGAAGTATAAGCAGACACAGGCCGACTACGAGGCCCGGCGAGGCCTAGCCAGCAATCTTAGCGTTGATGCCATGGAAGAGATAGTACGACTTGGGGACAAGGTCGTAGCCATGAGAGACGAGGTCAATCGCCGTTTCTTCAGCAGGGGGGCAGGAAACAACAGGGGTCATATTCAACAGATTCTGAAGATCAAGAATGAAGTTGATCGCCTCAAAACCCTGATCGCCTCGCGACAACCTGAATCGACGAATTTTGCGGCTGATGAAGAACCAGCCTTAACAAGCGCAGCAGCGACAGAGGGCCAGACTAGGGTATACCGGTCTCTTCTTTCCCCTGACGTTCCCCTGTCGGAACTCAATCATCTCCCAAGAGACCATCCCGTCGTCATTATAAGGGAATTTACAGACGCCATCCGAAATTCTCAAGTCGACAAAATCTACAAGATATTCCCATCCTTGAACGATTCCACCGAGCTTATCCATGATCCAGAGGAGGGAACGGAAAGAGCGCCAGACAAAGGTGATCTGGTAATTCACTATATCTTCCGAGAATTCTTGGTCTGGACGGAAAACACAGAGGTTCTTGCGATAGCAAGCAAGACCGAGACGATTGATACCTTCCTCCGCCACTCGACGACGGAGCTGGACAACTATATCAAGTTTCTTGAAGCGTTTAAATCAGGTAGACCCGATACCTCTCATTTTCTTCGGGATGCGATTTGCGATTATCTCTTGCCTCAGGATGCGCCTTGCATCACCATTCTCGGAGCTAGAATCGCATCCGAGCCCTGTCAGCGAAGAATGGGTATTGATGGATGGGATATCTTATACCAATATTTCTCCCACGAGGATACATGGAGATACCTTGAGCAGTACAGTGTCATGTACGATGATCTGCTACTGGCCAAAAAGCTATGCACGCTGCATAGATACGACAACCCAGGAGACGAGGGTCCATCCTGGCTACACCCTGATGATGATGTATCTCAGGAATGCGGAATGGCTCTTCTTTTGGGTTTTGTTGCGCAAACAAAAGGCTTCTGTGATCCAAAGAAGCCATTCACTAATAGGGTCGACGGAAGTATAACGGAAAAACAAACCCGGAACTACGTGGCCGGACGCATGAGCAAGAACGATCCCCTGGCACAGAAGCTTATCCAAGAACTTTCATCGAGAGTAGTGCGATTACTTGTCTTCGTATATGACCGAGAGACAAGGAAATCTATTATCGAAACTGGAGATATGGGCCATAACTGGATCAGTCGCACTCGGACGGCATGCAATCAGAAACAACTGGTAGACGCACCGTGGGAAATCGAGTGGTCAGTAAAGAATATTCTGGACGACCTGGAGCTCATTCGATCAATTCGTGACCGAATGACGGGCAGGAACTACTACGAATTCATCATCATCGATAGGAACGATAGGCCAAAGTTCGACGTGCTCGAGTGTGTGGCAGATGCACTCATGCAACTTTCTGGGAACTTGTCGGGCCAGGGCGTTCTTGTGAAAACTGTCCGGGATGTCATTCCATCTGCGGAGCAAGATAGGTTCCTGAAGGCAGTAGTCGGAGAAGTCCCCCCCTCTTGGCGACTGTCCACAAGTGTTCCTCACGTTGAGTACGAGGGTAATCGACTCAGAGCATGGGATATTCAGAGAAATCACCCCAACATTGTTGAGGACAAAAAAGACAAGCACAGATGGGATAACCGAGAAAACAACATTCTATCAGGAATTCTCTCCAGTATGGAAGGAGCCGGTGTTATCTCCAGAGCAGTGAAATTTGAAAGACCCCATGCTACCGCGAAACTGCTGATGGCAGTCGACGGACACGAGGATTTGTATTGGGACTATTCATCCATCTCTGGCGGAGCGCTTGAATTCAATACTCGACTTGGCGAACTCAGACTCCACAACACCGCAAGCAAGGTACTTTGTAACGCAACGTTAAGTCTCGACGGAGACGGTCTGCGCCGTTTTGCAAAAGCTTTCAAGGACGGAAATCCAGCTGCTGTGTTCGCGAAGGGCATGATTCACACAAACTACTGCGCGTGGCCATTGCCTCATATGAGCGACAACCCCGTATTCGCTGACCTCAACTTCTGCACCCCTGACGGTCATCTATACAAGTGGAAGAGTCTACCATTCGATTTTCCTACATCATTCGAATCATGGCAGTACTATCTCCACTGCGAAATCAATTGCAAGCTGCCGTTTGTTCGAGCAACCCAGACAACTTTCATCATCTGTGCCTCGACTGCGGCCGAGGCAGAAACTAATGTAGACAGACTTCTGGTTGTTGCGGAAAAATTAGGTTGGAGGCTATCGTTTCCTATGACTCACCGGTGGACGAGTGAATTGAACGTGCTTGACGCTGAAGTGTTATGGAAGGGAATCCAGCCGCTTGCAGCACAATTACTGTAAGGCATTGATACATACGATTGTTTCAAATTGAAGGCTTGTGCAGGATACCTATCAATCTTGATATTTACTTGCAGTCTGCGAAGCGGTACCAAAAGCGCAGGGCCCATTTAAGGCCGCTGGAATTGGTGCCGGGAATAAGCAAGCAACCCAGCGACACCCATCCGGGAAGGAGGGTACCTGTCACAGCGGTATGCTTGACCTGCAGCTACTTTGTTTTTGCTGTGGCCTTGTAGTGGCGGCGGACACGAGATTGACACGCGCGGGTTTCAAGCTCGGCTATTTTCAGCCGCTCCATTTCAATAAGTAGCTCTAGGTACTTATGTGTACATCCGTATACCGTTCTGCCCAAAGAGCATACGTCTGTGTGGAAGGGGAAGCCGCTTTTGATCAGTGCTATATGTTAGGTTGGGGATATCTTCCTTACGTATTGAATAGCAGCCGAGGCTAAATTTCAGATCACATCCCCGGGATCCGTATGAATGTGTCTCGAAGCGGTAAATAACCTCGTGTCTCAAGAATAGTTTGCGAGCCCTTGATCAAGCACATCAGACTTCAGATGCCATACCTCGATAAGACCGCTTATGCTCGCGTTCACAGGGAAAGAGAAAATTATCATTCTTAATCACCGCACATATATATCGACGGACCAAGTCTTCTGTCCACTTACGGCTGTAGAAAAAGCCACATTAGTCCTCAAAACGACCTGGGCGGCTGACGTGCGATGATTTGTGACTGATGACCTGATAACAGACCCTCCGGCCTCTAAAGAGCCGTCTTCCCCTTTCGTGGAGATTCTGATATTGTAACGTTCGTGCAACGACACGGAGACCTGTTGGCCGTCTGAAGCCAAAGATGCTATCTAGTGCTCAGTTCCGGCATGTGCAAGTACGGAAAAGGTGATTATGACGTGAACTTGTTAATCTTTGTGAGACTTTCAATCAGTGGAAGGGACTGGATTTAGGTCTCGCGGATTTGGGCGCCATTCTATTAGATAGTAAGTAAAAGGGAGCGTCTTATGCAAGCCTTTGGGGTCGTTACGGAGAACGAAACTCTGGTGTCTTGCTCGGCGAGGTCGCCACGGAGACGTGGATTTATCATGTGAGTCTGTGTTTTCGATTGTCTGGAGCCATGCTAGATGGCTAAGCCATACATATCCTGAAGCTCTTGGTTCGATTAGTCTTGGCCGAACTTCCACCCAAAGTGACCCTTGTAGCCCACTGCCTCCCTGTACACGTTGATGAAGATCGAGCTTCCAAGCAGCCATAGGATGGCACGTGATCCCATAACCGACGCCGCCATAGAGAGAGCAATGCCTTGCCAAGGGCGAATGAGTGGGGCCGTCGAAGTGGCAGAATACAGAGACAGAACGCTGTGATGTTATCATAAGAACGGGCAACTGAGAAAGGGGTCACTCACAGGAGGACGAAACGGGCCGTTCGCGCCAACAAAAGTCGCAACAACCACCACATCCAAGCGCAGGCCATAGCCATGCCAACTACGTACAGCCTGCGGAATGTTCTTAGAATAGACATCTTTCTGTGCTCATTTATCGAATGACTGTTTGTCAAGCGTAGATACAGGCACTGGGCTAGCTTCGGGGGGTATAGCAAGCGCGCTAGTGTTAGGTTCGACAACAGAGTACGAGCGAACAGAATAAGAACGATTCCGAAGAAACGCCTCGTGTATCCCTCAACTACGTTGGAGATGGGCAGGTTCGAGCTTTGGTGCACGAAACTTTGTGAGTCCGGCATTATGGCCTTCTCTTCTACTATGCATGGATCGCTCTGCTGCATCTTCTTTCGCAGCATGACTGAAAGTAAGTCGCAAGTGCATAGTGCTAGAAGACGGGTAGTGCGAGGATCTCGATACTTAAAGTAGAAATAGAGGTGGCTAAGTATGCCAAAATGCCAAATATTGAATTCAATTCAATTATTCTTATCTCGTAGTTGATGTAAGGTTGCCTTTCTGGCTAACCTCGGCCATGGCCGGGACTGGCTCCTAGATTTGCCCCGGTCGTGAGGTAGGGCAGTGTCCTACGGGTAAAAGGTATATCGATAGTGATGGAGTGGTACTATAGATCTCCCTAGCCGACTTTTCGATTAGCTTATTGAGTAAATCTCAGAACGTTTGCGCGCTCCAAATCATGCCGTCGGTGGCGCGATGGTACGTTCAACACCCGTTCCGGAACCCTGCGGTATCGCCAGTAATGACACGCTTGGACGAAAGCAGTAGGGTGGGACACCGGCACGAACAACGTGGTTTATGGACTCCGGACGTAAGTTCTCCTAATCGTGAAAAAATCACTCGAGACCAAAGCCGGCTTTCGAAAATACGCGGGTTGGCAGTGCCGACTATTGAAGCGTCGGACCCCCCACAACTCAAGGTGGGAAAGTCGAATTCTATTTAATAAGAAGGCAGTGTCGCCACAAACACACTCGACCTCTCTAACGTACTATAAGCAGAACAGCATGAATCACAAATCTGGAACCTCGCAAATTGACTCGACTGAGAATCTGTCGCATTCATATGTACGGTTTACTCCTCGTGACTGGATAGTATCGTGTATAGACACCCTTATACATATTGGCTTGTTTAATACGTCTCAACCGCCATTCACACCGGCAAACTTAGAATCCCGCATGGCTCATTCTTCAGACCAGTCTTTTAAGGCAGCAACAAACGCAAAAGACAGAGCAGCAATAACTAGCTGGCGGAGCGTAATCTCTCTTCTATCAATAATTCTCTCGGCTTGGTCGTTTTGTAAGCAGAGGCTTGGTCGCCAATGCATTTCTAGAAGCGCCCTTGGGTAAGTATCTCCCTTTTGGATCAGCAACGCAGCTCGCTGACGAGCAACAGGAAGGCTATAGCGCAGAGTGGAACCTATTCCAAGGAATGTTTCGCTGAGTGGGGCCCATGGATTCTCCCAGCTGTTTTGTGTTACTTCATCTTTCCCTCGGTGACGTTGCTCGCTGCTGTCAGTGGTGGCTACGGCATCCACCGTATGCAGAGATATTCGGCCATGGGTCGTAGTGCTACTTAGATCCTATCGTCGGCTGCAATGAAATCATGGCTGGTATGTATACCAAACTTACGCATGCAATAAGATACACCTCGGGCATTCTTGACTGCCTCCATTCCTATAACAATATGGGACCTTTGCCTGTACGGATCTGTCTCCCGTGGATGTCCTGTGCCGTAGGGCCACGAATGAGCACCTAAAGACCGGAAGCTCCTATCTGGAAAGAGATGGGTCGCCATCAATACTTTAATGCTTTCATAGCAGTGCATGGCCTCGCGCAGAACTCCCGCTGCGTCTCTGCTCATTGGTGGCGTGGGACTTTGTGCCTTCAACTTGGCTCGCCGTGGAGTAGTATAGCATTGCACACAGGGCTCCTTTACGGGTGACCTATTACGTCTTCCATGAGCTACGATTAGCTACAGCAAGTTCTCGAACGCATGAATAGTTTGCGTATTGTTTATGACCCAGCAGATCCTGGGGGCGATTCCTTACGGCTTAACCCTAAACCCCGCCTGAAGTAGGCACGATACACTTCATTCGTCGGTAATGAAACTACAAAGGTATTATCTGGGTCTGCAACACGCCTTTCTACAGAAGCATATCGAGTCAACACATAGCCTCTGAATCATGGGCGAGACTTGATATTATAGAGGTATAGATTTATACGTCTTGCGCCATGTAGATTGATCACTTGATAAGCGTTCTTGTTTATATAATGGAGTTCAAGAAATTTCAGTATCTGTTTTTTGACTCGGGTACCACACGACCGATGTGGGTGCATCCTCGTAAGCGACGATGTCTCCTTCGGACCCCACCTCGCCTTGATGTCTCGGCCCGCCTGCCTTTCCGAGCTCGTTTGCTTCCCGGGACATGCTCCATGCTCAACTCCTCCCCAACGCCGCTGGAGCTGCACTGTGTTGATACCACAAGGGACGCCTAGTGTGAATCACCTGCCTCCAAATCAGCGTAACGTCACAGGCTTGCGTCAAATGCCACCAACGTTTCAGTCTCAGCGCCCCCCCACGCCCCTTGCGTCGGCATCACAGGGGTGGGATAAGGATCCACGGGGGATGGGCTCGGCGAGTAGCTAGTACAAGAACTCGGAAAGTTTAGATTCGGCAGAGGGTCTTTCGTTTCTTCGGCCTCGTGGCATTGATGACCAGGTTTGACCTCGACCAGCGCTGGACATATCGTGGCGTTCAACCCCGCGGCTTGTTTCTGCAGGCAATCCACGTATTGTCCCGCCAACTCGACCCACCGGCGCTTCCAACTGAGAACCTCATCATCTTTCTTGACTGCTTCGATGAGTTGGAAGTACTCGCGCTCCAGCGCTGCGTTTTCCCTCTCCAAGTTTTCGCAGCGCTCGCGTAGATTCTGCTCGAACCATTGTAGATTCGTCTCGAACATATCCGCGAACGATGTCGTTGCAGGCTGAGCGGCTGTGTGAGCATTCTCCATGATGACCGACGTGCGCAGGTATGTTCTGATCCCTGGGGGCCCCTCGAATGCAGGACAAGTGATAGAAGAATCAATTATCTCCACCAATGTCGGAGGCGCGTATGTCTCCGTTGTCAAAGTGCCTCCAGAACTGGCCGTCCGACTTGGGGTTCCAAGAGCGACAGCGCGCACGATGTTGATATCGCGGTATCCCGGCCAATTTCGCCCGCAATTACTGCCCCTTGCATCACAGAAGACAGCCTCTACCCTGCTCGCTGTTTTTGTTGCAGGATATGGTGACCCCCAATTGGCTGATCGTACGGAAAGCTCGTCTGAGTGAGCTTATGACTAAGGTCTAGTACAGTATATGTAGCGGACTGGATAGACTTCTTTAGCAGCTTACCGTTACCGGGATGCAAGCGTTCTGAACCAGGACTCATACAGCTCGTGCTTGTCCCCATTGGTAGCCTTGAATTGGCTTAGCCATTGCTCTTCGTCTTTTTCTTTTGCTGATCAGCATGGTTCTATCCTCACTCACCATCAGCCAGATCATCTGCGCTACCCTGGTCCCCCTCGTCTGGGCCCTGCTCCACGAGCTTCTGTGCTCCCCTCTTCGTCACATACCTGGGCCTCCGCTAGCTCGATTCACAGACCTCTACCGCGCCTTCCTTACCTATCGCGGGGGCGTCGAACTTCATTTCCGACGTTGGCACCGCGTATATGGCACGGCCGTTCGCATCGGCAACAATGCTGTGAGCATCAACGACCCGGCCCTTATTAAGGACATATACGCATTCAAAGACGAGTGGATCAAGGTTCCACCCCCCCCGTTGCTTGAGGTATGGAGATGGCTGACGAAACAATAGAGCGACATGTACCGCCCGAACGATATCCTCACCCAAGGCCAGCGTCTCCCAAACCTCTTCAATACCCCGAGCAAGATCCTACACGCTAAGCTCTCTTCTCCTATTCGTGGCTTCTGGTCTCTCAATAGCATCCTCAAGATGGAACCTCTCATTGACGAGACCACCTCTCTCCTCCTCTGCTCGCTAGAGTCGCGCTTTGCGGACAAGGACCAAGAATTCTGCATGATGGATGAGTGGCTGACATACTACGCCTGGGACACCGTCGCTAACGTTAGCTTCGGGCGAGCCTACGGGTTTCTTGAGAGGGGCGAAGACGTTGACAATATCATCGCCGAGTCTACCTCTGGGCTCAAGTACTTTGCCTTCGTGAGTCAGGTCCCTGGACTGGACGATTGGCTTGATAAGAATCCAGTCATTCGCATAGGGCCGAAACCCTTCCTGAATGGATTCCTAAAGGCCGTCGAAGTCATCTCCGAATACAAGCAGCGTGCTTCCTACAGCGAGTTCAGGCGGGGGTCGACCCAGCATTTTCTAGACAAATACAGCGCTCTAAAGGGTACTGTCGACGACGCTCAGATCACCAATTGGCTGATGCTCAACATCATCGCCGGAGGAGACTCGACAGCGGGCGCCATGAGGAGTGTGATCTACCATGTCGCCAGGAATCCACAAGTGCAGGTGAAACTCGTTCAGGAACTCGACAAAGCAGGGCTTGATATCCCGGCCCAGTGGGGGGATATCAAGTCTCTTCCATACCTGGATGCTGTCGTCCGCGAGTCCTATCGGATTTCGCCGGGACTCGGACTTGTGCTCGAACGCGTAGTTCCTGAGGGAGGCTTCGAGCTGCCGGACGGTCGTTCTCTCCCCGGCGGTACAAAAGTCGGCATCAATCCCTGCGTCGTGACACGAGACGCGGAGCTCTTTGGTCCGGACGTGGAAACGTACAGGCCGGAGAGGTGGCTGCGGGAAAGCATGGAGGAAGAGGCACAGTTTCAGACCAGGTACCGGAAGATGATGCAGGTTACAGATTTCGGGTTTGGGGCCGGCACCCGCGTCTGCCTCGGCAAGCACCTAGCAAAGATCGAGCTATACAAGCTGGCTGCGACGCTCTACAGTACATTCGACGTGAGTGAAGCCAACAGAAGACATGCAAAGGCGCTAATCTCGATTGAAGCTTCGTTTGAAAAGCCCACAACACGAGTGGAAGACCTTCAACGCATGGTTCATGTATCAGACAGACATGCCCATGATTATCAGCAAGCGGGCACAGCGGAGAAGTTGAGCACGAGAAAGTAAACATTCAACGGATCAGAAGTCCGCTGAACCTGGCCAAAGGACCTTCTTCGCATGACACGAAGTAGGTACATGATGCCGTCATAGATAGGTACGATCAGCTGCCAAGAATCTACGAACGCGAGCCATTCTACACTAAGACACGGTATAATCAGCGGCCGCCTGGCCGTCGCCAGAGCTTCGTTCCTGTGAGGTTGGTTGAAATTACATATACATGGTATAACAAATCCCCACGGCTAAATCTAGATCTTCGCACCTATACCCAGTAGAGCTCTGAGCATGTCAAAGACCCAGGGCATTCACAACTTCCAGCTTGCAATAGTGATACCTTGGTCAGACGTTGCGCCTCAAAGCCGGAAATAAGACGTCGCAGCCAATGTACACTCGGCCAGGCCCAGAGGGTGTCGAATTTGATGAAAGGGAGATGACTACACAAGCAACATGTTGAATGCTCACTCATTGGTCAATTATCTGGTCACTATGGAACGCAGACTGATGCATCTTCAGCTGATCCTACCGGATATGCACGCAAGCAAGCGGACTGTTCGATCCTGATCCACCAGTGCGGCCTCAGACACGTTTTTTTATGCCTGAAGGCCAGGCTAGCTTCATAGAGAGACGTAAGTGGCTGTTCTTCTCGGTCAACCCAAAGCTGCTGTTTGAGGATCAGAATTTCTATATGAGATACCGACACGGTGACGTTCCGTCTGTGTTGCCTGCAATGGGTCACGTGCCCGTTCACGACTCGATCCAATCGCTCGACGCCCCGACGCGCCTGGGTCGAAGCATAGTGCATGAAGCAGAGGCACGCATCGTAACATTGTCTTTTGTTCGTAGCAGGCTTCTCCGGCAGTGAATCCTTGGTGCCAACATTTGATTCAGGGTTACATCGCCGGCATCAAAGACGGCATGATCCTACCAGATTTGTCGCGCCCTTTCGAAGCCCGCTAAGCCGGGCTTGCTCCCCGTACTTCTGCCTCAGCAGCAGTAGAGGCACAGATAACCAAAGCTATAGGAGTGGCTCAAACAAACGGCAACCTGCAGCTGATTTTGTTATAGATCCAGAACTGCCAAAATTGGAACGATAGGGGTAGATCGAAAGGGAGCCGCACCCACTTGTAGAGATGACCGTCTGGCGTCGAGAAGTTGAGATGAGCGAAAGCAGAAGCGGTGATCACGTGGACTGGCCAAGCGCAATAATACGAATGTGTTGTTCCCTTTGTACAGTACTGCAGAAGTAGTAGAAGAGAACATTATCGCCGGCGTCAACCATTGGCTGCAGCACCTCGGCGATGTAAATTGCCAGCATGGTCTTCCCTTTTCCAGGGCCACCTGAGATCCAGAGGAGTGGGTGATCCGCATCTGCCAGCCACTCTTGATAATGGGGATGCCGTACGATCTATTCGTAGGTGCCGTCAACCCTGCGACCTTTCAATGCAATCAGGACCTTGCGATCAACCTCGGGTCTCGTCAGAAGCAAAGCGTCAAGAACGGGTGCGTCCTCCACATGCGAGTCGGTGGTCAGAGGTATCGTCCTGGGTACCGTAGAAATGAACGTGAGGACCTCTTTTGCGTATGCTGCGGCTCGGACCTGTGCGAATCTGCATAGTGGTAAAATCGTCGAATGACTAAGTACTGGGTGGCATCCCTTAGCCCGGCCGCCTCCGTCTCGAAACAAAGGATGCCGTGCTTTTGTGCGAAACTGTCCCGGTTCGCTCCGTGGTGCGTCAATTGATAGCTGGAGGCAATGAGGCCATGAACTATAGGGTTACGGGCTGGCTACCAGAATCGGATTCTATTTGGCTCCACAGTCAGGTCACTGATGCCCCCCCCGCCTCGCGTCACAGACGCGAAGCAAGGTCGCGGTCCAGTCCTAGTGGGGTCATGCACGTTTGTTGATCATTCACCTGTCAGGCCCAGGCACCACCCAGAGTGCCCGAGTTCTCAGCAATGCCTCACTTTTTCAAGTCCCGCATCCTCATCACCATCTTCATTGTCATCCTGATGCAAACGATCTATCAACAACACGATCTCGACCACATTTTTACTGCAGTTTGCATTGCCAAACTCGTGCGAGTACGGCATTTCGTTCTTTGCTTTATCATGAGACACTCTCACACCTCTCCACGCGTCTCACATCACCTCACTCACGGCGGTTCAACGAGGAGATTTTTACGAAGCTAGGGAAGGCAAGGCCGTCTTGTTCATGGCTGGTCGTTCTGCAGCACAAGGAGAAGAGCTCGTTGGAGTCGACAAGACTTTCAAAGGTGAGTTCTCGCTTTAGTCATTTGCTTAGCTACAGCAGCACAAGAGAAGAGCTCGTCGCAGCCGAGAGAAGAGCTCGTCGGAGACAACAAACAGGCATTTCAAAGGTGAGTTCTTGCTTCAATTATATCCTGAGCTACAGCAGCACAAGGGAAGAGCTCGTCGGAGGCAAAAATAAGAACTCCACGGAGACAACAAGACTTCAAGACACGGCCGGCCGGACGATCAATACAATACTCCAAACCTCATACTTCGCTGCGGCATGATTGCCCAGCAACCTTCTCAATCTGCTTCGGCATTTTGTGGCCTATCTGCTCTCCATGAACAGACCCGACCTTGTTCCCTAGCTCAGCTTTTAAGTCCTGATGCCTAAGGGTCCTTCGACGAAGTCGCATTCTGGTCAGGCAGGTATGGGCACTCATGGTCCTAGAGCTGGGGGCAGGCGAAGGTCTGGGATTGGTGTTGCAAACTACTCTTTCTCTACGATAAATCACTCGATATCATCCAAGCATCACGGGCTGGATCGCCAGATCTAAGATTTGTTACACTCCCCTCTAAGAAACAATACAATCTCACTTCATGGCAGGCCCTCAGACACGTCGACGATCTAAGGTAACCAGAGTTCCTTGACGCCAAGCGTTTTACAGGCATTAGGATTTTACTACTGGATAGATTTTAACTCTATCCAAGAAACAACACATCCTCAGTTCAAGGCGAGCCCTCAGACATCGACAACCCAAGTTGACCTGAGTTCCTTAACGCCAAACGGTTTGCAGCTATCGGAATGTCATTGATGCTAATACCTGGACAGGCCTCTAACAAGAAAGCGTCGGTGTCTGCACAAAATAACGGTAAGTCCTCCTCCTTCATCCCACTCTGCTAGGTGGCCAGATCTCTGGTGCACACTGACCAAGAGCGCAGTTTTTCGTGTGATGTCGCTCATACTGATGGTATCAAGCTCTGACGCATTGATTCTAGGGACTTCATATCACACCAACCTCCCTGTTGCTCATTCGATCTATACTGACAGCACTATAGACAAGTCTCCTCAGCACAAGCCTATCTCTCCTTCTGAAATCCACAGCGCAGACAACCTTTGAAGACTTTTCAAGCAGCAATCGGACACGTACGTTGACATCATTTTCATAGTCATGGAGACGCATGAAGGAGAGAAACACTTGCTCCTGCAGACTGACAACCACCTTTTCGCGTCTCCGTGACATTTTGACCAGAAGTACCCCTAGTCACAACCGCGCAGCTAATCACCCCTGTGTCACTGATGCTAGCGGGCAAACAGATTTGATACACCTCGATGAGTAGTCTACATACGTTCTCCAGCAGCTGACAATGTCTAGTTCCAAACAATCCTCCTCATGGCCGACATCGATGTCAAGAAACATGTCGCTTCACAAGGCAAAGCCACCAGCTGCATAGACAGACCCTTTAGTGGGAAAGAGGTTCTTAGAAGAAGGGAGGTTCCTTTGTAAACACCGACACCTCGATTCCTGCCTGCTGCTCTGACTTTGGCTGACCACAACTTACCGTAGACCTTGCACAATACGACCAAGCCCTGCAGTACTTCCAGACGACACTTCATTGCTTCTACCCATTGCCACGTTTCGATCTCTGAGACCTTGCCCGCTCTTGTCGTCTTCGTCGCTACTAATACAAATTTGGGCACCCCGATCTACAACAGCCTTTCACCCAAGTATTGTTGCCACATGTCTCTCCATAACCTTTCCAATGCTTTTCGATTTACCGCTGACGCAAGCCCACAGACACGATCCTCAGACACAACCCAGCTCACAACATTTGTCAAGACTTGCAGCGGCTTTGAAGCTCAGGGCGTCCTACTCATGCGATGTTGCCTTTTGTTGGTTTCATCTCCACTATGCTCTTTAACATACTGAACTTGGATAGCGAAGACGCCCTGGTACCATTTCTCACCTATGTACTCGTGGTTCAAATGCCCTTACCCCCCCTTCCGGACTTTCCGAGGATGGACCTGGACTGGACAAACCTAGATGGACCTGAACGGACGCCCACCCATGACCCTGCAACGTTAGCTGATGCAAACCCCGATGCTATAGTACACTTGACTTCGTAGATCGATACTTCTGGCTGCGGCCTTCCTTTCAGACCTATACGTATTCCGATTCTCCCTTGCTTGCCCGGAGCCATGCTGATAAAGACCTGCCCATGAAGCGAGTATTCCTTGCCCCGATTCCCAAGCTTCTGTCAACACCCTCGCACCTGCCCGCGAAGCATGGTAACGTGCGCCGAAGCGACGTCGGCCTTGCGCCTCCCTTTACATTCGGCTCGTCACCCCCATCCAAAGACGCACGGTGCACGACGACCCAGCAAGCTGTGGTGAAACATCAACAATCACGACTCCCACTTCTATCTTCATCCTACATGGATCATCTTCCGCTGTGTCATCCCTCGCTCAGCCATTGACTAGATTATCTCCTCCACGGATGCTGTCGTCGAACCAGAGATGGAGAGGTTCACAGCCCCGAATTGTTCAACGTGTGTTCTAATAACAGTCAAAACCTATCATCGTCTCTCGAGCTGTTGACTTACAGGGCAGCTCTAAATGAAGAATATCATATGTACCACGCAGTACTTGAAGGTTTGCTATATTTCCATCAGTCACTGTGTCCTTCGAGATGCTATCTTGCGCCGGTGAAATGCAGCTGACTCTGTGTAGCGGAGATTACCTTCTACCGTTAGATTGTCGACACCGCTCGCCGCCGCCAAGGCCGTCGCCAGTGGCCAAACACCCCACGGCATGGACATTTCATCAGTGGCAGTTCAACACTCAATAAACGCCCAAGAGCTGCCCATCATGGACTTACTTACGGCTGGTCGACTCGCCAGACACAACACCTCGACTGTCCGCTCCCACACATTCTACATCTAACTGCCCAAGACGTACGCTTATCCCGAGGCTGCATCCCCGACCACAACTCGTCAGACATCAGACGCCTGTTCAGAGAGGCTCTTTCCTCGCATGCCGTTAACAGACGACCGGGTGCTTGGCCGTGGCTCTCGGATTATTCAAAGTTTGGTCCTAGAAACTTTGGTAAGCCCATGTCCAAGGCATACATGGGATTGATACAACGAAAAGGCTGCACCTTTACCGCGCACGTCTCACTCACCCAAGACCCCTTTGCTCGTACCTTCCCCTCGCGTTCAATTTGACAAGCGTTTGGACAGCTGGCAGAGTGTCGCGACCCTATCTTCGAATATATCGCTTCCCTCGAGCCGCAAGCTGCAAAAACCATGGCCTATCAGGAGTCGATCCAGGACTGGTCTCGATAATAGAGTGCTGGCTGCGACGCCAAGACACATGCCCCAGTGGTGAGGCCTTCGACTATGGACAAGGACCTAAGACGCACTGACCCTCTCGCCACGAACTTAGTTCGGACCGCGACTCACCTGCGGGGCTTTTGATAGGATCGGCGGGAGGGAAGATGGATCTGCATGAGGCCTGGGCGACAGCCGAAGCGCCCAAGATGAACCGTATGGCCAAACTTTCCCGCAAGCAATCGGGATTGTCCTGTGGCGTCATTGAAGCCGTCTATACCGAGGTGTCGGTTGCCGCGCAACTCAATGATGACTCCGACGGATACATAGCTCTGCGAATGACAGGCAGGCTGCCCACATGGCTGGAGACCAACGCCAGCTATAGCATACTGCAAGTCGACAGAGGGCCGTCACCCGTTCACGAATGACGGTCTCCTTTAGGAGTAGCGCACAAGGCCGCTTTAGAATCAGGGTCGTCGGCCTCTTTGTCATACCTGGCGTCGGCACTGGCTGCTACGACGCCTTTCGCATCAACAAGTTGGTAGAGGGAGCTATCTTTGGGCGGCTTCCTCTCGCGGTAAGCGAGCGAGCTAGAGTGGTTGTTATGCAGGTGGTTTGTGATTGGATAGAAACGTGGGCACGCTTCGCGCGCTTGTATGATTCGCTGGTGCGCGTCAAAAATCCATAGTTGCAGGATCGCACGTAAATCAGCTAGATCAGCATTATGATAAAACAAATGCTACAGCACTGCAACGTCTTGGGGAGCCAGTTAGGCAAGAAACAACAACTTTCACCTACGCGACCTCGAACTCCTGCCGCCTGGTAGTGACGGAACTACATGTCCAGATGTTCCGTCTTCTAGGCGCACGCTAATAGCGAGGCGACGTTCGTCGCACGAGTGCTAGGGATCATTGCGCAAAGACTAAGCGAGGATACGAAGGTCTTAGTAGAGAAGAACTTTTGTTAACAGCGTGGCATCGGATTAAGACAACAAAAAGCCCAAGGTCAACCAAGCGATCGCGCGACTAATAGAGACCTCGTCCTGTGTAATAATCTACCAAGTTCAGACCGCAGACACCAATGTCCTTACTGCATACGATGTAACCAGTCTCCTCGCAATTTCCACGCAACCTACACAATCCTTCTAGCCATCGCCTTCGCCTGAAAGATGAAGCCTGCGATCCGGGCAATCCCCTGCCAACGAAACTTTGGCCGTATTTGTCATCTTCTTCTTGTCTTTTGCGACAGACTCGAGGCAGGGTACGTCTCGGCTTGAGATGCGTTTCGGAGTTGATCCAGCGCTAGATAACGAGTACGTGGCCGTCCCACGATTGGCTAAGACAAGTGGGGACGTATGATTACACCCTGGTTCCAATAGATGAGTTACCCGGTAGCTAGTTCATATCCGAACGTCACAGGTAAATTGGTCCTCAAGTGACGCGAGTATGTAGCCGTGTATACTAGTAAGCCGGTCCTTCAATCCGTAATTCTACTAAACTGACGAGCTATTCAGATGCACTTGAGGGCTTCGCTATTCTACACCAGTGCCCATGATAATTTCCAAATACCAACCACCTTATTGAAGCCAACTAGCCAATTTATATCTAGCATATTTTAGATGAGGACTACCGGCTCTAGAAGTCCCGATGTGGCATCAATTTATGTACTGGCTTGTTATCTACCCTGGCCTTAGTAAAGTCTAATCAAGGGTTGGCTTTGTCTAGCTCGCTTGGCAGATGTGATCAGGTGAGAAAGTGGTGGGGAAGCATCCGGTTGCAAGGTGGGTAGCAAGCCGAGGCGGCTGGTCATTCCCTGCGCGCTCCAGATCCTTGCAGCTCTTGTCAATCACTCGATCCAATTTGCCGAGGACATACCACGCCTGGGGCACAAGATGCAGAGATGTGCATCCGATCAGTTCTGAGACGTATTCGTGTTCTTGCCGGATGCTCTCGACGGTCTGGCCACCCCCCGTGGCATAGTTATCCGTGCTTCTGCAAGGTCTATCTGCTCCGGCAAACCTAACGTGCGCTGCCTGCCCACGGGGCGCTGTGCTGTCGGTGGGTAGGTGGCCTCGCAGGCACCCGCGCGGATTGTCCTGCCCAAAGCAGGAGCCTCCGTTGGCGTGACCACGATACACATTGGCGTTGCTTAAAACGTGCCGATTCATGGAAGGAGGCCAAGATTCTGCTGACTGCCTGACAATCTCTCTAGCGGTCTCTCCCGCGCATAGCAACCGTCGGGCGCACTCCTCTATCCCAAACAACATCTCCTCCATGGTTTCTAGCACGAGTGGTCTATACTTTGCTATTTCACTTCTCATCCTGCCGTTTGCTTTGGTAAGCTCAATCACGCGGTCTTTTGTGCTTGGGGCGCTGCTCCCGTTTCCTTGGATATGGCGAAGGTCTGCGAGCGACGGATGCCGATGTAATGGTTCGTCGTCCTCGATATGACCCATCATCCTGTCGGCCCGCTGGTGCTCCAGGTATTTGCACAACTCTCGGCGCTCGGGACGCCTGCCTGTTGCTAGATATGGATCGGGTTCCCCTCCCCCAGAGAACGCGGCCTCCGGTTGGCGCAGGGATTGACGAAGATTATCCGCAAGCGGCCCTAACGCGAGAATCAAGGGTATGAGAACTCGATGCACAACGGATTTATAGTAGGTCACTTCTTGCTCCAGGCGGATATTTTCGTTCTTTAGCTCGCATTCGCGTTCTTCGGCCGTGACGGGATATTTTGTATCGTCGGGCAGGGTGAATGCGCTTGTGCTCGAGTTGTATATCCCGCGTATCTGCATGTCGAGTCGGGATGGTCCCGGTGCATTATCTCCGGCCTGCTCACGATGATGGACGCGGACTTCTGGGGACAGCTGCGGCTGTGAAATCTTTCCCGCTGTCTGCCGCACGGCGGCTGCGATACGGCGGAGTGGATCTCGCCTGGGTCTACATGACTGTGGCATCTCGGAGCACCACCACTTCAACAGGCCTATGCATCTGACGAGCAAAAGCATACGCAGAACGTTTTACAGGCCGTCGTCATTGTTTCTATTGCATTATATGAGATTAGAAAACCAGTAAAGGCCACCGATGGAAGCCTACGCGGCTATTTGAGAGCCATCCAGCGACTCGCGGCGGCCTCTTTATACAGGTTCGACGTGCCTTTTTGACGCATGTAAGGGATTGAGGCCGTCCTAGTATAGACGAAGGCAGGAATTATGGCTCCACATGGGCAGACATAGCTTTCGAGTCCGATCAAGTCCTCAAGGGATGCCCGGAAACCGGCGCATTCAGGATTCTATACCCAACGGAGAGTCCAGTTTCACCAGATACGGGCTTCGCGTTCCAGCGTGTCATATCTACACGGACATAGTTGCCCCCTTAGTCTTTAGCGGTTCTGCAGACAGGGAAAGTCATGGCACGCCAGGGGGACCAAAGCAGTCAAAGTTTCATCAATCGCTGCCGTGGAAGTTCTGATCGGGACAATGATGCTGAGCCACAGGTGGATGTCCGTTAGACTGGTGGACCGAACTGGTCTAGCGATTGATGTCCCATGTACCTCCTTCACCTGTTCTCCCAGAAGTGTACAGTCAGGTGAAAAGCAGCTTTCCTACGCGTCCAGGCGCGTAGTAATCCAGCCCGCACCTGTTTGATGATACCACCACTGAGCAAGTGACCAGAGCGGCTGGGCTATGACCGCAAACTTTTCACGCGCGATGAGGCAATGCTTAAGTTCGCGATACATGCCTTTGCGGGCCATGGTGTGACGAAGACTGACCTTAGACAGACCCGCTGATGGCGTGGCTCGGGGATGCTGGACACGACCTGCCTGCAGTCTCTCTCAGCCACGAAGGGACCTTGGATAACGACAAGGTCAATAATGTACTTTTGATGCAGGCTTGCTGGTCTCGCTTGTTGCACATGAGGCCCGTACATGTGGGTACGGCACTTGTTCAGCTCGGGGAGCCACTGTAATCGACCGCTCTGCTCGCCCGGCACCCAGCATTGACAGGGACCCCGGCCAGACGCTACACCGGAAGAAACGGATAGATCAAGGCGTTTTCAAATGTTTCGCGCTGTGCTAACTTGCATAAAGATACTACCAAGTACAGTATGTTTCGCTGGCTATGAGGCTGCAAATTTGCGCAGTGTTCTGGGCTGCGGCTACTTCCAGACCCAAGGGACGCAATGCATGTACTAAGCCCAGTTTAATGCTCAGAATTCTTCTACCAATTAGCAAACAGAATGTTTTTATAGCCAGGAGCGATGCTAGCTTCCTCCGCCAACAGTATCAATGTCTCAAAGCCGAGAGAGTTTTCTCGTCCCTGTTGCCGGGAGCAGACTTGGACAGCATCCGATAATGTCAAATTGACTCGCCACGCTAAGTCTGCACGCCCATCTGGTCGCAACGGCCGTCCATTTTTCCAGGAGGTCGTGGTGTCATACCCTGTCTCAGCCATTTCTAGAGCTTCCCTATTCTCAGCGATGCCATACGACGGTTAGCCACGCCGTGACGTTCGACACAAGCTTCATATCCTTAGCTTTATGACGCGCATTATCTGATCATCACTACTCCTGTTGCAATGTGGCGACGTAGCATCATACCAGAGGAAGAGCTCGGGGTATCACCTTATGCTCTGCCCGCGAAGCAATCTGGCCCGGGCAACTCCACAGGCTGATAGCCATCCATCTAGCCACACGGCCTAGGATGGCCACGAGCGGACCCGAGATTAGCTGGCAGTGTACTCTTGCACCGAATTCATCTAACACGTCTATTCGCCAGTGTCGGCACTACTTTCAGGCATGGCGATCCGCGCCATCGTATCCGCCCCTCCTAGTCAAGCTCTACAGCGATCAAGTCTAGAATTGAACTACAGCGTTTGTAGGATTACATGTCCTTGATTCTAATTTACAAATGAAAAAAAGGGCCAAAATAGAGTAGTAACTTGGAACTCCACAGAAGACTCTAAGTAGATCATTTTTAAATAAAAATCCCCGAAGCGCTAATCTTTACGTTAACACGTTCTCGTGCATCAATCATGGCGCCGTTCGCCGATTTTATAACTCCATGGTTGGCCATCTGGTCCAAGGAGAATTTGGAGAATTTCGTCGTTCCCAGCGTCTGCGATGTAACTTGCAATAATATCGACAAAATAATCAATTACGTCCAGTACTCAGGAATACCAGACTTCCTAGGTCTGAAAACAGTCAAGCACGTCTTCACTCAATGCGAGGGTCCCGACAGCTCATACAAACAGGCAATAATGGTTTGCAACGCGTGCATAAAGGAACATGATCATAGTCAGCATCAGCGGTATCCAGATTTCTGTGCCTCACTCGGTTTCGAGCTTGACGCGGAAGAATGAACCAGGGCTTGAGAAGGTAGATCGAGGGTACCCATATGCAGCGTAATTGAAGCCACTTTTCGAATAGTGATGGGAAGGGTGAATGGTCGCTCTGAGTGGGTGGAGTGATCTGTCTGTTTACATTGTAGCGAACAAGACCAGTTCACCAACAAGGCTGTATTATATTGGGAGTGGGATTGTCATGCACGGTCTAGTCGGAAGGTCATCTTGCTTATGAGACCCCTGAAGCCAAACTCTGCACATGACCTGTCAATAATCTATGGTCGGCGACGCCTCTGGCTAGCAACAGCCTCAGGCTACCGTTATTTCAGTAGAAGTGGTGGCAGAGCGTGGGCTCCTTACGGTAAGTTATGACCGCTCCAATCAAGTGGAACAGAGATACCGATAGGTGGCAATATAAAGGCCGGACCGTGCCCATGAAATAGGACGCAGCACAATCTATGGATCTCGAACTCAATAACGTGCTCATTTACGGGATCTGCCTCAGCAGCTGTCTGCTTTTGAAGATTCTCCTGCCATATTTACCCCTTGTCTGCCCACTACTCCTCGAGCTTGTCAAATGCCCTCCACTTCCGCGCGTGGGTCGCAGCACTACGCTCTGGACCTACAAATACCTCATATATCGCACTGTAGTCAGAGCCCGCCGCTGGTGCGGCGGCTGGAGTAGATTCGATGTGCTGCTGCTTGTCATGTACTTAGCGGCCAACATTAGCTGCACACTGATCGGTGTATCATCAGTCCTCGAGGCAGGCGCTCGGGCCGGGGCCCTGTGTCTTTGTAATATGCTTCCGCTTTTTGCTGCCCCTAGCCTGAGCTTCGCGGCCGACATCCTACAGGTCTCTCTCCGGGACCAGCGCCGACTGCACGTGCTCGCCGGCGTGGCCGTCGTGTTGTTGGCTGCCTTCCACGTGACGGTGAGTGCTGCTAGCAGCGAAGGATATCCTTTGACGGACGTAAAGAATGTGTCAGCGTTCGGCGTACGTACTGCCAGAATTATGGTGTCTGCAGCTAATTGTCCAAGGCCATCATATGCATTGGTTCGCTGAGCCTACCTATTGGCTTCCTGTCACGGCTGCTCCCCTTTGAACTTGTAAGCACCGGCCACCACTTGCTGGCGTTGACGCTCGTCGGCACGACCTGGCACCATCTGCCATCGAAACATCTGCAGCCCCGGCTTTACATCTACGTGGTCGCTGGAGCGTACGCTCTGGCGCTTGCGGCTCACGGTGTATGGGCCTCATACCGGAACAAGCTGTGGTTTTCTCGAGCCCGCCTAACGGAACAATACGGACTCATTCACATGAATTTGCATTCCCGAAGGAAACTGGCCGCAGAGCCTGGCCAGTATCTCAACATGTGGATTATCGAAGGGGTGAGGTCCATCCTACAGGTCACCCCGCTCCTCGTAGTCTCCTGGGCGCCCGAGGCGACGGACGAAGCGGAATTGATTTTGCAAGTCCGTCAGGGCCTGACCAGGAAACTGCTCAAGTCATTGGAGTATGGTGACAACACGGTCAGAGTTGCCTATTCGGGACCCCATGGACCAACCATCCCGACGGACAAACACGAGTATTTCCTACTGCTAGCAACGGGCTCGGGCATCCTACCGATGCTGCCTTTTTTAAAGAAACTGGTCAGTCACCGTCATGGGCACCGTCGATCTTGCACACGGAGGGTGCGTCTGGTCTGGCGGGTGGAGGACGAAGGTAAGGCATTCTTCCGATCGGTTTCCGCCACAACACTGACGCCTCAGGCCTTGCGGATGTGGTAGAGAAATACATCAACTCGGCCCTTGAGGAGGACGACAAGCCGCCGCCATCTGGAGAATATGCCGAAATTGCGAAGCTCAGACATTGTCTAAACTGTGGCGGCCGGCATGACGAAATTCTCGATTTGACCTTCTACATGAAACGGCCCTGCAAGCCGCCTGCCTATGAGGCGTCAACCGCTCCAACGGAAAAGCTGGTGAAACCAGAGCAGGAAGCCTTACAGTCTGTTCACGCATCAGGATGTACAGATGCCGATGCGGAGAAGAAGAAGAAGCCTAGGGCACGTTTTAAGCTCGTCGAGGATCTGGATTTTGGCGCCATCGTAGGCGATGAGACCAAATTAGTCAAGAATCCCCCAGTCAGAGCCCCACTGCTAGTGATTGGTAAGTGGCAGACCGCCGTTGTGATTTGGCTAACAGCATCGTAGCCGCCATCGCTCGACCGTTTCGGGAAGAATTGACGGAAGCAGTCCGAGCACATCTACAAAGCGTGATCTTACGATTTGCGGAATTTGAGCCGCCAGCAGAGACGAAGAAGGAGGGAAAACTTCCCAAGGACGAAAATATCAACATAGACATGGCTAAGCAAGTCCGTGACGATATTATGGGGAAGACAAGCCCGTGAAAACACCAAGGCTCAGTCTTCGAAAGTCCGACCGACCAGACTGGCGGACTGGGCACGGGAGAAGTTACATGAATTGAAAAGAGCGCTTGGTCTTGCGTGCATGAAATCTGATCCGATATAATGGCGACCGAACGCATTGTCGCATACCCCTCTCATACAACTCCTGCTGTTCTACAGTCCAAACCTCTGGGAGCTGTGATCATTCCCACGTGTGCCGTGTCTCAATGAATAGATCTCTCAAGAAACCTAGCTGAAAGCAAAAATTCACCGCCAAGCAGCGAATGCTTTATCTACACAAATGATCAGACGACCCGCGCCATTGGCCCAGGCATCTCCACGAGGCTTTGACGATTGATAAGCGAAACCGGCTCAGGGCTGACTTGAGTAGCGTAGGATCAAAGGCTGAGAGATACTTGGGTGTATCATGCAGAAGCGTAGTGGAACCCGCATGTTAGAGGCTGTGAGTCAACCTCTTCTTGTGCTAGCATCACGGCATCTGCACGTCCTCCTCACGCTGCGTGATAAAGTATTGCTACCCTAGTCATAATGGCCGACTCCATGTAGAGTGAGCCAAGCCTTACCAGTCAATTTCCGCCCAGCTCCCTATCTAATAATATATTTATCAACCGGCGTTCTCCCTACTACACTCGTCCATTACTCTGACTTGGCTCGATTACAGACACCGGAGTTTCAATAGGCCCTACTTTAAATATCCTATTGCTTTTTTAGACCCGGCAATACACGCCCAAAGCGGTTGTTTTGTAGTACTATTAGTATACATTGCTCGAGTGCCGCCGCAGTCACCTTACTCTCCGTGATGAATTCATGCTGCAAAGTACGGATTAGCATCTATGACAACTTGACAATGAATAGGCTTGCTCACTTTAGCCAATTTCCTGATACCCTCTCCATCTGATATTTCGTCTTTCGAATTCGATTCAACAACATTCTGCAAGCTTTTGAAGAACCCGAGAAAATCGTCATCCCAAAGATGCGATTTACCCTCCACAACTCCGACACATTGTAGTATTAAGTTCAAAAAGCTTTGGCACAGAGTGGTGGTCTTTTGGTTGATACAGTGATCTGGCCCTAACTATGTCAACTTGAGTCCCGTTTTGGCCTATCTCGCGTACAGAGTTTTACCTGGCCTCTCAAATTCAACAGAATATTAGAGGCGTCCAAAGCGATGTAGCTCATTTCGAGCTCTTTCAGATGTTTCAGGGCCAAGAAAAGCTGATGTGTCAGCAGGCCGTGGCGAAGGGAATGGCGTGGCAAAAGTTACCTGGTGGAAGATGATGGTGGACTCGTAGCTAGATGCGTAGTCGCTTACCCTGCGGAATTTGTTGATATCTCTCAAAGAGAGCGCCATGAATTCAAAGACTACGTTGTCACTAGCCCTCCCATCGTCAGCCAATACACGAATGAAATTGTCATGGTCGATTCTCTTTTGCTCGTCAGTCATGACCCGGGTGTCTTTACAACGGTCAATCAGTCGCATCCCCCACACAGTGGCGTTACTCCTGTTAACCTGTCGCCTCACAGCGACAACGTCTCGGTCCCCAATTGAATACTTGAAGAGGTCCACAAAGCGACCAGCGTCAGCTGGTATCGAGATAGTCGACTTATTACCGGTCTTTGTCGCATTGGAATCCCTGATCATTGAATAGAGAACCCCAGGTTTAGAAGCCAGTGTCCCCCCCTCTGGAGACCTATTGGAAGGTCCTTCTGGAGATCCGATTGGTGTGACTGGTTCCTCAATGCAATACAGCTTAGGACCGTGAGGACTCCGGCTTCCGAACTGAGCCAAAAGGCCGCTCCCAGGCCGCGGCACATCGCCTGGTTGCCGAGGGTCGCCTGCCGGGGGGGGCAACATACAGTTCCGGAAATCGACGCGCGTGTTGCGCCGACCGCCATGTTGCTCATCTGCCTTAGCCATGGAGGAAAATTAACACGAAAACCTAAGGGCGATAGGAGCAGGTCTTTCACTAAATACCAGATCATAGACGAGTGCCGGCCTGATCCCACCGTTAGATGCTGACGTGGACCTCCAATTCAGGACACGAGAAATGCGCGGATTCCTTACTTTAGCAACAGCTTTCCCTCGGCGCCTAACGCAGGCCAGGTACTGAGCCTATGCTCATGTCAGACCCTTTTGAAACATGGCGACTCCGGCGGCGCGGAATCTTGCTGAGGCAGAGAGAGTTGCTCTGGATAAGTGTCAAAACTTCTTAGGGCAAGCGGTTGTGCGAAGCGAGTCATTGTCATTCCAGGGAGAGCCGGACGCAGCAAGATGCGCTCGGCACTGTCCGTCTAGCATTCTCAACATGCACGTGCCTGCTATCGTAGGCAGGCCCCAGCTTGAGGCGACCCTATCAGCCTCGGGGAAGTCATTGGACGCATTGTACGAGGTATCCGAGATCGTTCACCTGGAGTTTCCGCCTGGGTACACGCTCCATTGCCTACGACACAAGTGCTCCGTATGGGACACCGGTACAAGCTGCATCGTCAGACTTTTCTCGTCGGGTCCGTGTTTTCTCGCCGCTGTGACTATAGAACTAACGGTGACAAAGACATCAGCCTGGAAACAAGGAACCATCTAGAGCGGTCCCTCACAAGCGGGGACCCGCACATGAAAGATGGGGAGTATTACCACATGATTCGCATGTATAGTGGTGCTCTCAACCGGCACGGTCAAACATGTTTGCTTGATTTGGAGAAAAGAACCCAGTGGCTTGAGGAATTATTTCAAAGGAAGGGTAAGCGCCGGGATGGGGGCAGCAGTAGCTACGACAAGCTGATCCAGCTTACACGGAACGCGGACTGGTACCCCTTCTTCGACATGCTTCAATGCACACCAGCATTATACGCCGGTCTCAACTTGTCCTTGATCGGGAGAATGATGTCTATGGTGTGTCGAGACGTAAGATAGATCACGCAAGGGCTGAAATCGTTTACTGATTGGCCAGGAGCTCATCTGCCGGATCAAACACCTGAAAGCTTTCTGGGACAGAGTGCTAGATAACCACAGCATCTTAAAGGCCAAGCTCGACACATTCAGCCTCCACAAGGTTCAAGGTACAGCCCCTGGTGCCTTTGAAGCCGACAAAAGCAACCTTCGGTCCCTGATTCGCGACGGTAGGGTCTTCGGAGCCTACAGCCAACCCGAGAGGGAGCGCATATGGAACAATCTCTGTGATCAGACCAGGGAGCAGCTGGTCCCCTCACTATGGGGCATTTTTGAGGACGTCAACTATTTGCATAAGGTCTCGCGCTGCATGAAGCTGCTTGTTGACTTCCGCGATCATTCTTGGCAGCGGGCTCTGAGAAATAGCTTCGTTGCCGCAGAACCTGACAGAGATTGGGTACAGGTGTCGGACAACATATGCAAAGCCATTCGCCCGCAAGGGTTGGACCGCTTCCAAGTGGCTTATCGTCAGCTGTGGCTGTTCCTCTTGCGCGAGTGGGAAGATCTACAACCAGTATCAGAAAAGAAGTGCGCGGGGCCTGGTTCAACCGGTCCCAACCCTGCCAAACTCATAGCCTTCGCCCGCCTCGCTCATCGTCTTGGCTTTCGGTCGCCAGATATCGAGCGGATAATAGAGCAGGATCCTTACGTCGCCCTCGCTACCAAGTTCTTTCACACAATCAAATTGCCGGGTTTCCAGGAGAGTGCGAACTTCGCGCGCTGCGCCCAAGAAGTAGCGCGCCTGTGCGCGCTGGCCTGGGTAGAAGAAGGTGGTTCTGTCCGTACTAGACATCTTTCGAAGGGGGGTGATGTTGAAGGAAGGCTGATCGAGAGCCTAAGAGTTCCGAAAAGATCGGGAAACCCCTGGCAACATCACCACGCTCGAGATAGCACCTCCACTTTTCTGGGTATACTCGAAAACCCCGTCAGTAATTCCACAGGCGACGTAACATCGCTGTTTGTCCGGCGATCGCTCTATCTGAGTCTTTTCCCCACCAGATTAGAGCCTCGGCTAAGTGCTTGCATGGCTCTATCGGAAGAATCCATCGAGCTGAACAAGAATATCTTTCATGGGCAACAACACCTTTCGAGCAGCTTGAACGAGGCCAGTATGAAAGTGCAGGACATGGAACAGATAATTGATGAGCAGAGACGAAACGAAGAGGCAGAACTCTTCCAAAGTCTTCAGGAAAATGACGTGGCAGAGCTCAGAGAGACCTTGAAACTGCTCGAGGCCAAAAACGCAGAGCTCGAGCGTTCCGAGACCGAGCTCAGTTGCACGCTGAGCGAGGAGGTCACGAACCGTGAGAAGGCTGACGATCAGCTGCAGGTCCTCCGTATGAAGCTCCTGGAGACAGAGGGTCAGCTTCAAGCCGAAAACGAGAGACTAAAAGTTGCTGAAGATCAGGCTAAGGCTAAAGCAGGAGTGCAGGATGCTAAGGTCAAGCTTGACGCAGAAAACTCGGGGCTGCGGAATGATAAGGTCAAACTTGAGGTTGAAAATACAGAGCTCAAGGAGGCTAAGACCAAACTTGAAGCCGAGAACTCGGCATTGCGGGATGGCGGAGCCATGCTTGAGGCCGAAAATACAGAGCTCAAGGAGGCTAAGACCAAACTTGAAGCCGAGAACTCGGCATTGCGGGATGGCGGAGCCATGCTTGAGGCCGAAAATACAGAGCTCAAGGAGGCTAAGACCAAACTTGAAGCCGAGAACTCGGCATTGCGGGATGGC